TATCCTTTGATTTGATGTCAAAGAACTCCCCGAACACGCACAATGCGCCGAGTTGGCAAATGATTGCCAGTAAAATTGGATACAAAACCAGAAGCTTCATTTTTCCCACCAGAAAGAAGAGGAACAATATAAGTAGACAGTTTGACACTAATTGGTCAATTAAAACATAATAGAATATGTCAATTAGAGTCTGAAAATTCTCTGCCAATTCACAGTGAAATTTATATATAGTCTTTATAAAATTTCCCTCCTGCTCAATAAAATTAGCATTATCCAAACATTTTATCATGTCACGCAAGATATTCAGCGCCGCAACAAAGTATAGAGGAATTGATATTACAAGGCAATCTGTGACGCATATTTGTGCTACGCCGAAGGAGTTAACGAGGATTTGGTGGATTTTAAAGAGGAGCAAATAATCCTCTTTCCTGTGCGCAAATCCAGGAATCGTACAGTATATTATATCTGTGCTGGTAAAATATATCAAATACATGGCCGTTGATGTGATGTACATCAGAATTATTACTCTAAAAGGCAAAAAGAGACACTATAGATCAGTTTGTTAGGCAACTACAGCACATTACTTACTTAATTATCATCCGTATGTTTTCAATTGTGTTTCTTAGATGAAATTCTGAGCTGATTTGAACATTTTTCACTTCATGATTGCGGTGAATGCGTCGAATCCAGAGCAAAATGTTGTCAAATCGTCTGTCAAAATTAACAATGCACATAATTTTTGCAAACAATTGTATTATTCCTATCCCCAGCATAATAGCCATAATCAATTGCGCCAGATTGTTATCAGGGGAAAGGAGCACGCAAATAGTTGTTATGAACATATATACACAAATTGCGGGCATTAAAATCTTGCCACTGTTGTTCAGAACATAATCTTCAGCGAAAGACAATGCAAACACTTTTCTTACAAACTTAACCACCCTTTCAAAGGTCAAGTAATCTGAGTAACTCTCGACGTATCTCTCCATGGTTTGGCTTCACCTCTGACGGGAAGCAAATGAGGTGTTTTCCCTTAAATACCTTCACACAAGCCTTCATAAAGAATGCGTCAACACGCCACAGATATTAAGTCATTATAGAGAAGTCATTATAAAGGGAAGAGGCGAAGGACAATAGAAAGAGTGTTTAGTCACGAAAATTGTTGTTCAGACATTAATAGTGTATTTTTAAAGACCATCTTCATAGGATATTCATTGAGAAAACACTTAGTTTAATGATTGTTTTAGAAGAATCATTATATCTTGCCCTCAAGTTAGGCTTTTGTAAATAATATAGCAGTCAAAACATGAATTTCGCCGACAAAATATTTACCTTGAATTTTCTAACGCGATGAATCGTTTAATAAGCATGGATTCTCGAAATTTAGTGATATTTTCCCACATGAAAAAAGGATTTTCTTTCACTCTGCTGCACGTGAATAACATTTAATTCAGCAATCTATTCCACCATATGCAAATTCCCACCTCAAACCTCACGCCGCACGCTGTTTGGGTGTGAAAATTAATTTTCCAAAAGAATAACTCAACATAATGATGGTTTTAAAATTCAATCTTTGGCAAATACGCAGCCTTTTTTTGCTGTTGATGCTCGTGAGAAAAATCCCGGGAAAATGCCTTCAATTTTCCAAATAGCTTTTATTGCCATCGTTGGGGCGGCTTTTTGCCAAGTTAATTTGAACTTTTGTGTAAGGAGTACAATAGCATGCGCGCATGCAAGAGGGGAGTGAGAATGAATGGGGGATGAATGAAATTTTTGGGCAATTTCCATCGCACGGCGCCTTCTTGCTTAACTAATATTGAGATTAATTTGAGGTGTTTTTCCGCAACTTTTCGCGTGACCATGCATCGTAAGAGAATTATGGACTCACGATGACCATTTCTCCACCCGAGCTTCCACCGTTCAGACAATCTCTCTCTTGCCTTCTCTCCATAGTGCAATGTTTGCCGTAATCAATGAATTTATTGGCAAAAGTTTTCCCATTCGGGGAAAATGCCGGTAAATACGCACCAGAATCGATTTAAGTCGTATTTCACTCCATTTGGCATCGCAGCAAATACAAACCCAGGAAGAAGAAAACCGAACAGCCTTCATTAGGAGAATGTCTACAATGCCAAATCCTTGGCGGGATGAAGAAAAATATTTACTTTGTCAAGTTAAGATGGCTGAAGGTATAAAAAAGGATAACTACTTTATCTTTTCCCCCTTTTTTCCCCCTATATTCTCAAATACCAGTCGAATACTCCAGGTATTAAGTCGAAGAGAAAATCCCTCGGAAAGCTTGGCTTTTTGGGGTGGATAAGTCAAGGTATGACTATGCTTTCATATCTCATAAACGGAAATCAATGTCAGCACCACTAAAAATGCCAAAACTTCATTTTTATGCCATCATTTTACGGTTGACCTAATCATATTACATCGAGAAGTCTATTGAGAATATCTTATCACTCCGTTTAATGTATGATTTGATGATGATTCCAAAATTTTTCTTTCCCCCTCATATCAAAATGATATTCCAAATTGTTTCTACCCATAGTAAAAACAAAGGAAAACATTGTAAGACAAATGACATGGAAAAAAAAATTAGGGAAGGGATAAGAATTGCTTAATGTATAACCAAGTGTATAACTTTAAATTTAATTTAACCTCTCCGGGCAGAAAGACGGATGAAAAAGTCACGAAGGACGAGAAAATGTAATAAAAAGTGAAAGCAGGTAACAGGTGTGTCCCTCAACTTTCATGTCCATCTGAAATTTTCACCCTCCTCCGCAGTTTTTCCTCACGAGTTCTCAAGTGAAAGTCATCAGAAGACAACTCCTGGCCATGTAGCACTTTTTTTTCTCTCTCTCTCTCACTTTTCTCTGTCTGGAGCCAGAAAAGCACCAGAAAGCTCACGACTAGAGAATACAAATAGGCACATTTTACACTCAGTGAACTGACAATAATCCCCTAATTGTTCTTGGTGCGGTGTGTATCTTTTTCCCGTCCACTAAGGACAAAAATCCACCACTCAATTCATCATCCACATGGCGTATATTAGGCATGAATTTGCCGTCTAGTCACGTTCTGCTGATTTTTATTTAAGACACCATTTCCAAAGTCGATGGCTCGTGCAGAGCAGAATGTGAAAGATGTGTGGCAGAAAAAATCTCTCTCGCACTTCCTTACGGTGGATGCTTGAGCACTAAATGCGAAAGTTTTCCACCCATCGCAACTTTCTCATCACGCGCCCTCGAGTGGGGAAAGTTAATAAGGGCATTTGTTCCATGGTGACACCATCCTCTCTGTGGCTTGGCACTGTAGCGCCATGCGATGGTGAAAAGTGTCAAGAATTGTGGCATCTCTCATCGAGGATTGATGTCACAGTTGGAGAGTTGTTCCAGCAACTTCACATGCAGAGTGTGTAACTTGTAAATTTCCTCCGCATGACAAGGTAATTTCATGGGAAAAGTTTATGCATGGCGAGAAAAGAGGCGAATAAATCAGACATTAGGAGGCAATGAAGCTCCTTCTAATCAGATTTTCCCACTCTCTGCATTACATACCTATTTTTTTCATTACACCCACTGTTAATATTCCCTTAATATCCCTTTGCCTTACTTTGCTTAAGGCTCTATCACGTACGGATAACATAATAATGAATCCGATTGTGCTAAACTTTCAATTGAATTTCCCCAGAGTGAGCATTCTCTAAAAACTTTATCCTCTCTGCAGTGAAACTTGATGTAAAACACTTTCCATTTTGAAGTATATATTCGCTCACCCATGGGCAAAGTTTCCCATTCAATTGCGGGGAGAGTGAGTGATGTTTGGAGTTCAGTGCAACAGTTCGCAATAAAGGCTTCTCCATATCACTTTTCACTCTTCAGGCAGACAATTTAATTTCCCCCCACAGAAGCCAAATGGACGTTTCGAAGCTTGAAAATGTATTTGCTTCAGGATATAAATTCTTAACGACTCAAAGTAGTGAAAACACCCTTCATCTTCGCTTGATTGCGGGTGTGTTTGAAAGGGGAGAAATTCCGGGAAAAAAGGTGTGCGTGTGTGATTTTTCTCACGGATGTATTTTGATGTCAGGCGAAATTGATTGGAAATTTGTCAAAAATGTAAAGGAATTTTCTACCACGCAGAGCTTCTGAAGACAGAAAGCTTACATTTTCCCGTGTCAATTTATTGAATGCTATGTGTGAAAATTATGGTATTCACGGAATTTCCACTCATAACGTAATCGCATTTGAACCTTTCATGGCAATAAATCATCAAAACACTTTCATGATAAATGGAGACGCAACAAATCATATTATGTGTGAATCTCAAATTATTTACAAAATGGAAAAACGACTGAGTTTGTTGATCAACCCCATCAGAATCTATTCTGCAAACATTGTGACCAAAATGGAAGGTAAATCGATACTCGGTCAAGTGATAAATCTCATATCAAATTGAAAACGACACCGCAATCCTCAGCATTTTGGCCATGCGGAGTAATAATATTGTCACGTTCAGATGAGTTATTTACTTAGGTATTCATCTCAACCGACTTGAGCAGACGGAACATACATACAATGCAGTTTTCTGGGGGTTGTGCGATGCTAAGAAAAGACCTCCGCATACCGACAATTTCCTCATCTACCTCTCGATTGGCCACAAGATGAACACAACCGCACAGATTGATTCCGATGTGGTTTCCATCGACAGTCTTGCCATTTCGATTTTGTGTGTGAAAATCGATATGCGGTGTCACATGTGGGGCGGTGAAAATTCAATTTAATCCCAAACCATCCCCTCTTTCCCATTACACTAATCCACACACGCAGTGTCACCGATGAAAAATTTAGATTATCCTAAATGCCTCTAATAATGGCGACAATGAGGATATCGAGCAGAAAATCACACTTCCTTTGATCCTTCCCATCGCTCAGAATGACCTCCGCTCGATTTACATTACATCGATGAGTAATTAATGAATCTCTGTCGCACAGGTGAAAATTCCCAGCTCGATGATCTCTACACCAGATACAGGCAGAGACTCCGGAAAAGCCTCTTCACGTCCGGCCTGGCCATCGCACTCATCACATGCGTGGTCTCAATCATCTTCTGCGGCCTCGGAGTTCAGGTAACACTCAATTAATCTTAACACTCAATTATTGAAAGAGAAACTTTGGGAAAAAGTTGTACGAGAAATGAAGGAGTTGATAAAACTATGCGAAAGCTATGAATATTGCAATGATAAAATAAAATTTCTCTCGTTCTGAAGTTAAATAAATTCCGGACGAGAAGGGAAAATCATATTCAGTTGTTCACACATTTTCCAAAACTCTGTGATGTTAATTAGAATTTGTTGCCATAGAAATGCAATATAGACAAAATGGTTTTAACCCAATTTAAATAGCCAAAACATTTCTGCGCAATACCAATTGTATAATCATAAAATGATTTCATTTTCGACAAAGCTTATTGCAATATTGCCTCAAGAAGCAGGAATATTGCGCCAAATTGAGATTGACTACTTCCAAGGAGAAGAAAATATGATTAAAATCTGTACAAAATTTGCTTGATACTTCCCAAGACTTCAAACTTCATGGATTGTTTATAACAAGACTGAAATCAAGTATAATATTCTGATATTTAACAGTTTTATAACTCTTATTTTTAGACTGTTCGAATCATTTTTCTAATCATACAAATTAGTATTTGGGTAAAAAATAATTTTTGAGAGTAAAATAATAACCAGAAAAACACAGCTCTGAATAAAATATTGCAAAAATCGAAACATCTGTACACCTCTTCTGACCATATTATCTCCGTCTTGAATATTTCATCAACTCAGGGAAACTTTTAAGTTTTGTCCGCTGAAAACATTTTCTTAAGCAAGCAAAAAACTTTGTTGAACTGTGTTCTCTATTAAAACAATTAGCGTTTCATTGAAAAGTTATAATTTTCTTTCATAAAACTATATAATCTTGTGCCAACAATCATTAGAAATATTCCTTAAACTCACCATAGTTGGCTGGGGTGGATCGTATTGAAGTATTGCAATTACTAACAAGAGTCTCAATCTGCATCACTTGAGAAATAAGCGGAACTCTGCAAAGAGTTCTGAACAACTTCTCTTTATTCCGCGTGTTCAGCATGGAAACGAGGAAGATTTTGAAATTCACTGTAGAGAGTCCTTGAGCGTATTTCCATATGCATTTCGTGAATAAGCGCCTTTTATTCACTCCGCAGCGCCTGTTGGATCTGGTCCTGCTGCCAATAGTCAGCGTCGTCCTGCTCACGGTGCTCGTGGCTCTGCAGTTTCCCGCCGTTCTCAACTCGCCGCTGGCCGCTCTCGGCTTCGCCATCCTCGCCACCGTTTGCTTGGGCGCCGCGGCCACAGTTGTCGGCGGTCATGTGGCCCCCCTGCCGCTGTACGCTCTCATCCTGGTAAGATACTTTGCACAATACTGAGTTTGGCAGCAGTGCAAAGTCGACCCCGTCAAAGGGAAAACAATGCCATTTTCCGTTTGTTTAGTCACAGAGCCACTGCACAACAGTGTGTTTGAAAGGGATTAAAATACACCCTTTCGTATTTCAAATCAGCACACAGCCACTCATCGGCTTTTCACATTTCCAGTATGAGGGAAAATTTTGCAATTCTGCCCTACAATGCATCGACCATAATAATGAGTGGAATGCCTTTGCATTCAAAATGAATGGAAATATGTGGGAATTGTTTTGAATATTGACACTGCCAGTGTTGGATTGTATTTCAAAGTGAAAAGTTCACTGAACCAAAATCAGAGTTGGTGTGAAAGATGATATTTCTGTTGAAAGTTGTTATATATTTTACAAGGAAAAAAAAGGGAAAACATAGTCAAGTGAGCGTTTACAGTCTAACTAAACGCTCGAAATAAAATACATTCAGTACAATATTGCGAATGAAAGAGAAAGAAAATGTGAATCTCATAAAGGAAGTCTATAAAATGCAATTTATACTTCTCTTCCATGCCAAATCTAATTTGCGCAGTGTGTGTAAGGATTTTCAATTGATAGTTTCTACGCAATAAATTGATGTGGACAATTGAAGGGAAAATGCCAGAAGCAGAAACTTGATTTCCCACTCTAAATCGCCAATAAAAACCTCCTTTTATTGGCGACTTATGGGAAATCAATATGATTATTTAGGCACAACAAATTTTCGCCAACAGCTTTGCGCATTCTCTGGTGATTTTCAGCACAAATAACCCAATTAATTAATTGTGAATTGGACGCTATTTCAGGGTGTTCACACGATGTTGCCAGTGTCTTGGCCTTGCTCAGTGGTTCTGGCTGTCATTCTCTCGCTCGTGCACTTGGCCTACAGGATTGGGACGAATTTTCAAGAATTTCCACCGCTTTTCCTGCAGCAGGTAAGAAACCCAACATCAAACACTCTCTTGGGCTTCACTTTAGATGGGACTTTAATTCCATCACCAACTTTTCCATCATGCAAAACTCGCCACAAGGGGAAAATAAGAGAGACGAGCTGGGAAAACTTTTGCTTGCTTGTTCGATGAAAGAACTGATGGAGAAATCTTCCTAATTTCGCTTAACTATTTCTTATGTCAAAAACAAATTGCTCAGTAAATTGGGCGACTTTTATTGTTCTTCGAAAGAAAAACACAGTTTTTCACAATTTGACTATGCGTGAAGTTTCAGTGGAATATTAAACAAACACAGAATTGATGGTAAGTACAATAAAATCCATTGAGATATCTTAATCATATTTTATCACATGAAATTTTAAGAATTATGATTCAAAATTACAAGAAATTCTATTGCTTTATGCATTGCATGACGACTTCGATTTATCAATTTTTCGCATTGTGTACAAAGCAAGGGAGATAAAAAGAACACTGATAAGAATAGTTGCTTGTATATTCAGCATGTACAACATTCTTATCAATATCTTTTGGCCTTCCCTTCATTCCAATTCGTCAGATTAAGCTGTGAAGTCGCGTTTTGACAAACGTCCTAAAATGTTTCTGAGAAGTCGCGTGAAAAGTCTCATCATTGCCTTCGGTTTTATTGCATTACTGTGTATTTTTCCCTCTGTGTCATTAACAAAGATTATTGGTAGGTAAACCTCAGTTTATTCTATGCGGAAATTCCCAATCTTGGTGCTTCAGAATAAATTTTGTGACATCGGCTTTAATTGTAGATCGCGAAAAACGCAAAGCAAGGACTTCGAGTGATGTCTTAAAGTCACAAATAGTAAATATTGATGATCAAGCGATCGTGAGCATGCAAGTGAACAAACACGTGTTCAGGGAAGGAAAAGGCGAAGAAGGCATCGTGATTTGCAGATGCGAAAGATGTCCTGAATGGCAATTTGAGTGGAAATACATGACGAGCAAGGGTGAATTTAAGAAAGATCTTCTTGTTGTCGACGAAAATGTGTCGAGATCGAAGAATTACACTGAATCGAAAGCCCGATTGAAGCCTGACGACAATGTCACAATATACTGTCGTGCGTACAATTCGACAAACTCTGTAGAGAGCTTTATTAGCATCTTCATGACAGACTTAGACAATTCTGTGGCGTGGATTAATTATCAAACGGACATTGTGGAAAATGAACCTTTCGAAATCACTTGCGCTGCCGATTCTTTCAACTTCACCAAAGTGCAAATCTTCAAAGACAATCAATTAGTGAAAAATAATGAGAGGCAGAAACTGTATACTGCGAAAACCAATTTCTCAAGAAGGGAAACACTGCAAATAGACAAAGCCGATAAGGCAGACGCGGGTGTTTATGAATGCAAAGCATTTGAACCTGTGAATGTTTTCACCGGGAAATCCAGGGAAGTTCAGCCAGAAATTGGACCTCTTCGAATTGCAGTTCATAAAGTTGTGAAGCATGGTAAATTTTACAACTAAATAATGCATTCAACAATTTAATAACTGATGAAAAGGTTCTTTTTAGATGCTTATCAGCTTGTGATCGTGTTTGTTGCAATATTTTGCATAACAGTTTTAGTAATAATATCTCTAAGCAGTATTTGTATTTGGCTTAGAAAAATAAAAAATAAGAAGAAAATTATTTTACGAAATTCAATTCAATTAAAATCACTTGAGCAAAACCAAGATCAAAACGTTATAGATGATATGCAAGAAAGTTTAATTTTACCAACTGATAAAGACCGAATTTCACTATCATCTGATGAAAATTCACATCGAGAAATTGGGCAAGAAAACGACGAACTCTCAATAATTCTGCATGATTACGGGGAAGAAGTTCAAGATATAGCACCACAGAACGTTAATTTGCCTCCACAATCCTCATACACGACATTACAGGCAATAAACCAATGTTTGATGACTAATAACGCCCAGTCAATCTGCAGCGATTACGAATTTCCTCGGAAGAATTTGGAGTTCATTGGAAATCTTGGAATGGGAGAATTCGGATTAGTTCGACACGCATTCGCCCAAGACATCGTTCCTGGCGAAAGCGAGACTCAAGTTGCCGTGAAGAGCATAATAGGAAATATACAATATGCGAAAGACGCTCTTCTGTACGAAATGAAAGTCATGCTTCACATCGGAAAGCATCAGAATATTGTTAACTTGCTGGGAATCGTCACACTGAATTACTCTGCAGGTGATTATGAAAAGCCCTTATTTGGATCTTTGGTCCACTTATTAGATTGTGTATTTTCTAGGAGACTTTATGATAGTCACTGAATATTGCTCTCTCGGAAATGTCAGAGACTTCTTGAGGAAAAATAAGGAGAATTTCGTCAATGAAATCAATGCAGAAACAGACTTGATCAATTCTTCGCTGAACTTCACAACAATATTTTCTCAATCCGAAATGTAAGACAGAAATCAAGCTCTCGAAGCGCCTTAAGACTCTTCTCTATCTTGCAGAATATTAACAACGTCTCATCTCCTCATTTGGGCTTTTCAAGTGGCGAAAGCCATGGACTTCCTAGCGTCCAAGAAAGTCATTCACGGTGATCTCGCGGCCAGGAATATTCTGCTCTGCGACGCAGTTTTCGTGAAGATTTGCGACTTTGGTCTCTCGAGGATCAAGCAAGAGAGCAACTACTACAGAAAGCGCGACGACAGCCGATTCCCAGTGAAATGGGTCGCCGTGGAGACGATCCACGACAACATCTTCAGCACCTACTCAGACATTTGGTCCTTCGGCGTCGTCCTCTGGGAATTCTTCTCGCTCGGCGCCGAGCCTTACGCAGAAATGAAGATGCAGGAGTTGTGCCAGAAGATTGTGAAAGGATACAGAATGCCGCAGCCCGAATTTTCCACCAATTTTCTCTACAGCGAAATGCTTCGATGTTGGCACGAAGAAAAAAAGGCGAGACCGACATTTTCGGAACTGGAAAACATTTTTGGACATTCCATAAATGCCAGCATAAGAAATTATCTGGACTCTTCGGAAAAGCCGAGAGAAATTGTAGATCGAAACATTCAAAGTCGAGGAACAGATTATATATCTCGCTGCTGAATTTATGAATATCAATTAAATTTATATGTTTTGTGGTCTATCGCGGTATTTTGGATTTAATGCAACGTGTCATGTTACATATGCTCATGGTATTTGCATATCCAAAGGATCTTTTGAACATAAAATGTTCCAATTAGTGTAAAACAAAAAAAAATATTGTGTAAATTCTGTGAATATCGATATTGTTATCGATATTATTCATTTCCACTGTGATATGATTTGGCAATTTTTAATGAATTCCGTCGTTTTCTCTGTGTATCTTGCGGTATTGTATGTCAAAGAATAAATTTCATTGGTAAACGAATAAACGTTAAATTATAGTGTACAATTCAAGTGAAGCGAAAAGTTATTTAATTGGCTTCTCCAATGCTGGATGCCTAAAGAATTCTCATATGTGCCAATTTACCGCAGTCTCTTCGCATTTTTCCTTTAATTAAAATTATCCAGTGAAATGCTTCACTTGCAAGGAAAACACACAACAAAGGAAAAAGCGAACGATTGTTCTCTCCAAATGCACACATGAAAGGATTCGGATGTGGGAAAAGGTGTCTCACTGGTGCTTTTTCTTTCCCTCCAAAGCTCAGCGGCGAGGCCATCCTCTTGGCGACGGCGAGCGTCTCCGGCCTGTACTACCGCATCATGTCGGATGCAGCACACAATCGCACCGTTGACGGCACGAGGACGGGAATTGAGCAGCGCGTGAAATTAGAGTGCGAGCGTGAGCAACAGGAGCAGCTGCTGCTCAGCGTCATTCCGGCGTACATTGCGGCAGAGGTGAGTGCCTGACACCCTCGCCAAACCCCCCTGGGAAAGTGTCCTCATTAAATTAAGAATGTGCCACGCAGCATCAGTCGCCGATCTTGCACAAGTGATTTACTTTTATCACACGGCAAAGCCATCAAAACGGCAATTTAAGCGTGTCGGTTGCCAACATTAAAAGGAGAATTTCATTAGCAAAAACTTAACTATATAGCTGCTGTTACGATCCGAAAGAACAATTTATCAGATGGTGGAAAAGTTCCTGCGGAAAAGTCTCTCCGTGTGTGGGCGAACCATATAAACTGTGAATTTTTCATTCGCCTCCGCCGCACGTTAATTGGCAATCGCCGTGTGGGGACAAATTCCCGCCACAGCGCCTTGCCGTGTTCCCGAGAAAAGCCACACATTCACCATGTGAGGATGGTAAATAATGAAAATATGGTATGGGATAAATGCAAATTTCCCACGTACAGCGGCAAAAACTCCATCCATTTCTCGCCCGTATCTCTTTCAAACATTGATGAAAACAGCAATTTGGGGATGTCTATAATTAGGGTGGTGCACGTTTATGAATTGGGTGGAATTTATCAAGTTGTCGGGGAATTATTCTCCATGATATTTTCACGCCATACCACAAATATTTTAACTTTCCGCCTCTGCCATAGCACATTATGCGTTGCCATAGCTAAAAGAGGGGTGAAAGTGTTGGGAAGGTGATGATCAGAGTTGAATCTAGCACAACTCGTGTGAAATTTCAAGATTCTTCCCATCAAATTTAACCCTTTAGGGCTGATATTCTTCTCTTCGAATGTCCTCTGAACTAAAGTGAATCTCGACAGTTTTATTCACACATTTAATCTTTCCTGCATTTGGAATAAGTCTTATTTTGTTGGGGAAATTCATCTGATTATTGGGGTTTTCTCAGTTTTCCTACTTCAAAAATCTACTTAAAAGATGCGATTTTTTACATCATCATTAAAAAGTGTCCTTTTCATGAGAACACTCTAATCCTTCTCGTGCACAATAGCTTAAACTGGTGGAAATCTTTACCTAGATTTTACATTTGATAACTCAGGGGGATTTATAAGCGAAATGTAGGACTAAAAAGTTAAGCCGATCTCTTGTACATCCTCTCCCCCTGCCCATAAACATATAAATTTTATGAGGGATCACTGACAATGATTTTCCTTGACTTCACACGTGGAAGGGCATGCAAGAGAATGGAAAAGGTCTCCAAGTGAGGCTTTGCCAGATAAAATTCCCTTTCGCACTCCCACACGAGAGGGTGGAGCAGTGGCAGAAACAGAGGGTGGGCGCGTATGGGAACTTAATCGTACCATTGTTCTCTCCTCCCTCTTTTTTCCCCGACAAATGAGAACCTCTCCTCTGTGAATCCTCCGCTCGGATGATTTCCTCCGTCAGAAGATTTGAGGAAAAAAGCTGAGGTAAAAGTTGGTAACAACTTCAGGATTACTCTCTCTCTCTCTCTTCCATATCTCTCCCGCACCTATTATGCTTATGATACACACATTTCAAATATGAAATTCCCCCCACACCCCGTGTGCAATCATTTGAATTTCTCCACTCTACATTACACACTGTAATAATCTTACCTGCCGTCTATCGCCTTGTCGACTCCCCGTCGCTCCTTCGCACAATGCTTCGCCGTTTCCGCGCACCAGAAGGAGTCTCAACATCATGCAAAGCATTATGCATATGAGACAAGTGCCGGGGTGCGCGTGGAAAGGGGCGACAGACGCCTGCAAGTGTGTTAAGGGGGTTGCGCTGAGTGGAATAAATTACGGCACGCTGTGGCGGGATTTACGGAAGTGCGAGGATGCATTAACTAACTTTTCAGTCCGAAAAAAACTGCGACAAGCTTCCCCTGCGTGCTCGTCCGCACTGTTGCAGGATATGCCGTGAGTTTCATCATACAATGTTAATTAATACAACATTTACTACGTATGTTTCGCCCTTCGGCATTTCCCGCTGGCAATATAGGCAATTTTCCGCATTATCCCCACAGATAGTGTCTCAGCACGTCACAGTGCTTGGCAGTGGATCGGGTTTGGTAATGAAGATGTGAATTGAATCTGCCACCTGTTAAAACTTGGAGATTTAAGGGGTGTTTTCCAATATTCCGCAATTGCTCTGCAAAATCTGTGTTCTTGCAAGCAAAGCTGAACACACCCTTAATGCATATTCGCTGTGTTCGTCCTTAATATTGTCTCCTGAGGATTTTCCAGCAAATATTCTCCACCCTCGCACGCCCTCAAGGCGGGAGCACTAAAATGCCAATTTGGAGAAGGTTAGATGGAGAATATTACGGACGCATGAGCTCTTAGCATATTGAGTGCTTGGCTGCCTTTACACAGCAACAATGCTATTTCCTCATCAGACCCACTTCCTCATTCAAATACCAAATCACACATCCTGCATTCACTGTTCCTCACGTTGCCGTCTTCGATGCAGGTGAAGCGCAGCATAATGCTGAAGATGGCCGATGCTTGTAATCATCAAGCGGGTGGCGGACAAACCACGCGCTTTCACGAGCTGTACGTGCAGCGACACAACAACGTGTCCATCCTCTATGCGGACATCGTGAACTTCACGCCGCTCAGCGAGCAACTCACGGCCAGCGACCTCGTGAAGACACTCAACGAGCTCTTCGGTCGCTTTGACCAGATCGCCCAGGAAAATCAGTGCTTGAGAATCAAGATCCTGGGCGATTGCTACTACTGCGTCTCCGGATTGCCCGTGTCACGTCCACAACACGCGGCCAATTGTGTGAACATGGGACTGGCCATGATTGATGCTATCAGGTGAGAAGAGTCAAAACTTCAATTATGATTTAGAATTACACGAAAATCCACTCCATTACACAAATTGCATTTCATTCGCATCAATCGGATTATACTGAAAGTTTCTGTGAAAGCAGAAACGTAAGCTGCAAAATGACTCTTTGAAATTATTGCTTTCAAATAGCGCAACCATAGCATTAATATATAATAATATTCTGCAAAGTCTAAGAGTGAAGATGAAAAGGAAAATGCACTTTCTGAATATTCAATTTAGTTGAATAGAGGTTGTGCTCTTCCAATCTAATCTTCTAATTTTCCATTACTTAGTTACAAAAGAGCAAAATAAATTACTTTATTAACACATATATTATGAAGGCGTCAAGCACAAACGTTAAATTCATTGCTCAAACCTATGCTTAATCTATAAATTGGTCGAATAATCAGTAACATTTAGAACAGCACAATATTTCTGTTCAAACTAAAATCAACAGCAACAATATTAGATGAATCAATGGAAAATTATTTATCTCATTAAGAGAGTAATTTGAAATTCCTATTTGTAATATATTAGAATCCATGAGTGCTGAAAGCGTCACTATATACACTCGATAATGTGTGATTGAAAAGGGGAGCGAAAGCTCTGCTGTCGGTCGTAGCTGTGCATACAATGAGAGTGAATTATAATGGTATAAACTGCAATTATGCAGATTCGTGCGGGAGGCCACCGGCTTCAATGTGGATATGAGAATAGGAGTTCACACTGGCAATGTCCTGTGCGGTGTCCTGGGTCTGCGTAAGTGGCAATTCGACGTGTGGAGCGACGATGTGACGCTGGCGAATCACATGGAGAGCGGTGGAGTGGCCGGGTAAATATTTGCAAGTCCTTTTTGTCGTGCTGTTGACAAGCATTTGCACCAATTTGCACCTGCCGAGCTGACTCATGGTTTCTTTCAGGCGTGTGCACATCACAAAGGCGACACTCGACCATCTGGACGATAAGTTTGAGGTTGAGCCTGGCAATGGAGCTTCGCGCGAGGCTTACTTGGCTGATCACAAAGTGGAGACTTATCTCATTGTCCCGCCAAAGGTGAGAGATTATTGCAATGCAATTTCCGGGAAAAAAGGCTTTTGTAGCCTGTACATTAAACACAGATTTTCACAAAATCATTTGAAATCTTTCAACACTTTGTCAATAAACATTTTCCAATCGAATGCGCATTTAGAATACCTTTTCTGTGCACGGGAATAATGATACAAATGCTCTTGACGCATTTCAATGCGACATGAGAATCGCAAGCGATATTTCCTTGTGATAGCGGCACAATTGTCTGCTTCCTCGTTGCAGAAGTCAACGACGGATTTGTCAAAGATGACGCCGAACAGCTCTCCGAAGCCACCGGACTCCTTGCCAATAAGCAAGGTGTCAATTATGGAGCCCGAGGAGGAGTCGTCTGACACTAAGACGCCCTCGACCACTGACTGTGACTCGCGCGATGAGCTCAAGATTGCACCAGTGACGCTGCAGATAACGCCGACGATCACAGAGGAGGACGACAGCGTGGCGGACGACAAGGACATGAATAAGAAGTCGTGCTTGTCGTTGCCAGTGGAGCCAATGAACGGTATAACCCCACCGGCGGTTCACGATCGCCGGAAACTTTCCGTTCAGGGCTTAATGGGCTTTGGGGAGAGAAGACGATCCTCCGGAGCTTTTCTCACAGATCTCACACGCAAAATGTCCATATCAAATGGTGATGGATTTGGTGAGAAACTTGTATCATACCCGCTAACAACGCCTTTCTTAGCCGATGGTTAGATCATGGCTTTTGTTTCTCCTCTGTTATTGTGAGTGTCTTTCTTCCCTTCCTCGTTCTGGCTGCTTTATGAGCTTCAACTTCCAGATCATGAGAAAATTCAAGGGGGAGATATTGTGGTGAACAGCAGAAATAGTAGGAAAAGTGTATAAAAATTATGAGAAATTTTCAACTTCTTCTGGAAACCTGTATATTCAGTGTACAGATTTCAGCCATATTATCTCCCCTTTGCAGAAAACCTCGACTCCTTAATCAGTTTCACGCTTTCTCTCCATTAATTCTGTCTCAAAGTGCAGTCTCCACTGCAAAGTCAAACTCTTATCGTGTGTCCTTCACAGCTACACCAGGCGGACCGCCGTTGCGAACCCGGCCGTCGTCCAAGATGACCAAGTATGTCGAGTGCTGGGGCGCAGACAAGCCCTTCGCCAACATCACTGACTCGACAATGGCGAAAAACATCGGCCTAGCAGTACGTGTATATAGCGCCGAATCATAAATCACTCAATTGATTCCGATTCCTTGCAGAGCATCGCTATGATCGAATCGAATTTACTCCCACCGGAAAACGCGTGCAGCGACTGTGGATGCTTCGGGCCACCGAAGGAGTTGAAGCCCATCACAATGTGGTACAGAAACGGGCCGCGCGAGGAAATGTATCGCATGCTGCCTGACCCACATTTCCGATATGACTTGATATGTGCATTTATTATGTTCCTCTCAATTGCCGTTATCCAGCTTATAATTGTTAGAAGGTGAGCAAATTGGGGGCGAGAAGTGGGCGGAAATCAACTGATAATGGCTTTGTCTTTCAGTAATGTAGCGCTTTTAGGATCAATGGGTGCTTGCGCAATTTCCCTGGGCATTTTCTTGTATCTGAGCCACTCGCAATTGGGCGAGAGCTCAGCGCCAGGATCTCACGGCCCTGGCCAAGTGATAGCAAACAGTCGTCCTCTGAGGATGGCCATATTCTTCATAACCATCGCTTTAATAGCCGCTTTTGCTGTTTTCAGTGTGGTAAGTGCAACACTTTTCTCTTCCTCCCACTTTCTTTATCGTTTTAGTTACCTATATTCACTCGACTAGATCAATTTCGATGATGAATATTCTCTGGGCACGGCGATGAATATGACTGAGTTCCCACCGATGGAGCCACGCGCTCTTGAAGCCGCGCCAACGTACATCTTCTGCTGCGCTCTCAGCTTGTCGGCAATCTCAGCCTTCTTGCGGGCTGGATTTGTTCTGAAGTTCGCCTCCATGATCCTGGCAATTGGCCTCCAAGGCATTTCGTTGCACTTCAGTGATCTCATTCAGCGCTACGACAGCTACACTCTGCAATCCTGGCCTCTGGTCCTGCAGGGCGTTCTGTTCCTCCTCCTGATCGCCTCTGTGCTGCACACGCTCGATCGCCAGGGTGAATTTGTGTCGCGCACGGATTTCCTCTGGAAGGCGAAGCTAAAGATTGAGCAAGAGGAGGTGGAGACAATGAGAGGCATCAACAAGATTCTGCTGGAAAATATCCTTCCAGCTCACGTGGCGTCGCACTTCCTGCGCAAGGATCGCTCAGACGATCTCTATCATGAGAGCTACTCCTGCGTGGCCGTGATGTTTGCCTCCATTCCCAACTACAAGGAGTTCTACGATGAGTCTGACGTGAACAAGCAAGGTCTCGAGTGCCTCAGGCTTCTCAATGAGATCATCTGTGACTTCGACAAGCTCCTGCTCAAGCCCAAGTACAGCGGCATCGAGAAGATAAAGACAATTGGCAGCACGTATATGATTGCATCAGGATTGCGACCGGGCAAGGAAGAAGGAGCAACGGTAAGTTTGGTGTTTAAAAAAGATAAAAATGCACTATAACATGTGGAAAATGACATTTTGCACAATATTTTCATTCAGTCAGTTAATTTTTACTGACCAATTAGTATAAATACTAATCAAAATGATGCAGTATATAAGTTAATGTGAAATCCACGATATATTCTAATGTTGCCTCAAATTCACGCATGCTTTCCTCCATGACAATAAAACACCCTCAATCATCTGTCCAAATAACACAGAATCCCAGCATCTTGGTAAGGTATCAATTGAGTGTGACATGCTCGATGTCTTGCGAGTATTAAGTGTGATTAACTGTGTCTTGATCTGCTTAAAGATGAGCTCTGATTAATTGATTTGACTCTTGTCTAGGACGAGAAGCGAACGGAGGAACACAATGTGGTGACTCTGGTGGATTTTGCCATATCGCTCATGTCGGCTCTGGACCAGATCAACCGCGAGTCCTTCCAGCGCTTTCGCCTGCGAATCGGTCTCAACCACGGGCCTGTGATTGCGGGTGTGATTGGCGCCCAGAAGCCGCAATACGACATCTGGAGCAACACAGTGAACGTGGCCTCGAGGATGGACTCGTGCGGCATTATGGGACGCCTTCAGGTGAGTGGATGAGACACAAAGAAGGGCCATTTTCCCTGCTCGTGCGGCATAACGATGGGGTATTTTATTGACCATCAGACGACAGAGCACACAGCCAAAGTCCTCATGACGGCGGGTTATGCGTGCGACTGCCGTGGACCAACGTACGTCAAGGGCAAAGGCACTCTCACCACGTACTTCGTAAAGACGCCGTACGACGAGAAGATTTAAGGACACAACATTCGCCCCATTTCACCTCTCCCACACCAAGAGGAGTCAACAAATCACGAGCTTTCTCTCCAAACCTCCGTCGTTGTGAGTCCCACGCACTCTTCCGTCATGCCTCAGCGGATTACCACCGCCCCGCACGCTCACGGGTTTGGGTTATTTCCTCCAGGATCTGGACAGTTTATGCCGCCGAATAACCGCCCTGAGTAAAAATCACAACACAACCCATAAAGCCACCAATCTCTCCTCCAAGGGCGTAGCCAGAAAGCGAACAAGAGGCGCAAATTTAGCACTTTTACTAGCTTGTGAAATTGGAAAGTAATTTCCACTTATCCGGGTATTTTTATTGCATATATCTTAGAATCCTTTAATATCCGTGCCACTGGAAAATAGATTCTTAATAACCATTTACCGATGATGAATTCCCATGTGGAAAAAATATCTTCAGTTATAAAGAATTCTTAACTAAAAAGGAAACTCCGCAAAGTTCCCTTGAATGCAATGTTATTGCTCATTCAAGATTTTAAGCCTCATTCGCTTATAAATCCTCCTTGTGCACGGAATAATCGACTGCCTACGTCCTTGCTCTCATCTCGCATCACCCTTTCTTCATCCCCACAAAAGATTACACTTTGCTGTCGTGCACTGGAAGTCCATTGGAGAAGGAGCACAGATTAGAGATATTGCCAAAGGCTAATCATTTGATCAATTATTGACGTATAATAGAACATAGGATGTTTAGTGTAAACGAAAAGAGAGTCAACTCTCGACATTTGATGTGAAAAAAAGGCTGGAAGAAGAGCCGAAGTGGAGCAACAGGTTTAAAGAATGAAATAAAGGATATATTGGTGGATAATGAGAATCCGTTGACAGTCCAAGTTCAACTGTTGGAATGTGTTAATGGCAATAATTGGAATTCCTCGCCACGCATTGAAAGGATATCTGCTCGTAAAGCGTCAGCACAGATGTTTGGCAGCGGCGACAGAAGGTTTTCTTCTGTATACAGTGAAATAAATTCCTGGAAACTTCCAAGATTTTGGGCTCATAAATATGTTATCTTCGTGCGTTGGATTTGAGCAAAAAGCTGCATTTTATTACCTCAAAATTACGCAATTCCCTAATTTAGTCATCATCATGCTCTTTAATGTTCTCCTCCTCGGCGCAAGGCATAAAGTATTTGTGTCTCAGTAATTCGAGAGCAAGAGAGATGCTCATGGAAGAAAGCCTCAATCTATGCGAGGAACTTTCACAACTCCTCAGAGATTAGCGGGAACTTGTAAAAGCTTAAGCACGCTCTCAAGGGCTCAGTGGTCAACGTGCTGGAAAAGTTGCTTGGAATGGCAAGAAATTGGAGCTGGGAGTGAAACAATTACCACGGGGAAATTAATCATTTCCATGCTCGGAGATTTGGGCTCTTTTGGGTGAATCATGCTCAGTGGAAATTGCCGGGAAATTAAACATTTCCATTTGATGATCACTTAAGAGGGCAACTTAGAGTGTGAGAAGCATTCCACCAATGCATATTTGACGAAGTTCTTTTCCTTCAATCTTCAAAATTTGCCTCACGGCAGAAAGAAATGCTCACAAAGTGATGGAAATAAAAAAGACTTATTTAAACTCAATTCAAACCCTTTTTCTGCTCACTTTTCTCCACTCTTGAGCAGTGAAAAGAGCAACCAAAGGGAAAAAGAGAAAAGTTTTATAGCCTGCGATTCTTTTTACTACATCTCTCTGTGTTTCCTTTTAGCGTTGTCAGAGAGGAAAAGTTCAATCACTCGTGTAGGCAAATCTCAATATTTTTTTCCGTCCCTTTGACTGTTTCGCATGCCATTTTGCTGGAGGAGAAATTCCTTGCAAAGGCAGAATGCGCGAAAACATACAGAGAAAAATTCTCCGAGCATCGCGATGTGGAATGTTGCACACGCAGATTTTATGATAGATTGCCCGCAGACACGAAATATCAGAGAATATATAGAATTTAATTCATGACTCTTGAAGAAAATATACTTGAAATTATGAGTATATTTGCTTCACATTGCGCATCACTGTAAACTCTGTTTACAATTTTACAACCATCCTCATCATCCCCTATATAGACACACCCCAACCACTCGTCGCGTCTTTTCTATTACACCACGACGAAGAACTCAATTTTCCCTGCGAAATGGGATAATATTGTTGTACGCTGAATTCCCACGACAGTGTTAAGCATCCTAAAGGCATATCATGGAATCACGACGGGGAAAAGAAGTATAGAACCGTAGACACTTTTATGGTAATCTTATTTAACTCGTTTCCAGGGAAATTAAATAAATTACGCCATTTATGTGCGGAATCTGCAGAAAGAAATCACCACCACACTTTTTACAGGGAAATGGCAAAAAATTCAAGGTGCGGTTTCATTGTTTTCCCTAATCCTTGGACAAGTGGAGGAAAAGGGAGGTAATTTTGCGTGATTATCCACCAAGATGAGCGCATATCGATGAGAAGCAGACGTGTCTATTTTCTCACTGAACAAAACATATTTATTGATTACCGTACGGAGAATATGTCGAGGACTTTCCCTCGTCAAGAGGCATTATATATGGAAACCTCGGACGCTTAAATTCTATTATAATGTCGTGTGATCTCTGCAACGGCATTCTGCTAAAATCCCTGTACTTGAGGGACCATTGAAAAGTCCCACAATGATTAAATAAACAAGATATGATATTTCAGACGAATTCAGGCATTAAATGCCCAGAAAAGTATATTCAGAAACGTTCTACAATTTCTGTGAAAAACAGCGACTTTGCATGCTCTTCACGAGCACTTTTCGCCCTTAAATTTGCTATAAACATAAATTATATATTTATCATAGAACACTTTGAACATAATCAACTTTTGTCGACATATTTTAACAAGTGCTTTTTGCCACCCGAAAAGCCCAAGAATATAACAGAATAGTGTAAGTTTAGTAGAATATCGTTTGTGAAAATCAGGAAAACCCGTAAATCAATAAGTGCACAAAGGACACGTTGAGTTGACATTGCGAATGGACGCTCTTCGTGCCCTCAAGAGACATAATTTTCTCGCTTTCAGTGTCACAACAGCATTTAAATATCACAATTTTCATCGTGCTCTGCAAGTTTTCTTCTGCAACATTTCGCAAATAACATGTTTACATTCTTGCCACAAATGTGTAAAATGGAAAATCCTTCAGGCTGAGAATTTAGATAGCAAACAGAACAAAATTGACTCCAGAAACAGTGGCTTTAGCAGAGATCAAAAGAATCTCTCGACCTTGCTCTCGACATTTTGCACGACATTGAGCTTGAAAAATCAAAGTGAAAGCGACAATATTTTCACTCGATGGCAGAATTTAAATGTCATCCCTCTGGGATATTTACGTATAATCTTATTATTATTTAAATGTTTGTTTCTCCTCAGTCATGTTGGTCACGAGGGGAGAGTGAAATTCTCTTGGAGTAAATAAAAAAAAAACCACATGAGGCTGTATAAACAAATCTGCCAGAGTAAATTGGGTCAATGAGCTCACTGGAGCTTTCCTTCTCGCTTCTCGCATCGGCAAACAAATCATAATTCTGGAATATAGAATTTTTCCCTCAGCCGCACTTGATTTTTGCTTCGAGAGCGATTGTGTATTGAGAAAGCAATTTGCAGAGACAATACGGACTTATAAGCTTTATTTATAGATCTTGAATTCTTTCACGTCGATTGCACACACTTTATTTGTACTGTCATTTTAACTTTTATGGTGCTAATCTAGGGGTTAATTGAACACGAATACCCTTCTCAGATGAGAAAGTGATATTTTTGGAGATTTTCAAAGGAATCTGCGTCTTTTCGGTGGGTTCTATCTTGAAATTGAGAATTAAGTAGTACAAAATAGCTTTAACTTCCATCAGACCAAAGCGAGAGCCTGAAATGGAAAACAAAATCCTTAGATTGTGCTCATAATCTGATCGTCTTAAACTCACCAATGCAGTTCCTTGGCCCAATTCCGAATGGTAAATAAGTCCCTGGAATGATTTTGCCCTTGTTCTCGTCGCTGAATCTTTCAGGGTCGAATTTCTCTGGATCTGGAAAGTATTTCGCATCATGTTGAATTGCATGCGTTGGAATGACGAATTTATCGTCGACAGAGAATTTGTAGTTTAATCCATTTCCATCATCGAGAGTGAAAGCTTTAGTGCAAATTCTTTCCAAAAAGAGCACGGGCGGCCACATTCTCAGGTGTTCAGAGACAACCATGTCCAGATACTTCATCTTCTGGATTACATCGTAATTCAGCGATTTGAATCTCAATTCTTCATCAGTTTCCCGAATTTCTTTATAGAGTTTTTCCTGAATTTCCGGATTTACAGCCATTTCGTAGCTCAAAAACGAAAGCGCCGTTGAAACTGGTTCAAATCCAGCAATAAAGAATAAGAAACACTGCGCCAAAATATCATCATCTGAAAGATCTTTCTTTCCTTCTTGCTTTCCGATCTGGGACTCTTCGACAGTTGCGAATCCGGCAGAATCAATTTCTTTATCCGAAGTCTGATGCGTTAATCTTCCTTTCTTGGCTTCCATCAGCAAATGAATCATGTCAGGACGAATTATGTTGTTCTTCTCACGATAATCCATAGCACCAATTATAGTTGTCTTGAAATATCTTATCAAACCATCTGGAAATATTTCCAATCTCAGTAGATTTGCTAATTTCGGGAAAAACATGCATATAATCATCCTTATCATACGAAGAGGATTCTGCATGTTTGTTATACTACTGCCGTACTCAAAAAATTTGTTCTTGCGATGTTCCAGCGAATTGACTTGAATGCCAAAAGCACACGTTGCAATAATGTCGTTTGACATGCGAGAGCAAAAGTCCTTCATTTCGTACGTCTGAATTCCCTTTTCCTTCGTCTCCTTGTTGACAAACGCAACCATTTGATTCGAACACTCAGAAATGAGTTCGAACATCAATCGCATCTTGCTTCCAGTGAACGCTGGACTCAGAGTGGCTCTCATGGCTCTCCAGTAATTCCCTTTGAGCAAAAACAGTGTTTTGCTCAATATCGAGTTAGTGTCAGCGGTGAAAACATCGCGACGATCGCTGAAGTTGTCAAACTCCTTAACAGCGAGATACTTTATCAGCTCCGGATCTCTCAGCACAACAACAGGAGTTCTGAACTCAAATGAGCCAAAGAATCTGCAAGAAAATCTTTTATCAGACACTTTTGATAACTGATAAAGCAGTGGCTTACTTCTCTTGGGGAAAAGCTGAGTACACTTCTTTTAACAACTCCAGCAATGTGAGTTTTCGTGTGAATAAATTTCCTGAACAGCCGACCATAAATGTTGGCGCAAGGAATTTAACGCCTCGGTCTTTGAAGTAGTTCTGATTATGATATCCCTTGTCCAACACAAGCTTGGTGAGCAGCACCACCACAATGAAGAGCAACAGCTGATACATTTTGGTGCGCCGAATCCAATTCGCGGCTATTTTTATAGACAGACTGGAAACACTTATGAATTGAGACGTAAAATCACAAATTCCGAAATGTCTTTGGACTCACAGAAGCTTTCAGTTCACGTGAAACTTGATTGTTTTCTTCGATTCCATAAATGCACAAAATATTATTCAATATGTGCGAAATTATTGATTGAAATATGAGAATGATGAGATGCGTCTATATCAAACGCACAATTTGTACTAAAGAAACTCACGAATACGATGAATACCAAGTTGTGTGTTGCGTATTTGATTGAAGTTGGGAATCCAATATGTGTGCGTGAACACACGAATACTATCAGTCTTATTATACACAACAAGAAGCCCACGATAGAATTAAGAGATAACTGAGAAATATAGTGTGAATTCTACACTTTTCATGGTTTCAAATTTTGTTATTAATTAATTGACAATTAAAAGCAATTTAGCGCAATATATGAATACAGAACAAACATTATCAAAATATTTTAACATACACCAAATTCTTAGTTTTGGTTGATAACATTTATCAAGGTACACTTTATATCAATTAATCTTTAGATCTTGGAGTTAATTGAACCCAAATGCCTTTCTCGCCTAGCATAACAGAATTCCTTGCGAGCTTCAGAGGAATCTGTGTCCTTTCATTGGCTTCAATTTTAAAGTTGAGCAGCAAATGGTAGAAAATGGCTTTAACATCCATCAGAGCGAAGCGAGATCCTGAAAAAAAACCAAATCAATTTAATGTTGATTAACCATAAATCAGAAACTCACCAATGCAGTTCCTTGGCCCGATTCCGAATGGCAAGTAAGTTCCTGGAACGATTTTGTCCTTGTTCTCGTCGCTAAATCGTTCGGGATCGAATTTCTCTGGATCCGGAAAGTATTGTGGATCGTAATGAAAAGCTGCAATTAGCACCATGAATATATCATCCTCTGCAAACGTGTAATTTAGTCCTGTATCATCCTTCAAAGTAAATTCTTTAGTACATTTCCTGTCCACAGCAGGAACTGGAGGCCATTTTCGTAAACTCTCAGAGACAACCATGTCCAAATACTTCATCTTCTGGATAGAATCGTAATTGAGAGGTTTAGATCCCAATTCTTCCGCTATTTCTTGAATCTCTTTAAAGACTCTCTCTTGGATTTCCGGATTTGCAGCCATTTCATAGCACAGAAACGAAAGCGCCGTTGAAACAGTGTCAAATCCGGCAAAGAAAAATATGAAACATTGTGCCAAAATATCGTGATCGGAAAGATCATTCTTTCCTTCTTGCTTTCCGATTTGAGACTCTTCAACAGTTGCAAATCCGGCAGAATCAATTTCTTTATCCGAAGTCTGATGCGTTAATCTTCCTTTCTTGGCTTCCATCAGCAAATGAATCATGTCAGGACGAATTATGTTGTTCTTCTCACGATATTGCATCGCGTCGTAAATGGCTCTTCTAAAGTATGAAATGGCATTTTGTGAAAATATCTTCAGCTTCATTGCACTGCCCAATGTTGGAAATACCATTAAAAATAGAAATTTCAAAAATCTGGGGAACTTGAAAAAGTTCACCAAGTCTTTTGAATTTATAAAGAATTCGTTCTTATCATTTTCCAGCGAATTGACTTGAATGCCAAAAGCACACGTTGCAATAATGTCGTTTGACATTCGAGAGCAAAAGTCCTTCATTTCGTACGTCTGAATTCCCTTTTCCTTCGTTTCCTTGTTGATAAATTCAACCATTTGATTCGAACACTCAGAAATGAGTTCGAACATCAATCGCATCTTGCTTCCAGTGAATGCTGGACTCAGAGTGGCTCTCATGTCTCGCCAATCATTTCCTCTGAGTAAAAGGAGAGACTTTGAAAAGACAGGCTCAACATCATCGTCAAGGAAATTGCGGCGATTGACGAAGTGATTGAATTCCTTCACAGTCAGTTGCTTAACAAGATTTGGATCCTTCAACACGACAATTGGTCGACGGAATTCAAATAAACCGAAGATCCTAGTAAATTTCAATAATATAAGCACACAATACACAATACTTATATCTATTCAACATTACTTCTCAGTCGGAAAAGATTTGTGCATATCCACGAGGAATTCTATTACTGTTCTCCTGCGTGTAACAAGATTTCCAGAATTTCCAAACATGAAGTAAGGTTGTGCAAACTTGATGCCTCTCTCTTTGAAGAAATTCTCATTTTCATACCCCTTGTCAATGATAAGCTTCACCAGAAGCACTAATACAAGTAAAAGCAACAACATTTGAAACATTTTGCGCAATAGAGTTTGTCACGTAAAATCACTGAAATTTCTTCCCAGTTGGAAGATTGTTTCACAAGTGATTGAAGACTGAGGTTCAAGATATCTTTTATAAGCGACTTTATCACATTAGCCAAGCTGTACTTCAAACCCGGAACTCGATATCGATTTCTTCACTTTCGAGAGGGAAGAAGTCTTATCAAATGCACCGACAATACTGACGAAGCAAAAGATTCTCAATACGACTGAGGCGTGAAAACTTGCAAATATATTGTATATATTTACTTGGTAGTCTTGCTTGTAGTGACAAAACAAATATCAATCCAGTGTTATGTAAAATCACACATATAAGAAATCTCTTCTGTGGTGTAAAACGAAGAATTGTTATACTGTATTGGCATTCATGGCAATATATTTGGAGAAAAGCTTTAGTTTTAATTATCATTGATAAATATAACGAATTATTCTTTGGATCTCGGCGTAAGTTGGACCCAGATTCCCTTTTCAGATGCCATCGCAGAGTTTGTGGTGAGTTTCAGCGGAATTTGCGTCTTCTCGTTGGGCTCAATCTTGAAGTTCAGGATTAAGTAGAAAAGAAATGCTTTGACTTCCATCAAAGCGAAGCGAGATCCTGAAAAAGCAAAACATAATCAGACACTCTATCTAAAATTATGTATTATCTAACATTTTATCTGTTCTTCAACTTACCAACGCAATTTCTGGGTCCAATTCCGAATGGTAAGTAAGTTCCCGGAATAATTTTATCCTTGTTCTCATCGCTAAAACGTTCGGGATCGAATTTTTCTGGATCTGGAAAATATTGAGGATCATAATGCAAAGCTCCGGTAAATATAACGAAAACGTCTCCTTTTTTAAATGAATATTTCAAGCCTTCTCCGCAATCCAGAACGTATTCTTTCGTGCAAACTCTATCAAGGAAGGGAAGCGGAGTCCATTTTCGCAAACTCTCAGAAACCACCATGTCAAGATACTTCATCTTCTGCAGAGTATCATAATTTATAGCTTTCTGGCCAAGGAGTTCATTTGTCTCTAAAACTTCGTCAAAGAGTCTCTCTTGGATTTCCGGATTTACAGCCATTTCATAGCACAGAAACGAAAGCGCAGTTGAAACTGTTTCGAATCCAGCAAAGAAAAATATTAAACATTGCGCCAAAATATCATCATCTGAAAGATCTTTCTTTCCTTCTTGCTTTCCTATTTGAGACTCTTCGACAGTTGCGAATCCGGCAGAATCAATTTCTTTATCCGAAGTCTGATGCGTTAATCTTCCTTTCTTGGCTTCCATCAGCAAATGAATCATGTCAGGACGAATTACGTTGTTCTTCTCACGATATTGCATTGCATCCAAAATTGCACTTCTGAAGTACGATATTAGACGCTGTGGAAATGCTCTCACCTTCAAGGCGTTGCATATTTTAGGGAAAGACATCATAAAGACAAGTTTTGCTATACGAGATAGTTGAGCAAGATTCGTCAAATTCTTCCCGTTCAAGTAGAATTCGTTCTTCTGCTCTTTCAGCGAATTGACTTGAATGCCAAAAGCACACGTTGCAATAATGTCGTTTGACATTCGAGAGCAAAAGTCCTTCATTTCGTACGTCTGAATTCCCTTTTCCTTCGTCTCCTTGTTGACAAACGCAACCATTTGATTCGAACACTCAGAAATGAGTTCGAACATCAATCGCATCTTGCTTCCAGTGAATGCTGGACTCAGAGTGGCTCTCATGTCACGCCAATCATTTCCTCTGAGTAGAAATAATGATTTGCAAATTGCAGGATCATTTTCGTCGACAAAAATGTTACGGCGGTTCACGAAGTGATCGAACTCCTTGATCATAAGACACTTTATAAGTTCCGGGTCTCTTATCACTAACAATGGCGATCTGAACTCAAACGTTCCACAGACTCTGTAAAAAATCACAAGATTGTTAAGTACAAAATACCACAAATTGTGATAACAGTTTTACCTCTCATTTGGAAATGAAGAATATGCGTCACATAACCATTTGAGTATGGATTTTTGGCGTGTAAAAATATTTCCCGAATTTCCAACAAAGTAATACGGTTCCGAGTATTTCACTCCTCTTTCCTTGAAGTAGTTTTCATTCTTATATCCCTTGTCGATGATGAACTTGGTGAAAAGCGCCGCCGCGACGAGAAGCAACAATTCCACCAACATTTTGTGCGTCTATTTCTATAATATCTCAACACACACACACAAGTCTACTTTTGCGACGCAATTCCAAATAACTCTTGTCGACACTATTCTTCTCAGCAAAGGTGTTCCAGAATTACTCGAAGATTGCAATTCGAGGCATCTCTTTTATACGTCTCGGAACGTCACGATGAAGCCAAAGGTACTAAAATAACTCCCGGATCTTGATATCGATTTGGTTTATATCGCAAAAGAGATACGACCTTATCGAACGTGCCGGCACTACTGAGAACACGGCGGTCGTCCTGCTGGTGTGAGCTATAAAAATCATAAGTAAACATACAAACACAATCTTATGTCATGCTTCAGTGTAGTGAAATAAAGGCCATGTGTGAATATTTCATTAATGAATGAATGTTACTTTATTCTTTCCAGTTGCATTTGTATGTCAATTTAACGTACAAAATTCTCTAATGAATACAATGATTAAATATCACGAATTATTCTTTGCATCTCGGCGTAAGTTGGACCCAGATTCCCTTTTCAGATACCATTGCAGAGTTTTTGGACAGTTTCAGCGGAATTTGCGTCTTCTCGTTGGGCTCAATCTTGAAGTTCAGGATTAAATAGTATAGAAGAGATTTGACTTCCATCAAAGCGAATCTCACTCCTGAAAGGAAAAAGGAAATCTCAAAACAAAGAACTTTGACTGAAAATTCATCAACTAACCAATGCAATTTCTGGGCCCTAATCCGAATGGCAAGTAAGTTCCTGGAACGATTTGATCCTTGTTTTCGTCGCTGAATCGTTCGGGATCGAATTTCTCAGGATTCGGAAAGTATTGAGGATCATAATGCAAAGCTCCGGTGAACACAATGAAAATGTCTCCTTTTTTGAATGAATATTTTAAGCCATCTCCGCAATCCAGAACGTATTCTTTCGTACAAACTCTGTCGAAGAAAGGAATTGGAGTCCATTTGCGAAGGTTTTCCGAAACCACCATGTCAAGATACTTCATCTTCTGCAGAGTATCATAATTTATAACTTTTCCATCGAACTGTTTGTTCGTGTTCAGAATCTCTTCATAAAGTCTCTCTTGAACGTCTGGATTTGAAGCCATTTCGTAACACAGAAATGATAAAGACGTCGAAACTGTGTCAAAACCGCCAATGAAGAATATTAAACATTGCGCCAAAATATCATCATCTGAAAGATCTTTCTTTCCTTCTTGCTTTCCGATTTGAGACTCTTCAACAGTTGCGAATCCGGCAGAATCAATTTCTTTATCCGAAGTCTGATGCGTTAATCTTCCTTTCTTGGCTTCCATCAGCAAATGAATCATGTCAGGACGAATTATGTTGTTCTTCTCACGATATTGCATTGCATCCAGAATCGCTCTTCTAAAGAACGAAATTAGTTGTCGTGAAAATAACTTTACCTTCAAGGCTTTGCATATTACTGGAAATATTAACATTACGAGGAGTTTCACTAAACGAGACATTTTAGCAAGATTCGTTAAATCTTTCCCGTTCAAGTAGAATTCGTTCTTCTGCTCTTTCAGCGAATTGACTTGAATGCCAAAAGCACACGTTGCAATAATGTCATTTGACATGCGAGAGCAAAAGTCCTTCATTTCGTACGTCTGAATTCCCTTTCCCTTCGTCTCCTTGTTGACAAACGCAACCATTTGATTCGAACACTCAGAAATGAGTTCGAACATCAATCGCATCTTGCTTCCAGTGAACGCTGGACTCAGAGTGGCTCTCATGTCACGCCAATCGTCTTCTTTCAGTAAGAAAAGGGATTTATAAATGGCCGGATCACTTTCATCAGCAAAGATATTTCGGCGATTCACGAAGTGATCGAACTCCTTAATCGCAAGATGCTTGATAAGCTCAGGATCTTTGACAAGCAGCACAGGTGATCTGAAGTCGAAGATTCCGCTGATTCTGTGAACAAATCAAGTTCACTAATACGCTGAATAAATTACGTTGTATGTGAGACATTACTTATCTTGTGGAAATGCTGAATACAAATCTAACGTCCATTTCAGTATGGATCTTTTGCGTGTAAAGAGATTTCCCGAATTTCCAACCAGGAAATTCGGTTGCAAGTATTTCACTCCTCTTTCCTTGAAGTAGTTTTCATTCTTGTATCCCTTGTCGATGATGAACTTGGCGAAAAGCGCTGCCGCGATGAGAAGTAAAAATTCCACCAACATTGTAACAATTTTTTTGATAATCGCGAAGCAAATTAACTCGACGGTGTCCCACGCATCGGCAGTAGCGACAAGACTGACGATTTTTCTGGCGGTGTGAGCATATAAACATCAAAAAGCTTGCACACAAATGCAAAGCTATGTGAAATACACAAGTTATGTGAGTATTTCATAATAATGAGTGAATCTTTCTCCCTATATTGATCCAGTCAGAGCACCTCTGATGTGTTTTTCTGCTGCCAATGCAAGATAATGGACTTAAAGCATCCATCACGGTTAAAGCAAGGGATTGAAGAACTCTCCGTGTTCCTCAGAATAATTGTGCTGCATTAGCATTTGCCGAGACACGACGATCAATATTCTGCATTATTCTCAATTACTCACTGCCCGAGTCCAATACAGGTGTAATTAGTTTTCACTTCAATCAAGAAAGTGAAGGTTTTCCCAACGCCGCCAGCTGAAGAAAACACATGCCAAGCTTGTGATATTTGCCTGCAATTGAGGAATTCCTCTTTTTCCGCTCCCTCGCACAGCTGAGCATAATTCTGGGGAAAATGTATGCAAAATCAATTTGAGCGGATGTTGCGCTGCCGTGTGATAGATGATGACCAGCCCTTGTCCTCAGTGGCAAATCTACATTTTTCACAAGAGGTGAATTGCAAAAGCGAGTGGAAAAGCGTCAGAGCTGAAGGAGAGACAACATCAATCACGCCATTAAACTTTTATACACTGTTTTCGTCTCGAGAGACCCAAACACATCAGTTTATTTACCCTCCGCAGGCAAAGGAATGCGTCCCCGAAAGATGCCTCTTCAGGTATTCCCTTGGTATTTCACGTGGAGATAATTTTCCAATGATTTCAGCAATTGTCCCATCTCACAGTCTTTTCCACCTCAATGATGCCTGTTGGGAAGAAAAATGAATCCATTGTACACACAAATTCAAACTCACATTGTTTAACTTTTTCCTCCTCATCTTCTTGCCAATCTCTGGGAAGAATCTAGGCAAAATCTTCTTCTGCGAAGGCACTTTTCACGCTTTCGTTTTTTTTTTCCACCCTCCGCTAAATGATTTCGTCTCTTCATTTGCATAAGGAAAAATCCTTAAAGACTCTGTCACTCGCGAGAGGACTTTTCCAACTCAATGCATGATAATGGAAGCCGAGAGTGTTCTGTCACTGGAAAGCTCTTGAGATTTAATTGAAAATGGCACAAACTTTCACGGTTAGTCAACTGAGGGGTGAAAATATTGGATAGTACATTGTGATTAAAAGTTTCAATATCAAAGTTCAATTGGTTCAATTACTAAGTCGTTTGCTAAAACCATTTTATGTCTCTCTTCTCGTGCATAAAATTTCCGACAAAGCTAAATGGTTACAAAATACTCAAAAGATTGAAGAAATTGGGAGAATTGCTGATGTTTTTGATTTAGTGAAGGTTTTGCCACAGATTTAGATTAGTCATTGCTAATTTATCAGTGATTAAATAATCAGTAAATTCATATCTACTTCCATCGTTTCTGTCTATCATTTTGATGTGTCTTCAATGTTAAATGATAAGATATTTTTCCACATTGAGCTCCGATTTATCCCTTTGTCATAATGTCAATTGCATCCAAATGCTAAAATGCACTTAAAACGTCAATTGTAGGTGAAAATAAAACCAATGCTAAGAGCAACAGAAAATAGGGCAGCAACACAATGCATGAATTAGCAATTAATTCCATTAGCGATGCTGTGGCATCAATTAAAATTCAGGAATGGCGCCAAGCGAGGAATGAGTGATGATCTGGGCAATTTTTGAATTTACCTGCCACCCACGGAAATTCACCCCCAGCGTTCCATTTAATAATTTATTTGGCAAAAAGTGTATCTCGTTAATTTTTCATGCGTCTCTCATTCAATTTAGCTGAGAAATGAATTTTCTTTACCCGTAGCAGCGAAAGGGACGCCAAATGAGGGGCTGGAGGGCCTGCAAAGTGTATTTATCTTTTGGCAGAGATACTGTGAATTGGTTCATCTTTTCTTCATTCGCGCCAAGGGATGCCGCCCATCTCTTCACAGGGCATATTTCATCCCCTGCCCGCCGCCCCGAACCGGAGAAAAAACCAAGGGTGTGCGGTTGAAATATTTGCTTCCAGCAAGAAGAGAATATAAGAGGCTTGAAGGATGAAAATGTTTAATCTGCGCTCGAAGGTGGAGTGGCGAAATTGGGGGTGACAGGAGAGTTAATTGCCTGATTAAATGTGATTATAATGTATGGCTTTTACATATGGAAAACATGAAAAACACAAAAATTCACTGCAAAATTTTCGCGCGGTTTTGCTGATAATGTTTTTCAAAGGGCACGTAAAAATCACTGTTCATTCAGTTCACTGCAACGCATGGACGGGTGGATTTAATCAGATTAAACCTGACAAAATGTTGCATTTTTATCCTGTGAACTTCGCTATTAATTTTTGCGCATTTTCCGCTCTTTCCCATATCACACAAAAAAGCCAAAAACCCGGAAAATCATAGAGATATATTGATTTTGTATTTATTTACCTGCAATTCAGCGTAAACAGAAAGTTCAAAGGTGACAAAGAAACTATTTCAGCCATGGAATTGCTGAATGGAAGTCTTCGATGGACTCTTGAACTATTCAATCAACAGGAAAAGATTGAATTGCATTCAGAAAGTGGGAAAGTTGCATCACTTTTCAGCACAACAACTTAAAAATTGTCATTGCATTTTGTCAAAAGCACACATTCAATTTGCTACACGAGTTCTTAGAAATATGAAAGCTATTACTTTGATCGAATTCTCCTTACCTTTATTGTTATGGAACATCTATTATTTTTTTTCTCCAATACAAACTCGAATGCTTTTAGTAATTTTGAAGGATTAAATATGGTTTGTCATAGCACCGCCAGATGGAGTGCTTCTATTAAGAGTCCTCCATATGAAAAAATAACAATATTGATGACAAAGTCAAATTTTTATTTAGAACATATTGGCCAATTTTTGTCACATTAAGAATGAGGAGTTCTTTGCCACTGTTAGATGTTATTACATACACAAAGAGCAGTAATGAATTATTTATTATATTCTAATTGATTCTGGAAAATACTTCTACTGCGGTTTATTCCTCAGGAATTTGATGATTTGTAATTGAATTACTTTCTTTTTGATCCTAATATCATCATCTTTATCTATATTTATTCCTGCAAATCAGTTCTTTGGGTGTGAAGGCAGCCTAATCAATACAGACATCAATATCTCTATTTCCATGTGTCTTGGCCTTAGTTGTGTATAAACTGAGATGACAGCAATTGCAATTCCTCACTCAGAACTGTGTTTCCTTGCATTCTCAGCACAAAAAAACCCCAAATAAACTCTACAAATGTGTTTGCAATTAATTTGACAGTGATATTAAGAGTGACACTTATTGTTTAAGACTCTGTTCGTGTTATCATTGCAGATGTCGTGCTCAAACTTAATAGACCTCAACGATGATTGCTTATTATGCATCGCGTCATTCCTACATCTTCGCGATTTACTCAGTTTCGAGCACGTCTGCCAGCGAACGCAACAAGTGAGTACTTAATTCCATTTTGTCACATAATCGCTGAACCTGCGGCACTTTCAGGTGGCGCGGTTGCAGTATCGCAAGTACCGCAGATATCGACTCTTATTGCGCGAAGAGGGCGGAGAATCTGACAAGGTTTTATCCAGCATCGGGGAGTTTATTGAGTGTATGGAGTTTTCCTGTGGCTTCACCATCAGCAGCGACATAAAGAGGCGAATCTTGGGGAATATCGCGAGATTCTGCGAGAAAATGCACACAATTATACTCAGGTGTGGATTTGTGATGAGATTTTGCGAATGTCTTACTCAATTTCATTACATTTCTCAGATATTTCTCTCTGAATTCCATTGAGACTATCGAAGATTTGCAGCCTCTGGCGAACTGTAAAGCTCTCAAGACAATTTACCTGATAAACTGTGATGCCAACAGTGAGTTTCTGCAAAACTACGAGGAATTGAAGCATGTGAAAATAATCGACTATCATCAGTGAATGTCTATTTTGAAGACACTTTGATTAAAAGAACAGTTGTCACACTTTATTAAGCAGTTTGAATGACAGCCAAATTGTTGTTTTACCTAATTTCACTCATATTCACTTACCTCACTACCGATAATGAGCAGAAAGTGCTTTTATTTATCTTCTTACGCCAATTGTCGTCCCTTTAAATGAAGGTTCATTCATGAATTCAACAATTCTTTACGCACTCTCCAAACCTCATCCGAGACACACTCCTTTGGAGACGCGTTTTCAGCTGTCATTCCGCCATCGAAAGGTGGTCTTGTGTGAGGAGGAAAGTCGCTTTTCTCCCCAGAAAAATGCTGATTTTGTGATTCTCCCTAGTGATAGACAAGTGCGAAGGCAGCGGAAATGACGTACAACTGGTGGGATTGCAGTGAATTGATCGAGAAGATCGAGGAAGATGCGGCTTTGCAGGCCAAAGCTAAAGACATGTGTACAGGTTAGGATTTCCCTTTGACTTCTCCTTGGCCTCCCGCCGGCGACTTTCCCGCGAATCTCACCACTTTCCGCTCTGTTTTTTCCCCCGCCCAGAGCTGTGCCGCAAGGCCTTCAGCGTCACGGAGCTGGTGGAGCGATTGGGGCCACTGTTGACGTCACAGAACACATCTCATCGCTCCCGGACAATGGATCTCTTGTCGGCGATTCTGCAGAATCTGCCCGGAAACTTCCTGTCCGGCGCCCAGTTGAAGTTCGTCGTGGCCTTCTACGTGGACAGGACGAAGGATCATCACTCTGTGGTGCCGGCAATCTTGACTGGGACACTCGCGATGGCACGAATGACGCACATTCCGGAGGATGACTTCGTCACGCTCTTCCTCACGCTCATCGGCGGCTCTGTGACGTGCCAGAGCCAGACCAGGTCCGATCGGGAGACTTTCTACGAGATTATCGAGCACACGTGCCTGGCGCACACGACCAAGCTCACCGCTGTCAAGGATGCACTGCTGCAGGGCGTCATCGCGACGCTGGAGGGCGAGCGTGACCCGCGAAACCTGCTGCGCATCTTCACATTCATGCCAAAGGTGCTGGAGCTGTATCCACTGGAGCACTGGACTGAGGAGATGTTCGAGGTGTTCGCCTGCTACTTCCCCGTGGACTTCTATCCGCCGGCCAACGTCGCCAATCCGATCACGCGCGACCAGCTGGCGGAGAAGCTCCTCATCTGCCTCACCACGTGCAAGGACTTCGTGGAGTTCTGCATTCCGCTGGCCGTGGAGAAGCTCGAGAGCCAAATCAAGGTGTCGAAGATGGATTCACTGCAGCTCCTGGCCAAGTGCGCCACTCTGCACGGCGCCGAAGCCTTCGCTGATGCCTTTCCCAACGTCTGGCTGAGTCTCAAGGTGGAACTCCTGCCCGGTGTCAATGAGGAAGTCACCGCGGAGACTCTGTCCACCATCAGATCAATACTCGCGGCGGCGGAAGCGTCTGAGAGTCTGACGGAAAATCTCCTGAACGTTATTCTGCACTCAATCACGATCTCTCTCTGTGACACGAAGCTGCGGCTCTTCACGCCCGCCTGTCGCATTGTCACGACGTGTGCACGCAGCAATTCGCACGCCGCTGCCTGCGTGGCCAACAAACTCCTGCCCATGTTCCTGTCGCAGCTCGAAGACGACACGACTGATGGCCAGAAGACGATCATCCTGAAATTTGTGACTGAACTCGTGGGTATCAGCAGAGAGAGCGCCGTCCTGACGGCCGTTGAAGCTGGAACGCGTGAGAAAGTGCAGAAGATCTTCGTGGAGTGTCTGAAGCAGGACAAGGCGTCCCAGGAACTCGCCTTCAAGGGACTAAGTGAACTTGCAGAGTTACTGGAGGCCTCAGAGAAAGAGATTGTCTACCAAAATCTCCTGCAAAATCTCCAAGACGGCATTGATGTGAGCATGAAAGCCACAATTGAGAGATTCGCGCAGTGTCACGAGGTGGAATTGAGGGAAAAGGTCGTGCTGAAGCTCTTGCAGAATGATTTTCTCCAGCCAACGAATGCCAGAGCAGTTTTCCGCTGTATCGTGAGTCTTGTGTGTGTTTGGCCCTCTTCGGACATCCTCTACAGATTCCTGCTGGACAGCATCTTCACGGACTCCCGGACGGATGTGAAACTATTGGCGCTCCAGAGTGTTGAGGAATTGCTGACAAACTCCAAAGACGCCACCATTTCGCAGAACTTCATTTCAACCCACGCAATCATCGAGCAGTGCATCGACTTCTTGCGCCAAAGTCCCGTTCTTCCCGTGGAAATTCTCACGACCACATCGCAAGTGCTGAAGCTCTGCACACGGACGCTGAACAAGGATCAGCAGGGCGACAATCTCAGGCGCTTCCTGCCCGATTTGGCGCCGCACAGAGGCAATGAGTTGTTCCTCTTCGACGGCCTGATAGCGCAACTCTGTCCGGACGTGGACATTTCGGCGCACTTCCACCACATCACGAAGGACCTAATTGAGCACGCGGTGGAGATCTCTCGCGGTGAGATCAGCGCCAACTCGAGCGTCCACCTCGAGGTTTGCGACGCACTTCTCTGCTCTCTCTTCAACCGCACCGTCTTGGATGTCGTGTTCGAGGAGACACTCAGCCAGTCCGTGAACTATCTCAATCGCCAGATCGAGGTGAACTTCCTGGGCGTGCGGACGTTCGCGTGGATCCTCAAGGGTCTCCTCGCGAAGAACCACCGAAAGGCATCGTCGCTCATCAAGGACTTCACGGCGCTTCTCCACATTGAGCGTCTGCAGGAAGACGTTCTGGTTGGCTTTCGTGTGCTGGCAAAATCCTCCGAAGACATCAATTTGCCAAACATTAAACCACTCTATAAGCAGAAACTCTTCGAATTGGTGCTAAAAAGCATGACGACGCAGGACAAGTTCAGCGCTCATCAGTTGGCGGCGCTGGCGGAAATCCTGCTGCATCTGCCCATGAAGGTGATCACGATAAATTTACAGCGAATCGGAGCGATTCTCTTTCAGTGTCTGGAGTGCGAGAAGAGTGACACGCTGCGCATCACGCTGACGCTCATCAATCGTCTACTGTGCGAGGAGAGTGACTTCTGTCGCTATCATCTTCAGTCGCTCATTCCGCGCTGTCTTCAGCTCAGCGTCTGCAAGCAATCGCTGGTGAGTTGAGGGAATCTCAAGGAGAAGCCCGAGAAATCCTTTTTGAATCAGTAAAGTAATGATTTTCACGCTCACTTTGCAGAGAGTTCGACTGACCGCTCTTGAATTCCTGCTCACTGTCACGAAGAAGTACGACACGGTTCTTCTGCTTCCCTTCAAACAGGACGTCATCTTCGGCCTGCAGCCCGTGTTGGACGACCACAAGCGAATTGTGCGCACAGCGGCTGTGAAGGCGCGCGCTGCGTGGTTTGTTTTCGACGCCTCGAAGTCTTAATTGCAAGAAGAGATGTTATAGTTGTTGAAGATATTGTATATGGACGAAATATATACTTAATGAATTTACTGAATTGCTGCCTTTCACTGCAGAACTAGCCGAGAATGATCACATATAAAGGTTTTATTCAATTATTCACATTATAAATGGGATGACACAACAATAAGTTAAGTAAAGTTATTAAAGTAAAGTGTGACTATCATTGCGATAAATCGTCCGTGGAATTCTCGACAAATTAGTCGATGAACTTGTAAAGCTTCACGTACAGACAGCATGATATGATCATGCCGAACAGCGGAATCACACTTGAGCCGGCCGCCAGTGTTCCGAGGATTATGAGATGATGCCTGAGGTCCTCCGACATTTGGTAGATGCAGCCCTGAAGGAGAGATCATTTAGGCGCCAATTCGACAATGAGAAAAGGAAATTCTTGCGATACCGTGTAGTAAATATTGCTAGGATGATCACGCAAGCCGCACAAGTACGTGGCCGAGACGCAGCAAGAGTCCGGAACCACGCGATCCTCGTGCGTGAAGAGCAACTCCTCGCTCTCGCCGGTAATCCAGAGACTCTGTCGCCAATCCTCGAACCGCACAGCTCCGCAGCATTTGTACTAAACACCAAAGTAGCTTTAGAAGTTAATTCAGCTTGAGTTAAGAGGAGATAATTGACCAAAAATCTGTGCAACATTTCCACAATTTCATACAGAATCTAATTCTGTTCTAAGATCAGATGAATTATCCAGAAATTAAGACATTAAATTAGGAAATCCGACCACAATATCTCCCCCTTGGCTCGGGAGTTCTTATCAATTACCTCTTGCTGCATCTGATCAATCGCTTTGGTTCGCCCCTGATCAATTGCGTAGCTGAAAGAAGAAGAAAACACGGCGATTGATTTCTCACATTTGGCCGAAACATTTCAACTCACGCGGCGTTGCAATGCAGCCAATTATGAAATATTACTGATATAATTGCTATAATTATATTTTCATGATCGCAGACAATTGCTAAAATTGCTTATGCAAATTATCCATTGAATTCACAGTGGCAACATTGAACGCACTGTGATTTGTTGGAATTCACTCGCGAATTCGAAGCGTATTTCTGCTCTCTCATACCTCGTGAGGAATGTCTCATTGAGACTGAAGCTGAGATCGTCGTCCAGGAGTGTGTTGTAGAGATACGCAATGGAGCCGGCGGACGCCTCAAAACAGAGAGCCGCCAAGAGGATGAACGTGTACTGGAGAAAAGAACCACTGTTTAGAAGAAAGGAAATGGATCTCATTGAACTCACGCAGAGAATCATCGCGCGCTGCTCACGCCATATACCGCAGCATCCCCAAATGCCGCCCACGATGGCCAAGATGCCCGCCACGACAAAGGCATAGGCGCCGAAGGCGTAGCTAAAGGTCGAGAGCAGCGAAATGTACTTGTGTCGCCAGAAGATGGTCCACAGCGCCACTCCCGCCACGATGATCCCTGACATCTGCAAAGATAATGCGCCGTAATGACAGGGTTTTCGCGCTGCAAATAAGCATTGACTCACGAAGAAGATGGTGTTGAAGATGTGTAAAACATATTTGAGAAAATTGATGCTCCAGCAGTCGGAGTCGCGCGTCTTGTGCCTGTGATACCTTTGGTTGTTTCTCATGATCGTCGCCGATTGAGCTCGCGTCTCGGGAATCACCACATTTTCCCGCCTACGCGCTCATTTTGCCACCTCTGAGGATCTCTTTGTGCTACACTCTCATCGCTTGGCGTATTTTCACAAAGAGCAATCAAGTGTGCAGAAGGTGATTTGAATATTGGAATGATTTTGGAGTGTCTGTGAAAAAGAATCTCAAGTCACACGGAATCAGAATCCAGGGCGAAATATCTAACATGCATGACAGACTTGAGGCTAAAGCCAAGAGCACAAAAACTTCCCTTAGTTGCTCAAAACTGCTAAAACCCCAAGCTGCTACGTTCGGAATCTTAGTAAACGTAGTGTCATAACTCCCTAAGACATACATGTGTGCTAAGCCTTGTCACAAATACGTTCAGATTGACAAATCTCTTATTTGAATTTCAGTCGCCTCTCGGCTTAAACCTTGAGTCTATCGAGCATCTAATATTGGAAGAGAAATTGGCTTCTGAAGCGTGAGACTTTGTGGGTTTTTCACAGCATTACGGCGCATAGATTTCGAGGAGGCGGAAGTTTTTGTTGATCTTATTCTTATTCTCGGAGACTCACTCTTGAATATCATGGAATGTTATTGTTACAATCACGTTCCTATTAGTTGCATTTTTTCTCCCATATAATCTCCAACACCACACCCCGATCGAGTGTATCCTTCCTCTTGGCTACTTTCGAGCTACAGAGAAACAGACACTTCTTCCCAGCGACTAATTGATATTCACTCAATGGACTGTGGTGTGTGTCAACAAATCAATGACGATTGTGAAATGCCAATTGAAGCTCTCAAAACAGCGCTGTTTGACTCAATTAGCTATTCAATTCTTCCTCCCCAGCTTTATTTACTCCATTATCTCACAACTTTGCCCATATGATCATCTTTCATGTTGATCTTGTGACCTTAAAATACTTTTTATTTGCACAACATTCTTTTTTTTTCCTCCGCTTCACACTCCCATTTAATATTCCAGGGACTTTTCTTATCAGCATTCAATTGCGTCTGTTTGTACAGAGCTTAAAAATGTTCAACTCCACACATTATATTTAATGTTATTCAACAATTATTTTTTTTGGTATAACAGAGTGTGTCAAATGGTCTAAAAATGCAAAGAATCTTACAGAATAATCTAATTGAAAAATAATATTGTGTCACGAATCAATTCAATAATAGAGTTGAGGAACTGTATTAGATCTTTTGACACTTTCTATGGAACACTCTGTGAAAATTATATTGTCTCTCAGCGAGCAAATTGTGTAAGAACGGATTATGGAATTTTGGGAGATTTTTCCAGCACAGAAAATCCTTTATGTGTCTTCATCTCCACCACATCAAGTGAAAAGTGTTTCCATTTGGCTTGCAATATAAGTTCATCAAACTGTGATGCAGAGAATAAACAGAGAAGCCCAGAGAGACTGAGCGATGAAAATGTACGGAAGTTGTGCGTTCTTCATCTCATCACAAGCATTTTTAACGATCAATGCCTGGCTTTTTGCGCTCACATCTCGCCAACACTGACAATCATTGTCTGCGCGCACAACTGACTCATTAATTCACCTCGCGGCACCTCACACGACGTCAATTTGCCCCAATTTGGCACTCTGATGATCGATGACGCCGCAAAAGAGCACCTCGTGATCGTGTCACAGCGATCACACTCGGCGTGAACACTTCCCACGACTTTGCACACCTCACGATCGCGCCAACAGTGTGAGATCGACTGACTTGCGATGCTGATACGCGCTCGCGCGCGATCTCTGGAACTCCTACAAGTCCGCATGTCATCGCGAGAGTGCGAGCGAGAGCGCAAATTGATTGGGATGCGCGCGAATTGTTGACGGGATTTATTGCTATTTCCTCAACAAAATTCTATTTTCTACCTTTAATTAATTTCGTCTTAATTGAGCCATTATGCTGCTGAGCTCTGTGGGAAATTACCGAGAGTGTCTTAATTGTGATCAGAACCCGAAAATGACCACAGAAATTCGTGTAATTATTTTACTCAATACAACTTCCACTGCTTGATCCCAATTTCCGTGAACCACACTTTGTGTGGAAAGCACTGGCGGATGAACTTTATGACTTCTCAATGAGAAATGTGAAGAAACAAAGTTTTGATACAAAAAAACATTTTGAGGCGTAATTTGTGTTTTTGTCTCTCTATGCGAAATTTAAGAAATGTGCCAAATTTTAAATTCATAACTTCTCACCCAAGAATGCTGAATCACTTGATTTGAATGTCCAAGGAGGAAATAGTAAGACTGAAATATTTACACTAACTTTAAAATTGGATTCATTTAACGACCATATTTAAATGTATATTCATATTTTTCAATGTCAAGTTATGATTGAATTCCCACCCTTTTTCACTTCTGTACACCACTTCTGACCACAACATGCTTCCCCTTGTCAATTTTGTGTTGAACTTTTTTATTAGCGAATCTCAAACATTGGCGCACTGAAATGTTAAGAATGCCTACACAAGAAAAATGACTAAGAAATAGCTTGAATAGCTTCTCTCCAACCAATTTTACTCATTCGGAAAGACAACACCAGTGAACAGCGCGCGTCCAAATTGATTTTCCAACTTTCAAAATCATGCACAATTACTGAAGAATTTGCTGCAATTCACTGCCTCTGAGCAATTTCCCACAAATTGTTCACCGGCCGCTGGAAAATTGAGAGAAAGAGACTCAAAAAAAGACCAGCGCGCGAACATCAATCATGCGAATTTTCAAATTCACCAAACTCTTCACGTCACTCCGCGAGTTTCCTATCAAGAATCACTGAATTTTCGCTGCGCGCGGGTCTGCATTGTTTCTGCCTCGCCATCAGTTGCGCAACACGACTTTGCGTATACATATAGAGAAAATCCGCCGCCAGTGACGGAAAAGAGTCCGAATTTGCGCTCTCGCTCGCACGCCTTGGCGAATTGCGCGAGAAAACTCAAGTGTTTTCGACTCTCCGGCAAACGCGCAAGATCACTCAAGCACTTCGTCTTCTCGATGAGTTATGTGATCAATTTTTCCACCCACGCAGCGCGGTTCGGAGTGTAAAAGAAGAAGCCAATAATGCGCTGGCCAAACACTTGAAAACCAAATCAATCGATGATTCTGCCAAATGCCGCGCCGTTCATTCATTTTCCCGCCATCGAACTCGCGGCTCAGCATTTCGTCAATTCATGCACAATTTGCCACACAATTGCGCACAGTTCTTTAGCCGATTTCTCGCTTGATTTGTCGGCATGATCGAGCTTTGAAACCGCGAAACCTGAGACACGCCAAGAGCTTGAATTACATCATCATGTTGAGCATAACAGTCAAATGATGAATTTAACGAGAAAGAAGTTGACACGGTGCAAATTGAGTCATTTAAAACGGTAATTAAACTATCAATTTGTGCCACAGAGCGATAAAGAAGTAACTTAGAATGAGGGAAGAAAGCACGCAATGTTCGCTCGTAACTCTAGCGAGATTACGAAATTCATAATTGTTGGATGATTCGGCTGAGGACAAGTTTATTGCCATGTCTTTTCATTTGAGAGAGAAACAGCATCATAATTAATAACATAAGATCGTAAAACTCTAAATACTTTGAGAGAAAACTCACTAATCGCCTAACACTCGGCAATGTTTTTCTGTGAAATTTAACCCATTAGCATTATGAGTATAAAACTAAAAGTTAGTACTGATGAAGAGTGCTTTTGATGGAATTTTATATTGGTCATTGAACAAGAATATTTTTTTTATGAACAATCAACGTTCAATAACGAATCTTCATGAAAAAAAACACTACATTTGCTGAAAAACATGACTGAGAAATAAAGTTCCATAGAAATAGTCACGATTTAATTTCCTGATAACATTTATTGTTACAAATATTCCTCAAAATAAGTGCATTTGTGAAGAATTCTGCACAGTTCTACTTAGGATATTGTGTCAAACACTTTTGCTGTATTTTCTGCTCAATAGTGCCACAAAGCTAAATCTTTAGCCTTTACCATTCCAGTGACAATGAAAGTCTTCTTGTGCTTTTTCGCTCTTTTCATCGCGGTCGCTTTTGGTAACTTTGCACAGCACTAATATTGTTGATGGAGTTTTAAATTTAAGATTCTCTCAGCCCAAGATAACGAGCCTTGTCCATCGTATTGTGCATCAATTCGTATACCCGTTTGCTGTACTTACGAAGATGGCACGTCTCAAACCTTCTCCAACGAGTGTTTTTCTAAGGGTTACAACTGTGCGAATGGCCTCAGTGAGTATGACTTCTTCTTATTGCTAAAAGTGGACTTTGAATCAATTTCTCCAACTTCATACTATGAAAGAAGTCTTTAAAATATTCCAATACGAAAATTAGAACATTGATTTATACTATTTCTTAGGTTGTGTCTTTCTCAACAATGGCGTTTGTCAGACAAGCAATTGAAAGAAGTTAAACACCAATCACACATCAGAACTTCAAAGATGGAACTGAGTTTTATCTCCTAACTTCAATATGAAATAAAATGAACTCAAGAAAATACTGAAGATTTTGTACATTTTATGAGATTTTCCAGTTTTATCTTCTTTCATTTTTGCAGGTGACAAAAAAAAACTATCTAATCTTGGGATTGAATCAACAGTTTATCAAGTTATATAGACACAATAAACACAAATAGCTTAGAAAAACATAGAAATAAAAGATCAAATATAATATTCTCTTTACATTTTATTCTTATTTGAAGAAGATTTTCATGTTAAGATCTTCAAATATGGATGAAAAGAGTCTCATTCGGCGGCCGGGTGGATTTGCGGCTGCGAAACGGGATAAGGAAGGATGGTGAAAAGAGGACCATCACATCCATACGGCAGTGAAGAAGCGCAGTCTAAAAGCGAATTCGTAAGTACAATAAGAAGAACTTCATTAGAGCAAATAAGACAAGAATTACCAGTCCTTTGCTTGCAGTTCTCGACTGAAGCGACGCAAGCATTGCTGTAAGTCTTCCTCGTTCCATCAGCGTAAACACAGCAAACTGGCTTCATAATCATCGTGCAAAACTGATTGCAAATCGGCTGAACGTCAGTCTCATCTTGGCCTGAAGAGACAAAAGGGACACAAATCAAAGGACTGACTAAAAGAACTTAGATTAAAATTTTACCGAGACACGCAGCAATAAAAAGAGCGATGAAACACACGAAGACTTTCATTTTCACACAAAAACTGACGGTTTTTGCCTTTTCATTTGGCACACGAAAGCCTGAGAAGTTTCACTGTTTGCACAGCTTTTAGCATAGTTTTACCGAAAAACTGCCTGTAACCCAATTCGACTCAGTATTGGAACATTGATCGCTAATGTGGTGCTGAAGCGACCTCCATGACTTTAAGATGGGAAAAAAGTTGTTGTCTCATTAAACACAGAAGCCTCGTGGATGCGCTTAAGGAAGTATTTGGATGATTCAGTTTAATTTCAGCAAATTCCAGCAACTGTCCAAATAAAAGTCACACGAAGAACTCATTAATTTTTCCGGGAACTCCGCAAAAGAAAACGACGCAGAAACATCCGATATGATGAAAAGAAATAAAAGAAGGGAAACTCGGATTATTCAGTCAGTTTTCAAGTGAAATTATCCCAAAATGAAGGTTTTAGTGTTGCTCTTTGCTCTTCTCGTCACTGTCTTTGGTAGGTCTCCTTGTTACCACTAAATCTCCGATCGTTTGTAGTCAGTTTGTGATCTGTTCTTGCAGGACAAACTTACACGGAAGTCCAGGATAAATGCACGCAGATTTGCACATTCGAATACATTCCAATTTGCTGCACCTATTCTGATGGAACCCGCGAAACTCATGGCAATATTTGCGCTGCAGAAACCTACGAATGCTTAGAGAAGAAAAGTAAGTATTCGAGACGATATAATACTTGAAGTTCTCTGGCTATTCGTAAATTTATTCCAGCTCGCACTGCCGTTGTTGATGGTGAATGCGAAGCCGACGTTCCAGAACCAACAGGTCCTGATTGTAATACATACAGATGCTCTAATGACTATGATCCAGTTTGCTGCACTTATCCTGACGGAAGCACCATGACGCACACCAACGCTTGTCAGGCAGGACTTTACAATTGTCTCGAGCAGAAAAGTACTGAACTGAGTCTAGAATGTTCAATTTGAAATCTAATCTTCTGTTTCTCTTATTATCTCAGCACCAAAAACCACAACAGCCGGAGCGTGCAAAAGATTCTACATCATGCCCTTCCCGATGTATCCGCCTCAAATCTTCATTCCGATCGTCCGGAAACCATCGCAACCCCAGGAATAAGAGCATGACCGATAAGAAAGTCTACACAACAATGAGCACGACTTCCTCTTGATAAAATATTCCGCAGAAATTGTTGCACAATGCAAACTATTCCCTCAATAAATGCATATTAATTAATAAAACTGCGCACTGCTGTTTTCGACCTACCTTCAGATACTCTGCCATTGTCTTTTCTTCTTCACGTGCTCCACTTGTTTAAACATTTTGTGCTCTTCGTGAGAATCTTCCACGTTTCAGGTGAAAATAGTTAAAAAGCACTAAATCGTGCCATTCCAAAGTCAGTTCCTCAGTGACAATGAAACTTTTCGTGTGCTTTTTCGCTTTATTCGTCGCGGCCGCTTTTGGTAAGTTTGCAGAGTAACTTTTTGGTAAAGTTTTGGTGTCCTAATTGTTATTTTCAGGCGATGACAACGTGCCGTGTCCTTCGGTTTGTCCAGACAATTATTATCCGGTTTGCTGCACTTACAAAGATGGAACTTATAGAACATTTGGAAACACCTGCGAACTTAGGGCCTACAATTGCGAGAAGAATATTAGTGAGTTCCATATTTTTCCTGTTTCAAGAAAACTTCAAATGTCTGGGATTTGAGCAATTTTATAATCTCTAAGACAACCATGATTTTCTAACATTTTCACTGCGACTTTTCCGTTTAGGATGCGCTTCTGTAAGTGAAGAAGGTGTGGAATGTGACGATGTAGTTCTTGGCCCTTGTGGACTTTCCATGTGCGCGATGGTCATGGATCCAGTTTGCTGTTCTCATGCTGATGGTTCTTCGACTACCTACAATAGCGTCTGCCTTGCTCAAACTGCTCAGGAATGCGGAGACGAACGTAATTATAAATCAACTGAGAGAAATTGATCATTTATCGCTCTAAAATCAAAATTCTTCTTCCACAGGTTGCTACAATTTGGTCAGAGGCGCGTGCGCTAAGTGAACAACGAATTCAGTCTTTTACTGAATTTGTGCTTTGACGCCAATATGAAATAAAAGTAATCATGAAAATACCAAAGATCTTTCTCACTTTATCAAAAGTATTCCTCAAATCAAAATATGCACCACAAAGACTTCCTTCCAATCATCACAACAACAATAAACACAACCAAAGTTTCTGATAAAATATCTCAACAATTTCTGTAAAATGCAAATTATTCCCTCAATAAATACAGATGTAAAAAAGACGACGCAGTTTAACTTTTGATGTGTCTTCTGATAAGTGTTTTTACTGTCTTTTTCGCTCCACTTGCTTAAACATTGTCGATATTTGTGCACTTTGCGAAAATTTTCCACTCAAATATAGTTATAAAAGGCACTAAATCGTGCCATCCTAAAGTCAGTTCCTCAGTGACAATGAAAGTCTTCGTGTGCTTTTTCGCTCTTTTCGTCGCGGCTGCTCTTGGTAATTTTGCACAGAGCATCAGTATTGATGGTGAAGTTTGAATTTTGGGATCTTTCTCAGGTGAGCCTTGTCCTTCGGTCTGCCCAGCGATTTACAATCCCGTTTGCTGCACCTATCAAGACAGAACTTACAGAACCTTCAGCAACGGCTGCGCTTCTTCAGCCTACAATTGCCCGAGAGAAATCTGTGAGTACGATTTTCTTGGGCACTCTGAAAATGTCTGTGCTTTTGCATATTTCTCTTGCTTAAGAGTAATTCAGTCTTAAAGATGTGCTTCAATATTTTCCCTAAGGAACTAATTTCTGCTTCAGAGTTTAGAAGAGTTTTTTCTTAATAAAAAAAATCATAATCACTGCGATTTCTACTCTTTAGCTTGTGCTTCTCAGTCGGAAGCAGGCGTGGAATGTCAGGATGTAGACATTGGACAGTGCGAAGGCAGGATGTGCCCCATGGTCATCGATCCCGTTTGCTGCACTTACGCCGATAATTCTCCTTCGACAACTTATAGCAACATTTGCATGGCAGAAGTCGCTCTGAAGTGTGACAATGCGGCCCGTAATTATCAAATATATCACAAAATTCGCCAATCAAATGCTAAAGATATGATTTCTCTCCTCTCAGGTTGTCATGATTTGACGAAAGGCGAGTGCGCTGAGTGAACACAAGTTCAACGCCAATCTCGCGTCAGCATTAAAATCTTAACTGAATCTTGGGAATTTCGTGACTTGACATCGATATGAAATAAAAACAGTCATAAAAAATACTGAATATCGATCATGTTATCAATCGCTCTTTCCCAAAACTTCCCCAAACCTTTTCTCAGTCTTTATCTTGTGTCCAAGCGACAATGAAGCTTCTCGTGTGTTTCCTCGCTCTGGCCGTCGCTCTTAGCCTCGGACAGTCGCTCTGTCCGCCAATTAATGCTCCAGTTTGCTGCCATTTCGCCGACGGAACCAGCCATACTTTCACAAGCGTCTGCGCGCTTGAGAACGAGCTGAAGGAGTCCGAACGCTGTAATTTCGCAAATCTGCCATATTTTGATCAATCCCTGAAAACACTTTAAATTCTATCTTTCAGCGTGCGATCGCCAAACGCAAGGCGCGTGCGAAGAAGTCGCCACGTCGTTTCTGAGTGACAAAGGAATTCTTATACATCCTCGTCTCTGAATGTACCAAGAAGTCAAATAAAATGTAACTATGAGACAGTTTGTGATTCGAGTTGTCAATGTCTCTGGCTTCTTAAAAGAGTAAGGAGTTATCTTGAGAACAGCAAAAAGAGCCTCTCTGGCATTAAACTTCTCTGCCACGCCTTCAAAATGGTAAAAAAAATGACAAATTTGTTGTAGAAAACAGGAAGAACTGCCAATAAAGTGATAATAATCAGCCACTGTTCACTTTTATGTTGAACAAAATGAACAAATTATGAATTTTAATAAAACATCGAAAAATGTTTTGTAACAGTCATTATTTACTTGTATTTTGTCTTGTATTTTGTTGAACATGAAAGTTAAAAATTTACTTGTTTATTGATATATTAATTTACGAATTTATTTCCCTTACTTTCGCAGCAAATTCTTATTTTCAACACATTTCCAATTTCTTCTTCACCTTTTTGCTCGCCCATCGAGACTCCACGCTTTCACACAAGCGACTTGAGAAGAGTTCTCCAAAATGCAGCCAGATCGTAAATCCCTTCATTCCTCACATCACACTTTGTCCCCAGCCCAGCAGGACGCCGCCTCATCCCTTCTGCGCCTCGTCGGCGTCCTCTTCGTCTCCGGACTGCTTCTCCACCGTGATCAGCGACACGTAGGCGGGCAGCGTGACGCCGTGCGTCTTCTTCAGGTGCGAACGCAGGTTGTTGTTGCACGAGAACTCGCGCGGACAGAAGTGGCACTCGAACTTCACGTGCTCCTGCTCAATGTGCATGTGCAGATCGTCCAGCTTGGCGAAGCCCTGTAGGCAAAACTGGCACACGTGCGACTTGCGCGTGTGCATCATGAGATGGTGCGCCGTGCTGAAGGACTTGGGGCAGTAGCGACAGAGGAACATGTCCTCTTTGTCCTCGTCCGTCTGGATCACCTGCTGCTGCAGCACGCCGCGGTGGTTCTCCAGCGAGATCATCACGCCCGTCACGTCCAGCATCTTGAGACGGTGCTGTTGCTTCAGGAACTCCTCACTGATCCTTCCCGCAGCCACGTCTTCCAGCAGCTTCTTCGGCTCCACCTGACACACCACGAACTGCGGGAAGATCACCACACGCGCAGGATACTCCACGTCGTCACAGTCAGCTCTCTTGGTGTCTTTCCGCCTCTTCGGTGGCGGCTCTGGCGCTGCCTTCTCCTCCACTGGCGGCGGAAGCTTCTCTATGTACATATCCATATTGAACTGACTGTCCTCGCTCTCAGTCGCCTTCTCTAGCGACACCTCTTCCGCCGTCTCTGACGTCTCATCCAGTATCTCAAGAAGATCCGCATTCTCTCGCCTCTCCATCGCGTCCTCAGCCTTCTGCACTTTCAGGAGGAACTCAAAAGCCCCAGAGAGCTCCATGGCACACGCCTCGCACAGCACAATGTCCTCCGGTGGGATGTTTTCGTCCTGGTCAGCAAAAAACAACTCAGCAATCATCACAAATCTCCCAAAAACAAACAAGTGTGGTTATATCTCACCAGCTTTTCCGTGAAAGAGTGCAGCATCTCACGCACGTTGTACATGTAATCGCTCACCACAATCTCGTTGATGATTGACTTGATCTCGCCCGAGCACAAAATGCACTGAGAAGCCACACTTTTCTCCATTTCAACGCGATTTTCTCAGATTCCGTCTCAAGATGTAAACAAACACTGACCTGACGGTGTTGCCCGATTTGACAACAATCGATGGGTTGCGTCGCGGCCATCGATGGGATTTTATAGCACCAGAGGACGTGTCAAGTCGCCGGAAAGTCTCCAGATCGAAGCACCGAAGAGGAGTGAAAATGACGAATTTAAAGGTGGTTCTCAACAAATTCTACGATGAGTACATCAATCACACGCCGAAGAAGCTGAAGATCATCGACGCGTACCTCTTCTACATCCTCCTGACGGGCGTGGTGCAGTTTGTTTACTGCTGCCTCGTGGGCACTTTTCCCTTCAACTCATTCCTCTCCGGCTTCATCTCCTGCGTCAGCTGCTTCATCCTGGCCGGTGAGAAGTCCCCCAACACCACCATATGCCGCAACTAATCACCTTGTCTTTGCAGTGTGCCTGAGACTCCAGTCCAATCCCCAGAACAAATCCCAGTTCTACGGAATCTCCACCGAAAGGGGCTTCGCGGATTTCATCTTCGCCCACATCATTCTCCACCTGGTCGTGATGAACTTCATTGGTTAGAATCACTTGGCCAGGAGGCGCTGGATATTTTGTAATATGCTTGAAAAGTTCAATAAGAAGCGACATGCGAAAATCTCTGGACTTTTATGGCTCAGTCGCGAATACAGACTTACAGAGGGATGCTAAATGGGTTCCGGCAGCGTACCGTCCCTCGCCCGGATCCAATATTCCTGCAGGCGCAGTAGCCAGGAGCGCCAGAACGCCCGCACGTCTCCGCTGTCCAGCGAATGGACGTGCGCAGGAGTGCCATCAGAATAGACGACGATCACGGCGCCGCGCAGGACAGGCGACGAAAGCCCGTGGGCCGGAAGAGAAGTGTTCACGGCGCCTAAGTAGGCCGCCAGCTGAAGAGGAGCATCGAAAGTGTCCGCCAGCGTTGGCTTCACCCGTTCGGACTTCTTCCACTCGATCACATGAAGCTCAGAGCTGAAAGATGACAAGATTCGAGCTGAAATTCTTAACACTAATCGCACAATTCGAGTAATTAAGGAAAGATAGTCAGTTCATGAATACTACGCACGCCATTTTCGACGCTTTTGATATTCAATTCAATTAGATTGATTAGATTCAATTTATAAGTGAAATTGAGAATTCTCTAGGAAAATCTCAATTAAGACTACGTGATTCCGGACCCTGTAAAATAAGGATCAACGTTTCATTGCTTATCAGCTGATTTTGATCGCCTCTTCGCCAAACACGCTAGAAACGCCGCCATATTAATTGAATGCTTTTGTCAGCGCTATTCGGAAAATTTCTCTAGATTTATTTACTCACTTGATGACCGACACACAGTCCACGATGCCGTGATACTTGAGGAAAGGATGCGCTATTCTCGCCTCCACAATCTTCGGCTCTACAGTTTGCAACACTTTCTCCACACTCGTCCAGCCGCCCTCCTTCGTGGCGCCCTCAGGAGCTTTCCTGGTCCTGAAGAACTCCTCAATCCAGCCGTGCAACCGTGCGCCCTCCGTCAAGTGCCTCTGATTCAGCTCCCTGAAGCCCTCCTCGCCCAACTCGGCAATCTTCAGCAGCTTCCATCGCATCAGCGCCGCTCTGGCACTTTCCGGCATCGTAGCTTGCAGAATCCTTCCCACAGAGGGCATTTTCTGCCCTAACTCCGCCCCCGGATTGCCCACTATGTGCTTCTTGTTGAACATCAACGGGAAGTCCACCAGTTCCTTCAGCGTCTCCTCGTCGAAAGGGATGCTAATCTGTCCAGAAGAACCCGAAGGCTTCGGCGGGATGTCTTCAGTTACTGGCTGTGGCGGAAGACTCTGCTGTAGAGCCAATAAGCTCTGCGGGAGGGATTGTGGGGCTCTCTTGGCCTTCTTTGTAGTCTTCTCAGTCGGCAATCGGACAACCTTGAGCCCTTTGGGGCGCTTAATAATCGGACCGAAAAGCGCTTTGGTCTCATAGTTGTGCGTCTTCACCGCATTGGCTCTTTTCACTTTATCACTGGATTTGCTCCTCGTGGGTAGGAGAAAAGCCTTCCAGGAAGTCTCCTGGACACTCCTCCAGGCCAGAAGAGTGCTGTTTTGCAGTAGAAGCCCCATTTTCCCAATGTTTTTGCGGGCCTCCAAAAGAAACACTGAGCAGACAACATAACCTCACACATTTTATAGCAACTCCCGGACATGGCGTCACTCAATTTCCAAACACACTCTGGAGAAAGAAATAAATGAAAAATACAGCTTTCCACAAGGAAAATTCATTTTGCAACCAATATTTCTTTGTAATATATTTCTAATATCCGTAACACGTCGAATAACACCGAGAGAATTAATAGAATTCATGAAATTCCATACAATTGTTCAATGTTTGACTGGACAGGGCGGGTTTTTTTAAAACTGAAAAATCTGTGCATTTCATTGTTTTCATCAAATATTTCACCACCGACAATTACGCTCATGTTACAGGGAAAGTCTGCTGATCGCGAGGATGTTTTCGTGAAGGAGCGCCCCTTGGGAAAACGGTCAGCAAAGATCATGTCCAGAAAACATTCCAGATGAGAATTCTGACATGGAATTCAGTGTTAGAATCTCTTCATAATCTTCACATGAGATTCTCAATTGCAAATCTTTGGAATCATAGCGCCATTTCCTGCTCAAGGCGCGCATCCTTCAATTACAATTTGTTTTCCATCATTTTTTTTCACTTAATATTCATGTTTCTAGATCCATAATAATAAGTTCAGAAGTTTTTAGAGGAAAATGAGGTCAATTCGGTAGCTTTTCACGAGTTTTTTTTGTCTCCAAAATAAATAGGCAATAATTATGTGATTTTCGACATTTTGCTCTCTTCTCAGGTTGTTTTGTTTCCTCCACTTTTCCTCTCTTTTTCTCTCTCTCTCTCATCAAAAAAACGTTGGTGTCTGTTGCAAAATCTCTAAAGTTTACTCTCTCCTTCTGCATAAACTCATATGCATCATCATCCTCTTTTGTTCAATCTCTCGCGCGCGCGCACTCCCCGCGCCCCGCTTTCCCCCCCTCCAACAGAAAAAAAAAATCGCGCGCGCCCCCGCCCAGAATCGCCCTAGAGAGGAGCCTAGCCTAGTCCAAGTGTGTAGCTTTGTCACTTTGTGAGAAGAAGATCAAAGATTCAGGGTTCCGGAGGGGGCGCCAATCGCTCAAAAGCCAAGTATCGTCGTCGTCCAGGGGAAGCGGCGCGCGCCAAGAGGGCGGAGCGCGGCTTTAGTGTCCGGGCCCGGAGTTGTAGCCGTTGCCGTCTGGGATCACGTACTCCTGGACGATGTTGTTGGCACCCGGCGAGCCGGGGGCGCTCATCAGCTCGAAGCCGTCCGGCGACGGCGACTGTCGGCGGTGGCGCTCGCTCTCCATGTGGGTGGGCGACGCGGGCGCGGAGCGGGGCATCCCGAATGGGATCCGATAGTTCTGCTGGCCGCGCTCTCGCCTCTTCCGGTAGCTCTTGTTGATCAACTTCATCTCGCTGTTGGGATCGATGCGCCAGAAGCAGCCCTTGCCCGGCTCATCCTGGGACCGCGGTACCTTTATGAAGCATCTGCACGGAGAAAAGCACGCATTAGCAAAGCCAGAACACAGAATTGACGATCTCTCAAGTCATTCTCATGCGAAAGTCTTCAGTTCAGAGACTGCCTAACTGCCCTGGCTCAGGGCAGCTTTCGGTGACTTTGCGGACATGAGACTCTCACCTGTTGAGGCTCAGGTTGTGACGAATGGAATTCTGCCATCCTTTGCTATCGATGGTGCGATAGTAGGGATAGGTTTTCGAGATGAAGGAATAGATGTCGGCGAGCGTGAGCTGCTTCTCGGGCGACGACGAGATGCTCTGCACGATGAGCTGCGCGTAGCTGTACGGCGGCTTCTTGTCGCCGTACGTGGAAGTGGATGGCGCGGCGAAGAGGTCATTCTGGAAATTGTTGTTGATGCTGTACGTGGGGTAGTCGGTGAACGTCTTGCCGCCGGGGCTCGTGGGGCAGCTGTTTGTGGCGCTTATCGTGCCCGGCGGCGACGCCAGGGCCATCTTCTTGTCGCCGGCCTCCGGGATGGTGATATTGAGCGGCTCATACACGCCGCCCTCCATCTTCACCACGCCGCCGCCCTCCATCGCCACATCGCCGGCGCCCGAACCCAGCGGACGTGGCCCGTCCACGAAGCTGTCGAAGCGCATCTGGATGTTTGTGCTCGGGAATCTCAGCATGCAGCTGCGGAAAAGGGCAAAAGTCATCATCAAGAAGACCAGGCATGGATTCTACACTCCACCAAGGGTGACAATTTGCACGGAACCCTAAGACTTTTTCACTCAATCCGCTCGCAAATCACTAAGACGAGCGCGTAATTCAACTTAAGCTAATCGTTTAGAGATTTTTCGGAATTATGAAGTGAGATATTGAATCGGAAGGAGCAGCAAGATGATTTCCTGCCCGAGAGACAAAGCATAATTTGTGTTTGAAGATGCAGAAAAACCACTCGTTCAATTAATCTCACTTCCCTTTGATCCACTTTAGCAACTTTACTCAGAAAATGTGGAACACAAATATTCACATAAAATCTTAGAGCAAAAAAGTATGAATTGAATCCAATATGAAAAAAAAACTTTCTGAAGAACTGTTCAATTTTTTTGCTAAATTTATTCAATGAATTACTTGTTTTAGGCTTGAGAATAAATATTTGCGGCAGAAAACCAATTCTTTGGCATTTTAACCTAATAATTCGTGTTGAAAATACCGCAATTTTCAAAAATCTCTTTATTACACTCTAATAAATTGTCGGTTTAGTCTTCATTTTTGATGAAAATAGTATTAAATTTACATTGAAAAGTAATGAGAATCTTTTCATTATCCTCGTTATGAAGAATCTCACATTTTTCTCAGTGTATTTTTTGGCATTTCCAATAAATTTTCCAGAAAGGACATCAAAAAGTTGCTTAACCACTGAAATTGTCCTTTCTTGACCTTCGAGGCTTGACAAAAGGACAAAAAGAATTAGTTTTTGGATACAATTTTGTCACCCAAAAGACAGAAAAACATCGTGATGAAAAATAAAATAATCAACCCCAAATAAAGCACAATTAATTGAATAATCCCGAATAAGCCCCCAAAAATCCATGGTTCAAGTCACAAAAAATGTCCGGAAAAAGAGTCTCAAGTCGATTGCAAAGGCATTGAGTAGTAAATGTTGTTATTTTGGCTTGAAAAGTCATCACGAAATCGTAAACAAGTTCCAGGCATGCGTTCTTCTCGTTCCCAATATAGAATAGAAGAATGACGGCACTTTAAGAGTCCTCTTGAGCCAGCGATGGAGGAGTATTATCGCGATGGAAAGGATGGAAATTCGCCTGCGACGGTCACAATTTCCGCGAAAGGCGCGCTTTGGCGTGTGAAAAGCCATTGTTTGTTCAATGAAGAACACCGAGGAATGCTTTGATTTGACCCCCACAATGACCTCTCCTTTGTCTTCTGGGCACCTGGAAACCTGTTTACCCGCTGCCAGGGCCCCTCGGTGGGCCGCCGAGGTGCACCGCGGCCCATCGAGGGGCGCACCAGTGGGGCGAAAACTCACGTTTTTGGTAGCTTGAGCGGTTCGAAGTAGGTCCTCTGGAATGTCTCATCCACAAAGACACCGTTCTTGCTGAAGCACGTGAGATAGAAGTTCCCGGTGGCGGCGTCGTATGTGATCTGCATGTGCTTCCGCGACACGAAGATGTTGCGCCCGATCTGGTAGTTGACTGTGGACTTGGAGGACTGGCGCCCGATCACCGTCACGGCCTCCTTGATGTACAGCACATTGTCTTTGTTGCTGAGGCGCGCGATGTATGGGCCCGCCTTGAGGTCCATGGGCTCCTCCTTGGGCGCCCCCGCGAACACCCCACTCGGCCCCGAGTCCTGTGCCGCCGCCAGGTCGCCGGGAGTGCCCTCGGCGCTGTCCCCAATCAACTCCTGCTGATGATGCTTCACACCTCCAACCATATTTCCCTGCCAAAAAGATGCTCTCTGGGCGCTGTGCTGCAACGAAACACCACGGCCCGAGGGCCCCGCGTCAGTTGCGGCTCACAACGAGCGCCGCGGGGCGCCGACGGGGCGCCTGGGGCGGCTTTTCGGGCTCCTCTCTTGTCACAGTCAACACGTGGTGGAGGTGAGAAAAGCCTCGAAAAAACCGCCCCGCGCCCCCGCTAGCGAACCCACTGGCACACCCACGGCCCCACGGGGCCCCCTGGCGCCCCATGCACTTACTCAGTACGCAAACACTGTCAAAGGGGCGCAGATATGACACTATTTTCGCTTTTCAGAAATCTCTGTGTGTAAACACTCTAAACAAAACAAACAGAAGAGAGAAGAAGAAAACACGAGAATATAACCTCAAAATGTGGGGAAAATTTTTATGGCAACCTCAAGGACTTGCCACCACGGCGCTGTTCGCAGCCAGAGGACAATGGCGGTCGAGGTGATGCGCAATTTTTCTGCCCTCAAGAACCACCAATTTATTTTTCAGCCCTCCACGTCACTTTCCCAGCAAATGTGCTGACTTTGCAAATGGAAAATTCAGAGGACATTTCCCGAGAGTGTGCGAAATTAGGGCATATTCTCGGTGTCATTGTCTACTCATGAGCAATGATTTGATGATTGATGACGCAAGGATTTTGAGGTAAACAAAAACAAGTGATAAACAAACAGTCGCCGACAAAAATATCCACTCATCGTCATACATTTCTAAAGTCATTTTATTTACTCTCTTTCTTCGAAGTCAGGGACAAAAATGTAAGCGAGTGAAACAGAAATTCCCTTTGCTCAATTAGATTTTTAATACATTATGTTAGGTGTGATAGAAAATTAAAATAACGTTTCAAGACATAGAAATTAGTATGTTTTCTTTCTCTCTGTTACTCAATTCTGAACCATAATTGAAAATCATCAAAACTGACATCTTCAAACGACTTTATACACTTTTCTCTTCATTGCTTGCGCGGAACGAGAAAAAAAACCAGCAAAGATCGGATAAACTGAAACTTGTGATGCTTTTACAACCTAAACATACTTAACTTATAAGCTTCTCTTATCCTCTAGACACGTTCGGGGGAGCGTCGGCGTCACGGCTCGAGAGCGGCGCGCTACTTGTTCATGAAGTACGTCTGCGCGGGCGCGCCTTGCGTCGTGCTGCGCGTCGTGGCGTAGAGCTGCTGCTGGAAGTTGTGGAACTGCTGCGCGTAGTTCGGGTCCGTGGTGGACGGGCCAACGTACGGCTGACTCGTGGGCGGCTCCATCATCTTGTCGGGCGGCTGGAAGGGGGCGCGCATCCCCTGGAAGAGGCCCTCGTGCATCTGCCCACCGAACACGCCGTTCATCATGTGGCCCTGCGCCCGGACACTCCGGATGTCCTGCATCATCTCGCCACCATTGTGCGGCATCGGGTTGGCGAAGCGCTGCAGGAAGTCCAGACTGGGCGGCGGCCGCGGCATCTGCGGGCACATCTGCGGCCGCGCCGGCAGGTATTGAATGGTGTTGGGCGCCGAGGCGCGCACCTGCACGCTGGCGCCGTTGTACGAGTCCGCCATCGACGCCGGCGGGCACAGGCGACCCGCCGGGGTGCCCATCCTCGCCATTTGCCCACCAAACGCCCCCGGCCCGTGCACGCCGCCTGCAAAGACACCAGCGTCAGCGAAATAGCCCAAAATCCCGTCCACTGTTTGCGCTTCGCTTGCGCCCGGCCGGACTTGTCCCGGCGCAGGCGCAGCGGAAACTCTCAACTCACCGGCCACCATCTTGGGCGAGAGCGGCTTGCCGGCCGTGGGCGGCAGGATCTTGCCGTACGGCGGATTGTGCATCCCCATGTCGGACGGCATCATGCCGTGCATCTGCGCACACTCCAGCATCTCGTCCGACTCGCGCATCTGCGGCATTTCCGGCCCGTATGAGCACGTGCTGATCTGCGCCGCCATGATGCTGCCGTTGGGCCCCGGCGCGCCGTTGAACGGCGGCGCGCTGTTCGTGAGCTGCTGCGACATCTGTGCCAGCGACGAGATAGGATCGAAAGGCATCACTTTGGTGGTCTCCGGAGCGGTGCTCGTGTCCGGATTCAGGGGCAGATTGTCGTCCGGCAGCGCGAAGTTGCCTCCCATGTTCACGTGCTGTAACACAAGAACTGATTTAGTGACTTCTGAGGAAAATTCTCTGCTTCGGACAGCCGAAATCAATCCAAAGCTCAAGTTAAGCTTGCGTGTTCCTTATTGTCTGAGAGACTCAAAGCTGAAGCGACTCAGAATCAAAGTTTTTGTATTGAACACAAAGAGTTCTGAATTGAGACTCACCTCCTGAGCTGCCGCTTCTGGAGAAATGTCAGCAAAGAAGCCGACCTTCTCGTGCGCCGGCACGGACGCCGGCGAACACGTGACGCCCGGGCTGGGCGCGTGCTGCGGCTCCGCCTTCAGCGGCGTGTCGCCGTGCGACGGTGTACGCGCCGGTGACGCCGGCGGCATCTTGTCGTCCGGCGGCGGCAGATCTACGTCCTTGAAGGCGGGCGAGAGATGCGCCGACTGCGGTGTGGCGGGACTGCTCTGCGCGAGTGGCCGCGTGGCTGGGCTGCCGGCCGACACGGGGCTCTGGCCGGCGCTGAGGTGCCGCATCGGCACGTGCCGGTTGTCTGACGGCGAAGCGAGCGCCGCGCCGCGCGGAGACGGCAGCGACAGAGTCGAGGTGAGGTTCTGGGGTGAGTTGGGGCTGGGGCTGTGCGTGGCGATGGGCACCGACGCGGATCTGGGCGTCTGGTGGTAGGGCGGCGGTGGGCCATGCGCGCGCTGCGGCGCCACGCGGCCCGCCTTGCGCTCCTCACAGTAGTGATGCTGCAGGCGCGTCCACTCGGCGCCGCCCTTGGCGTACGCACCGCCGGGCGCCGCCATGGCGGGCTGCTGTGTGGGGCAGGGCAGAAAGTCAGGCAAGCAGCCCATGGCGCGCATCTTCTCCTCGTCCAGACCACCCTGCGCCTCGTCGTTATCGCTCTGCTCCGGGAACAGGACACTCTGCATGCGCCGCAGCATGGCCAGCTGCTCCTCGCGGTGCTGTCGCTGCTGCGGCGTGAGATTCTCGTCAGGTACCTTCACGCCCTGCACCAGGTTCGGCCCGTTGGGCATGTCGTCCTCGCCTTTCGCGTCCGCCCACTCGCCCGGCTCGCCGTCCTCGGGCGCGTCCATCATGGCGCCCTTGCTCCTCTGCTTCTGCCCGAAGCCCATGAGACTCCACGGGGTGTGGCGATTGAACTGGCCCAGCTTCAGCGGGTGTTTCTGCAAAGAGCAAAGCAACGTCAGACTCGCGGCGTTGGGGAAGAGCTCAGACTCACCTCAAGGATCTTCTTGGTGCCCGGCTGTGCGCAGTGGTAGGCGATAATGGAGGGGAAGTGGCCCTTGATCACGGACTCCGCGCCCTGGTTGGCCAGCGCCGTGGAGAAGACGAAGATCTGGCTGGACTGCTGCATGTATTCCAGGCCGCCGCTCTGCTTGCCCATCATGTTCGACACCAGCGGCTGAATGGCGCTGCTGAACGGGGGCTCGACGTCCGCCTGGCCCTCTGTCTTGATAGGCATCTGGCCGGCCTTGGCCGCCTCGGCGGCGCTCTCGGCCGCGTCCGTCTTCGCGTCGCCCTTCTTGTCCGCGGCCTGGGCCGGTCTGGGCGATGCGGACTCACGCTTGGGCGACACGGACGCGTCCGGGTCCGCGTCCTCACGCTTCACAGGACCCTCAACGGGCGGTGTGGCGGGTGGGGTGGCGTGGGGCGAGCTGGACGGCGTCCCCGCGGGGGCGCCCTTCTCGCGCTTCTCCTTCAGCATGACACTCGCGTCTCACGGATCGGCCGCTGCACGCACGTGACCTGGGAAGCCTCTCGGCTGCAATGCGGGGCGGTGTGATGAGCAACGTCTGGATGGGGGCGCTCACGGGGTCAGCAGAGCCACCCTAGAGGTCAACTTGGTTTGACAGACGACTCACTATCATACCGACATCCGCCACTGCGAGCGCTGCTGGTGGCAAGGCAGCGCGACGGCGGTTTATGCGCAATTTCCCCGAAAAAGCACTGAAAAGCAGCCCAATTACGCGACTTTTCTCCCAATCGTCTAGAACAGAGAGTCTTTTCTCAGCAAAAGCAGGAAGTACACGAGGAATTATGGTGTAATCAAAAGCGATTACACACGCAACATTCTTGACTGAATTGCCTACTCTCAGGCGCTGATTGATGACGCACGATTTGGATGTAAACAAACCGGGTTAAACAGTGAGTGGTAAAAATACAGAGACAATTCATGAGATTTACGCAATTTTTCACAATAAACTTATTTTATTCAGATTAGTTAGTGATCATACTGGAATTAACTATGGATGATTTTTGCATTAAAGTTTAGTATATATTGTTTCATCATGCAAAAATAAAACAAAGCGTGAAAAACCTTAATTCAAAGAAGACTTTGGAAACGAAGCAATAACATATGTATTTGCGTTTTATATATTTCCCCTCCAAAAACTAAACCGCGCGTGTACTTATCACGCGTTTTTCAATTTGCTGAGACAAAAGATTAAGAATACAAATTGCACGAATATAAGAGTTTTTATAAGTTTGCGATGCGAAAAATATGAGGTGAAATTGTTTAAACAACTAATAAAAGAGTGATAAGAAAATAAAAATGTTAGTATAAATATAATTGAAGCATTTTACGTTGATTCAGTTGTGAGTTTCATCTCTGGATATTGACTGGCGCTGTGCAATAAGATGAAGATTTCAGCAGGATTTATCGTCCTAGTGATATTCTGCGATGTTCTCCATGCACAAAGTCATAGCATTCAATGGGGTAAAATTGCTCTAAGTGACCATTTGCTTTATCGCAGAATTGTGTTCAGAGAATACGAAGTTTTACGCATTGTTTCCGAGGATGTATCATGGCCAGATGCATCAGTGAGTATTTAAATCTTCATTCTGCAAATTCTTCATTTCCCGTGTCAAGTTCATATTATGCAGATAAGATTCAGTTTTATAAATTTTAATTGTGTAATTCGAAACGAAGAATAATGCTTCTGGAATTGATTTTGCAGAATCCTTCCCCAGGAAATTCCACAATCTCATGCATTAAGGCAGAGGATCTGTATGTAAATGGAGACGGCGGATATGCTTCAATCTCTTCTGGCGGCGTGGGATTCAATCACACAACTGTCCACTTCGAGTCACAGAGAAATCACGGCTACGCATTCAAATTGCTAATTTATGGACCATTTTAATTGCTAACACATTGAGATAACAAAAAAATTTTTTTTATTTATACATTGAAGTAAAGTCAAGCGTGAATGTTAATAGGAATCCTCTTGCTTTAGTTCTATGACTCAGGTGTAGAATTTTCGCAGCATAATAATGTTGGTTAATAAAGAAAAAAAGATTGTGAACTTTTCTGTATTTCCCACAAGATTTCCCATCAGCAAAACATGAAATCTCGATCATTGTGTCAGTATTGGCAAAAGCTTCTCTCGCGTGCTTACGATAATCCCGAAGAGGCTCAGCCAGCTGAGCCGGAGAAGCCGATCAGTTGAGGTCAGCGACTGGCCGAGTGCAGAAGCATTGCCATGCTGTCGATCGCTGTGGGACTCACTCTTCTCTGCGCCACTGCTCTGGCGCAGTTCTCCATCCCTGACGCCGAGGTGATTTTCTACGAGCCCCGCGGCTTCCGTGTGTCCATCCCAGCCGATCCCGAGATCCGCCTGTTCGCCTTCCACGGCGCCAGGAACAAGGTGCTGAGCGGCACCGAGCCCGGAACCTGGAATGCGGACGTGACGACAGCCAGGGACGGCAAGTTCGTGTTCGAGGACTCAAACACAAAGTTTGAGAGAGGAGACTTCCTCAGCTTCTGGCTGTACGCCATCCTGCACAATGGCCAGGGCGTGCAGGAACTCGGACTGACAAGAACGGCCAACGGTAAGAAGTTCGCCTTCATCGTGTTTTTCTTCTCGTTTTTTCACCTCTCTCTCCATTGCGCCTCTTCCAGACTTCCTTCCACGCACTCAAAACTCGTTCCCAGTGTGAGTATCACATCTGATTCTCTTCACATGGCGTCTCTCTTCGGAATAACATTATCATCATTAAGTCAGTGAAGCGTACCTCTGGCTTGCCTGCAAATGGCAAAGCAATTAACGGAGAGTTTAGAGGTCACGTGCATAAAATTTCAGTGATTTTTGGCTGTGTGATAGTTGTGATAAAGTGTCTCTCGAATATTCAAATGACGAGGGAATTCCCAAGTAGCGTAATTAAAAATGAAACACTGTTTCTCTGAACGTGATTCAAAGCGCGAGATTCAGTGAAATCCAATGTGTCTAAGTGTGATCTAGCCAAGAATTTTCTCACTGTTGTGTTTTTCTTCTATTTCAATACCAGCTTGTAAACTGATATTAGACGATTTGCTCTTGATTCTCACTTCTGTTTTTTCTTACTTCAGTGAAAACATTTCCACTGAATTATAAACCTTAGTTGAAAGTGGATGAAAAAATCGGCAGTTTGCCATTGATTGAACTTTATTTTGAATTCAGTTCAATTAATTGCATTCGACAATGATCAAGAACTTTTAATCATAATGCTAAGGATTTCTTATAAGTTTCTGTTTAAAATTGTTACCTTTCAGACCTGGTCCAATTGGCTTTGAAGTTCCCACGCCTGAAGTGAAGCATTTCTCGCGGGGATTTGAGGTTTCCATTCCGGAAGAGGAGGGAATTTCCCTCTTCGCCTTCCACGGACAGCTTAATCAGCCCTTCACGGGCCTTCAGGGTGGCCAGTGGTCTTCGGACATCACCGTGCCTACAGAAGGACGCTTCCGCTTTACTGAGCGCTCCACGAAGCTGAAGCCAGGCGACGTAATTTACTTCTGGGTTCACGTGATCTTCAATGGTTTGGGATACAATCTCGAAGGCCAGGAGTATCGCGTTCCTGGTGGCACAGCGAATCCTGCTCCAACGCCAGTGACTCCTGTAACTCCGGTGCGAATTAGACCAATCACTTCAGAGACTGATGCTCCTGAGCCAGAGTCTCCGACCTGTCAGAAGTCCCCAACGGTGCTGAAAGACGGAAGTCATCCGTGCGTCGGAGCTCTGATATTCTCCGAGGAGTTCTCAGGACACAGACTCAGCGGACAGTGGGAAATTGAGAAGAGGTTCGGATCCATCGAACCGGATAATGAGTTTGTTATCTACCTCAATCGATCGGAGAATCTGCACATCAGTGGAGGACAGCTGAGGATCAGACCAACGTTCACACAGAGTGTCTATACAGACAGATTCACGCTGGATATTCCGCAGTGAGTCCCGAATAAGTTTCTAAGCTATGCAAAACATTACAAATGAGTTTCTTTTCTAGCTGTACCGAGGAACACGGTTCTCCAGCTTGCAGTAGATCTAGGGAGAAATTCCCTGACATCCTGCCGCCCATAATCTCATCCAGGATAAATACAAAGTCCCAGTTTCACTTCCTCTATGGAAAAGTGGAGATTCGCGCTAAACTTCCGAGTGGAGATTGGATATTTCCAGGTGAGAATTCCACAATTAATTTTTTTCACGCAATTCAACATCTCTTCATCTTCTTAGAAATGTTCCTGGAATCCGTCAAGAACACCTATTCAACTGATAACTTAGAATCTGGACAAATGCGCATCGCCTTTTCGTCAGGCGGTCCTTGCAATACTCAGGATCTCTACCAGGGAGTTCTTCTAGACTCCCGAGAGCCCTATAGGACGAAGAATCTATGTGTGAAACGCATTGCTTCCGGTGGTAAATGGTCAGATGAATTTCATACATTTACAATGATTTGGACGCCAGAGAAAATCTCAACGTTCGTCGATGACAAGTTCAATTGCGAGATTCTTCCCATCGACGGCTTTCACACGCAAACCCTCGAGGATGGACAAATGTATCCGGGTGCCAACAAGTGGAAGCAGTGGGGCACTTCCAAGCTGGCGCCTTTCGACCAAGAGTTCTTCCTGACGCTGGGTCTGGGCGTTGGCGGACACAATGACTTCCAGGAGTCGCGCTACTGCAAACTGCCCTGGAAGAACACCTCGCCGAGGGCGATGAATCAGTTCTGGCAGAAGAAGGATGAGTGGACGCCGTCCTGGGAGAATCGCGATCCCAACTTCAAGGTGGATTATGTGCGTATCTACGCGCTTTAGACTGGCAAGAGTCTGAATAAAGGAGACTGACATCGATAAAAATAGTAAAATCACGTCACCTCAATTAACTTCGCGATAACACCTTAATCCCGCTTTTTATTACACTCCTCATAATCTCACACAGTAAGCCTGATTCCCTCTGCCTTTACGGCTACTTCGGCTTGTCTCCGGACGCGCTCATGATGCCTACGTGTCCTTGGCAGTAGCTGCATGGGCAGTACGGGTTCATGGGGTCGTGCGGGTGTGGGTTCACTGGTGGCGGATAGTGCGGCGGATGGTGAGGCGGATAGTGAGGCGGATGATGCGGCGGGAAGTGCGGCGGATGGTGGGTTGGATGATCCGGCAGGTGGATCACGTCCTCGGATGGAGGTCCGTTGGGGTAGTGGAAGCAGTTGGGGCAGTGCACGCAGTACCTCGGAAAACTGGCCATCGTCAACTCCCAGAAAACTCACGGCAGACACTGAAACTGCGCTCGATGGACGAGCACGGTTTTATAGCGCCACGATAAGGAGTGATAAGGTTGGGTTTCGGTGATTTTTAGACCTCAGCCCATAGATAAAGCTCGGACCGTGTGCAGACATTCGTCACGAGTAACAGAAATGATGATAAGGAATAGTTTGGCGGAAATTTGCATTCACTGCAGTGAATTTTGAGGCGGGAGAGATAATTTTGCGAGCGAATGTAGATTAGTTTTGCATAGCTTTCGGCGTAAAATTCAAACCTTGAGTATCGTTAGTATATTTGTTTGCTTTATCAAAATTGTAGTTTTACTCGCACATTTTTTATTAAAGTTTAAATTTAGCGACAAATGATGAAATGTGTGATGTCAAATTGAGTCATCAAAACTTGTTTGCCATTTGGAAAAGTAACAAAAAAAGTTTTCACTTTTTCTCAGGTATTTTGATACGAAAAATATTCAAATTTTACTTTGTTAGGAAATTTTATCAAATTTTTTCCCATCTTACTCTTGCTAAACATCCTGGTGACTTCAGATCCTAGATATTAATGACTAAACTTATTAAATGGAACACATTGATACAGTTTTCCTTTTATTCATCAGATTTAATCAAGGATTTAATTGATTTTAAACAACTTTATTCTGAAGAATACTTAATGTTTGTCAACACCAAACTAGGAAATTATAGATATTTCTCATACAAGTTTCTTCTTCTTTGGTACAAATGAAAGTTATTATCTTAAAATACACAAAGTAATTATCACGTTTTAGAATCAATTTACATCTTTTTTTTCTACTTTTGCATCTCAACTTTCCATTATCGTGTAACGTTTTATTAAAATCTTGTTGCCAAACGAAAGACTTAAATGCTTACTCAACTCACTATCTTTGGAAAATTCCTACGAGATTAGGAAATAATTTATCAGCCGGATTCCCACAAATTTGCCTCTTTGGGTGACTTCACTTAATTGCCTGTTTGTGGGTGTTTTTATATCACTCCATGAAATCACGCCCGGATCGCGATAAAGATGGGCAAACATAAAACGCAAAAGAGAGAGAGGGAAAAGGCGAGGGAAGATTGCACGTTGCGGTTGAAAATGCTGAAGCATGATCAATTGTCTCCATGACTTTCTTCAGTCGCACTTTTCCGCGGAAACTCGGCCTGCCGAAGAGCTGCAAGAAGTCGCGATCGCCGATCATTGACCATCTCAAGAGGCCCTCGAGCCGTGCAGAGCTCGTCTCTGGCTCAGTTCCCATTCAGCAGCCCGAGAGTGCGGATTGCGCTGACAGTTTCGTGACACAGTGTTCAAGAGCGCGTGTGGATTTCTCTTGGGACGTGGCCAGCAGTTTCGCAAAGGAGTTGCCCAACAGCGTCTCTGACCAAGGAGGATCTCAGTCCAAAGTGAGTGCATTTGTCGAGGCCGCAGCGGCTGGAAATTTGATGAAACTGCTAAAATGATTAGCAAGAGATTTCTCAATTTTCACTCTGTGACCTTTCGCAAGTTGAAGGGACTGTAGATGAGAGATTTCGGTGCTGTTCACGTGCAAAAAGTGCAGAAGAATCCGCCCGATGAAACGCGCATGTTTTACTAATGACCATTGACAATTCGACTTATTCTATCGCATATTGAGCCGCCGAAGAGCGCGTGAAACTGTTGATTGTGCTGAAAAGCGAGTAAAAAATCACTGAATTATTCAGTCAAACCTCAATCTTGGAATTCAGAAGCGCTCAATTTTGCAGCTCACCATCAAATCTGTGATGATGTTAATGAAAAGAGTGCCTAAAAAATGGCTGTATTTGGCTTATTAATTTGCAAACATGCCTCACAATTTTCATTTCAAATTAACTTTTTCCATCCATCAAAGCAGGTTGATTTGTTATGCCTTGACTTGATATTTTTTCTTGAAAAGTCATATGAATTTATTGCGAGAAGCAACAGAGTGAAAATGATTTTATGATGTGCCAAATAGACCTCAGAATTGATGATAAAAACTGGGTCAAGTCATGCAAAGATAAGACTACGATTGGAATTTAGAAAAATCTGTTATCTCTTTCATAATAATCAATCGTGTCGTAAACATAGATTTTATGGGATTGGATTTATGAAGAATTAATATGAATTTAATTTATACTTGAAGGCTTTTTCTATTTTTTTTTTAATGCAAATTTTAAATCAGACAACTTAATTGGTTTTCATCTCATACAGTTTTTTGACACGTGAAAGTTTGACTCACAAACGGATAATTATACACATAAATATTTTTAATTTAGCAAAAAATTGCATTTTACAAAGAAGAAAATCTTTTGAAAATAAAGAAAATAGGTAAAATATGATTTTTCCATATTTTTACATCGAACATTTCTCCCACGAAGGGTTAAAAGTTACTATCATTATTACACTATATAATTGCTATTCTGAGTCACGCATTTTTCCATAGTTTACCAATTCTAATTGTGTATCAAGTTCAAGCACAACAAAACTGTTTCGCTTTTCATTTCACGTGAATTCCTGAGTCGCGTTGCACTTTTTCATCGCTTCGGAGCTTTCGCGAGACCAGAAAGAAAGTTGCCTAAATTGTTTTTCCCTCCTGCAGATGCTGTTCTTCCTCGTGGTTTACGTGGGTCCCGTCGTGGCGGCGGGCGTCGGCCTGGCGCTGCTCTACTTCATGAAGTCCAGCAAGGAGATGCCCAGGAATTGGGACGAGTTCCTCACCGAAGCCTGGTTCCAGTATCACGGCGTGCGCGGCCTGGCCGAGGACAGGATCAACAGTCGCTACAACGTCGTCGGTGAGTCGCACTGTCGCTCTTCCTGCAGCCAGGAAAGCTCGGGAAATTTCCGCATCTTCCTGACTTTTGGTTTTTGCGCGCGAATGATATTCATAAGCAAATTCTTGCCATGCGATTTCCAGCCTCTTTCAACACTCTTCCACCGAGTGATTGGCCAATATTTGCCCAGAGAAAAACCTTGAGGAAGACACTGAGCGCACTCAATTCCCACTGAACGGGGTTCGCACTTTTCTCTACAGTCAAGACTATTGCGCTCAAAGACGGATGAAGAATTGGTGATGTTTCAAGGTGATCAAGATGGAGAAATGCACAAAAAGTTGCCCAATGTTTTCTGGCTACTCCATTTTTGACCTCCACTAAAAATTTCCAGCTTCTAGAGATCGAGAGTGAATGCCGAGATGAATACATTGTCGCGATTTTGAGTGACACAATTAATATGCAGTGGAATTCATCATAATCCGTCGGATTGATTGGAAATGCAGGGTCACACACTTGAACTGATGCCAACATTAAGTCAAGATCAAAAGCTGCAATGTTAATTATTCATTTCACTAGGATTTTTGATATCAAAAAGAGACTAAAAGTCAAGTTTTAAAGCTACAAGACGAAGGAAATGTCGTAAGAAAAGTGCAAAAATCATAAAACTCATTTTATTGCAGTTGTAGAAAAAATCACAGAAACATTTCCAGAAGGTTTCGTGGCAGAAATGTGCAAATTTGACCTTTTAAACACCATTTCGTCGTTATCTTTTGACCCTTTTCGTGTATTTAAATTGAACTAACACTAAATCAATTTCCGAATGAATCCTTGCAGAGCTCTTCAAGCAGCCCGGCCGCGTCGCCGTGATGACTGGAGGCAATCGCGGGATCGGCCTGAAGATCGTAGAGAAGCTGCTGGACTGCGACATGACCGTCGTGCTGGGCGTCCGCAATGTCGAGTCGTCTAGGCGCTCAGTCGCCAAGGAGATTCCAGTGGACAAAACGGCCGGGAAGCTCTTCTTCGAGCAACTCGACGTCGGCACGATGTCGTCCGTGCGGAAGTTCGCGGCGGAGATCAAGAAGAAGTACCACAAGATCCACATTCTCATCAACAACGGTGAGAAAAATGCCTTGAGAGAAAGTCTTCTTCTCGTGCTGATGTTGCGCGCGTCTTTTCAGCGGGAATCATGGCGGCGCCTTTCGCTCTCACCGACGACGGCTTCGAGAGTCAGATGGCCATCAATTACATCGGCCACTTCCTGCTCACGCATCTCCTCCTGCCCGAAATCGTGGCCGCCGGAGAGGCTGATCAGCACTCGCGGATCGTCAATGTGTCCTCCTGCGTGCACTTGATGGGCGACATTGATTACGAGAACTTCCACGGCGCCAAGAGCTACTACGGCGCCACGCACTACAACCAGTCGAAGCTGGCCCAGATCCTCTTCACGAAGCACCTCCAGACACTGCTGGACAGCCGCGGAGCACCCTGCCAAGTGCACGCCGTCCATCCGGGAGTCGTGGACACGGATCTGTTCGTGCACAGCAGCTCCACAGTCATTCCGTGGTTCAAGAAGGCCCTCTTCAAGGTGCCTCCCTGTCAATCCCTCTCCACTATCGTGTGCTAATCTCTGTATTCTTGCAGAATCCCGAGCAAGGCTCTCGAACGGTGGTTTTCGCGGCGATTTCACCCAAACTGGAAGGCAAAGGAGGCTCATATCTCAGCAACTGCCGCCTCCATCGGACGCACGCGATGGCCAAGGACAAGGCAGCCTGCCAGAAGCTCTTCGACTACACGCGGGAGATGCTGAAAATCGAGGACTTCGGCCGACCTCAGGGACATTAGTGATGTGGAGGTGCTTTTATAACAAATAAATTCATTCCTTTTAATCAATCACCCGGAAAGTACAGTCTTCAGGAGCTTCCCTCGAAGTGCCTGAAGATCTTCTGAGTCACCTCGTCGGCTGTCTTGACTGCCGCGCTGCTTGGGTGCTCCGCCAGGAAGTCCTTTCCCTGGTCACAGCACTTGGCCAGTGTGGGATCGAGTGGAATGCGGCCCAGGAAGGGAATTCCCATGTCTTGAGCCATCTTCTCGGCTCCTCCGGAAGTCGGCGGGAAGATTATGGACTGCTTCGTGCAGGACGGACAGATGAAGCCCGCCATGTTCTCCACGACGCCCGCAATGGGGATCTTCAGCTTGCGGCAGAAGTTCACCTCCTTCCGAACGTCTAGCAGCGCAACTTCCTGCGGCGTCGTGACGACAATCGCCGCCAATCCCTCGCGCGAGTTCTCCAGGAAGGACACAGCGCTCAGGTGCTCATCCGAGGTTCCCGGCGGAGTGTCCACAACGAGATAGTCCAGCTCTCCCCAATCGACGTCGCCCAGAAACTGCTTAATCATGCCGTTCTTCTTCGGGCCGCGCCAGATGATCGCGTCGTCCGGACTGCCTAGCAGGAAGCCGATGGACATGACGGACAGGTTCTCGTCCACGAACACAGGCGACCATCCCGAGCCGGACTGGTGCACCTGTTCATCCGCCACACCGAAAACTCTGGGCTGCGAAGGGCCGCAGATGTCGATGTCCAGCACGCTGAAGTTCCGCTCCGGACGGCTGTGCGCCATTGTTCTGGCCAATAGGTAAGTCAGGGTGCTCTTGCCGACGCCTCCCTTGCCAGACAGCACCAGCAGCTTGTGACGAACCTCCCGGAGGCGCTCGGTGACCACACTCAAGTACGCATCCTTGGCCGCCGACGCTTGTCCCGTGGAGCAGAGGTTCTGATTCGGGCATCCGGCACACGCAGATGCCTTTCCGGCGTCCTGACTCTCGACTCCCGGACAGTGTTCAGGCGGAGCTTCCATTGTCAGAGAGATTTGGGTAGAAAAACACCAAAAAACAACAAACTCGAGCACACTTCAGTCCGAACTTCAGGAATGAAAGCTTTCCGGAATGCTACTCGCCCAATTGCGGATTGCAATTGCTCTGTCACAAGACACTTCCGAGGAACTTCCCACTGAGTTCCACGGTCGCATGCTCTCAAACAAAATCAACAGCAATATTTCAAATCTTTAAGACATCATTATTGATCTTAACATTGACGGACTTCTTTAATTTTTTTTGTGGCAATTGGCGCATGAGAAATGTTTCAGTAAAATATCGAATTGTTCCGCGACCATCGCAGCGACAGAAGCAAGAACTGGAATAGAAAAATGGCCGATTAGCAATTCTGTAACAGTGGTCGCTACAGTCACGACACGAGTTCCTAATAAAATCATCTGGAAATCTTGTGAAAATATGTATTTGTACATAATTTTTTTCCTAAAATAAATATGAAGAAGATTCAGAAATTCGACTAAATATGTCTTCAGATAAGTTTCTATTGTCTTGTCTGTTTTACTCTTATACAATGTTAAATATTTGTGATCTGAGCAAAAATTTAACAATTTCACGAGTATTTTTGATATAAAAAGCACCAAAAACGTGCTATCTCAAGTCAGTTACAATCTCAGTGACAATGAAAGTCTTCGTGTGCTTCTTTGCTCTGTTCGCCGCGGCCGCTCTTGGTCAAGTTGTTGGTTGGTAACTTTCCTAATGAAAAACGGTCATTTAATGAAATATGTGTATTGATTTTCCTATTTTTCTCAGGCGGACCATGTGACTTCCAGTGCCCATCTGATTACATTCCGGTTTGCAATGCTTACGCGGATGGAACTTACTTTACCTTTGGCAACAGCTGCGCTGCTTCGAACTACAATTGCTTGAACGGACTCAGTAAGTCGTGATATTTTTTTACAAAATCATTTCCTCTTCACATTTGTGATTTCAATTGATTTCCAAATGTATATTGTCCTGAAAGCTTTTTTTTCTTTTAAACGTAGTTAATCATTTTCTAAAAAACTGGTAATGAAATCACAGAAGAGAAAGTATTAGTTTCTTTGATAGATTCAATTCTGCATATCTTATCTATGATCTCACTTTCAGCCCCTACATTCCAATCTTAAGACAATGTGGAATGCAACCAAGTGGACTTTGGATCCTGCGATCAGTCAGTTTGCTGCTCTTATGCTGATGGATCCGACTCAAAAACTTACAGCAGCGTGAGTGCTGCTGAAAATGCCCAGAAGTGTCGTGGCGCAAAACGTAAGTTATCAAATCAATTTAAGGAATCGCTCAATCTAGGATCCAACTTATGATTTTTTCCTGCTTCAGGTTGCTACATTTTGGCCAAGGGTGCGTGCGCCTAAGCAAAAAAAAACAGCACTTCAAGTCTTCAACTGAATTTTGTCGCTTATATGAAATAAAAGCAATCAAGAAAATAAAGTTCGTTCACACTCAGACTGCAGCGTTTGCGTAAACTTTCGTTCTTATCTTAAAATCAACAGAAAAGCGAAACTTTTACGTGTTTGGCTTTGTAGACCCATTAATTGTTTATCTTGAGTCCACAGATTAGTAAGTCATATAGACACAATAAACACAGATTGCTTAGGAACACACAAGTTAAAGAACAAATATAATATTTTATCTACTTTTTCTTATTATTTGCTGCATATTCAGTGTATAGAGACTTTGCTCTGAATGTGCAAAAAAAGCATTCTGCATTTTTCCTTTATCAATTAACCAACAGCACTTCCAAGGATAAGATCACCGATCTGGGCAGCCCTTGGTTCTATTGTCACATGTTGTCCTAAAAGAGGAAAAATATTATTAGTACAGATTTTCTCAATATTTTATACTGTTTCTTATACCAAATACAACCGCGAACGTCAAGATTAGGGAAAGAAACGAAAGAAATCGCATTGCTTTTTCTTCTCGATAGAATTCACCAAAACAACTGAAATATTATCGTAACTCTTTCATGCTTTATAAAATCTTTTCTAATAATAAAAGTATGACAGAAAGCTAATTATTCAACATATAATGAGTTCAAATTGAGCAAATAATAACTTATTAAAAGATTGTTATTTACTACAAAACTATCGACTATGTTTAGATCACATTTAAATAGATTTTTCATTCAAAATTTTATGAATTGAATAATTCGAATATTCTGAAATCAGAAGATAAAAGCCCTTATTTGAATTCTCATTACATAATTAATTGACAACGTGAGATTTTCTCTGTTGGATTGAAAAACGAGTGGGTCGCGATGCCTTCAGAAGCACTAATTAACTCTTCCGGCGAGAGTCTCATGACCTGCAAGTCGTATTTTGATCTTTCGTCAAGTTTTTTTTTTCTTTCTCTCAATTTCCCGCGAGAAAGCAATATTTGTTCATCCACTAATTGAGAGTCGAATTCATAAAGTTCACTTGCTCAAAGACTGGCAGGAGAAAAGATAATATTTGTTGCTCTCTAAATAGTGAGTGTGAAATGCGAGGCGACTATAAATAAATCTTGCCGCCGCGTTTCGGGATGAATGTCTGGAATGCCGTCTCGAGAGCGTGCATCTCAAATCACTGAATGCAATCTTTCAATTTATGATCCGCACAGATGAAGAAAAAGGGCCGGGCGTCGTCATCAATCACAGCGCTGTGTGCCTTCTTTCATCCATTCATTGTTTGGCAAAAATGCAAAAAGGGCGCGTCTGTTATTAATTTCGTGCAGTTGCGCGCAACTAGACGCCGGTTGTGCGCGACTGTTTGAGGCTCGAGAGGCGCGCGTTGCGAGCACAAAGGGGGTCCGACGGTGGGACTGTTGATTAGGGGACCGCCGAAGATTGAAAAAACCACAGACAGCATCCTAAAATAATGATTATTTTCATCGCGACGCAGACGCACATGAGCGTTCGAGCGCGCGCCAGAAAGTCAGAGAGCGCGAGAGCATTTCGGGATGCTGCGATGCGAAAGACTCTCCCAGGGGTGTACTAAGGGGTGGGAAATCCAGACTTCACAGCATTTCCTTCCTCCTCTTACGGTGCGCCGACAGAAAATCTATGGCGAATACACGCAATCACTCGCGTATTTTACACATTAGCAATGGACGCTGTTTAACACAGATTCGCGAGCATGTTCTCTTGCTTGGCCCCCCAAAAGTCTCTGATTCGTCTCTGGGCCGTCGCCGGTTCCCACGGACTCTCTCTCACTCTCTCGTCACCCACTCACGGAGAGGAGACGACGAAGTGATCTCTCTCGCCGCAGCATCTGAGAAAGAAGACGCAATTCGTCTCCAGTCGACTTTTGCTATCCAAGCAAGGTGGGGAAGTCATCCGCTTTCCATTCTCCACTTCCTGTGCTAAGAGTGACTCTTTTTCTACACTTTGCGCGCGCCCTCGTGAGGCCCCAGTTTTTCTCACATTCGCAAGTGCCGGAATTATTGTGCTCAATTGTGCGCTTTACGGACAGGCGGCGATTCCGCCGCAGGAGGAGCAGAAGGGCCCCCGGATTTGGGGTGGAGATTTTCACGGCGTGCGCGCACGGGTGGTAAAATGGGGCGTCGAACAAGTGGAGCACCCTAAATTGTTGCACTCACTTGTCCGCCACTTTTCCGTCCTCGGAACGCCCATCAAGTCTCAGGTGGCGAGCGCGCCCCGCTGACGAAGAACCCCACCGGAAAGTGCCCAAGCGCTTGGTGAGAAAATTGAGATGGTTTTTCACGCACTTTTAAAGTGATTTCGTGGATATTTTCTCGAATGCGCACGTTTGAGGAGAAAGATTGCGACATTTGCCTTTTTTTGTACATTCTCCGAAAGGTCTTTTTGCGGGTGGATCGGGACATTGTGTGAGGGTTTTGAGAACTATTTCCAGGGAAACTTGCGGGATTCTTGAAGAAAATTGTATTGTTGGATCTAGATTGAGTTGGGAATATTCCTAATATCGGTGAAGAAGTTCGTCCGGAAGCACTTTGTCTTAATATTTAGCATTCCAGAGGACATTTAGGTCCAAGAGCGGCCATAAACTCCCCACGGTGGCCATAAAATCATCTGCTAAGTGCAGCAGAAAAGGCGCAGACGAGTGATTTTTTTCCCGCGAGGCAAATTCAATTAGGCTCGTGTGGGAGGGACTCCACTCTGTTGGATGTCTTGTGGTGAATGAAAATTGCGCCGTGACTCCTCCTCGGTGCTTCGCTTTATCGTGGCGCCCCAAAAATAATCACGGGCTCTGTGACAATTTTTCCCGCTATAAATAAAGCCACACACACGCGAATTTATTCGGTGAATGAAACTCGCCATCGGTTTTATGCAACGCACACCGGAAGATGATGACGCCTTTTCTTGCGAAAAGTGGCGCGAAGAGAGATGCAAACTTTGCCTCCTTCAATGACATTCGCTCAAGAACATTTTGCTCGTTATTTTATAATTATGGAGCATCTTGCGAGTATATCGCATATGAATTTCCAGAAAGGATTCTCTTACGAGGTCTTTTTGCTCATTATAGAAACTTTCTGCGTCCTTTTGCAAAGTCTTTCTGGATTCCGGTAAAATCCTATTTTGAACTGTAGCGCCACTTGATGGCGGACGAGTGAATTTCAAGTGTTGGCCAGAGTTGCAACTGACTCGAGCGTGTGCATTTTTTCAGAACATGTGAACCACTCGAGATTCTGCTGAGGGAAAAGCGGGAGAAGTGCCACATAAATCAGTCATAAGAGACACACACATAGAGAGATAGAAAAGTGAGTGGGTGGAGAGTATGTGCGGGGGATTCTGGACACTGGAGCACCAGAGGCTGAGTGGGAATTGTCACGTCAGCTGAACGACGCACAGAAGCATTTACACAATGCGAGAGCACCTGTGGCTCCTCGTGGTCGCGGCTCTGCACTTGGCCTCGGCTCAGCGACCGCTCAGTAACTCCTCGTCGGCATCCTTCGCCTCGGGTGTAGCCCTGGGGCCCCAGAGTCGCGTGCCCACAACCAACATGCCTCACCAGGCCGTGGACCCGTTCGCCGCTGGCGGCTACATGATGAACTCCTACTATCCTGGCTACACGGGCCGCAGTCGCAACAAGGACAAGTTCAATGAGTTGCGCAACTTGTCGCTGATGAACAATATGAGGGCCGTTGAGCCCGGAGTCGCCCGGGAGGCGCAGCCGGCGGGCATCAGCTCGCTGTATAACATTGACCGCCAGCGGGACGGTCCTGTTTACGCCGGCATAAGCAATAAGGACCCAGTGCAGACACTGAAGGCGAGATTCAAGGAGAGCGTGAGTACTGTTGACTCTTAGTGTTTGAATGGTTTGAATGCAATGAGGTCAAGAATCGAAGACACGGTAGTAAACAATGCTGGAAACTCGTGAAAGGCTGTCCAAGATTTCATATTCAAAACTCCAAGAATTATCTGGCAAAATACCGGGAATTTCGTTAGAAATCTTTAAAAACCCTCAAACAAACTCATTTTACAATGGAAAGTACTTCTCTCACATATCTTATATAACTTGTAGGGAAATTGAAATGAGCATAATATTCGCAGAAATTACTAACGAACTTAGTTTTATGTACTGTATATCACGGTAAATCCTCTTAATGGATAAATTTACGAGAATGTAAGTCCCGCCCACCCAAATGCTCCTCCCAGATTTTGCATTGTGCGTTGGTATTTTTTCACTGTAATTCGAATTTCAATTACATTTTCACTGGAAATCATTAGGAAAAGAATGGTGCAATTTACTGGAGCCCTTTTCAATGCGCAAAATGCACTGAATGATTAATATTTCCCAGAGCATTTTGCACCTATTCAGCCTTTCCATTGGGGCTTTCTTGTGAAATTCCTGGATTTCTCAGAAATTGTATCACATTCAAATGGTGCAAATTTCAATATCCGTCCCAGAAACATTTCCGCACCCTTCCGCCATTCACTTCCTCTCCGGCACTCTTGTGGTCTATGGCAATTGAAATTTCCTGACTCTATTTCCTCACCATATTAATCCTCCATAGCTGAATTGCTGCAATGCCTTTCTAATCTCAACCCCGGACTAAATATAGAGACAACATATGTATCTTTACGAGGGACTGGAGAAAATTCTGCTGGCGTCATTTTTGCTCACGACAAACATTTTCGCAGACACTCAAACCCTGTTGACTTTCTTACACGACTTGATTTTCTTTTGGGACCGAAAATAGACATTTCTCCGTGAAGCTCCGCGTGAAAAATCCGTCTTGACAAAAGCACCTGGAATCAGGGCAATTTAGTGAGGTGGAAAGTGACGAGAGAGGCTTTTCACCCAGAGATTCAAGCAGAATTTGGTGGCAGGTTTCACCAGAAATAGTGAGGATTAGTGTAAAAAAAAATTTATATTCATATCATATTGATTTTTTGTACATAGAAAATGTGTATGAAAAAATTCCATGAGAGAAAAACTCTGACAAAAGTCTGTTGATTAACAATTCATGGCAGTTTTGTATATTTCGCCAGCACAATTAGGAGCATCTCTATCAATTAGAGACATTGACGGGAAATTCGGTGGAAAAGAGCCTTGACGAGTTCCGCTCACTCTCGCTTTGACAATTTGAGTGGCATTTTCTCGCTGAGTCGTGCAAATTTGATGAATTATAATGTGATTGTGAATATTCAGGTAAAATTCACCTGACATTATCAATGGCGAAAAGTGACTCTCGTGGGCGGACGTTCGCTTGTTGCCCCAAAACACCCACTTATGCCCGTTACCTTGGAAGAATTCCCACGATTTGATGGGGTGAAAAGGGATGGAAGAAGGGCAGATCTGCAGCGTGAATGCTCAGGAGGAATGCCAATTGCAGTGGGAGGACAAATCGTCGATTCAGCGGGTGTTCTCACCACTTCTCAATTAATTCCCAATTAGTGCCATCGCACTTCTCCTCCTTCGAAGGCCCCTGAACGCCAATTTGTCCAATTCTCAGCCACTTCCTCACGAGTAATGCTATTACCGCATGAAATATACCAATGCGACGGTGTCGCATTTCACTTGGGTCGTCATTGAATTACCGGGCTGAATTTCGTGCGCTATTTTCCAGTCGCGGGCTCAGCAGGAAGTCAGCGAGATCGATGATGTGCTGGGCGTGAAGTGCAGCTTCGAGACGGAGTGTGCCTGGACGTGGAACGAGACCATCGTGGATGGCTTCCAGGTGGTCACAGGAGCCAATCTCACCGACTCCAATCGCACCGGGATCATGCCAGGTCCACCTGCGGATGCCCTCAATGACGCCAGTGGTGAGTTCGGAACCTGATCCCTATAATTGCTTCACAATGCAACAAAGTTCCGCGAAAACACCAATCATAAATATACTGTGCAACATCCTTTGATTTCCAAAAATAGTCATCATTCGCACATTGTTAATTGCACAACCATTTAATCCTTTGGGAAGAATTGGGTCGTGTGTGACCAATGAAAGAGTTCATTTAATTGATTTAATTACTCATATTATTATTGTGGTTTCAATGGAACGTATATATTCGATTCCACGTATTCTCTGAAATTCCGCTGTAAATCCACAATACCAAAAAGCAAAAAATACTTTTGGCATATAATTTATTATAATATTTACGTAGGTACTAAATTCCCAGAAAACAATTGTTTTAATTAAAATAAAAGGGATTTTCCGACAAATTCATCTGCTTGAAAATTCTAATGTGATAAAATTGTTCGTTGCATGAACAGAGGTAGAAATATCCATGTGAGAAATTGAGTTCCGAAACAACTATTTTGGATTATTGATTGACATTAGTGGCACTAATAAATTAACTTTGTGATTGGATACGATGAAAATGTGCTTTACATGCCTGAAAGTTCAATTGGTCTCGAATATTCCACAATAATTGTCACAAACACTCTGTTCCATCAAAGGGCGAAAATTCAAAGTTAATTAGTCTATGATTTTATGTCAATTTCGTTCAACTGCAACCATTGAAATGTTACGTGGAATGAAATCGACCTTTTGATGCTGTTCGCATTTCTCGGAAATGTAGCACGCATAATTTAATTTGCAAAGTCAATATGCCATTAATTATTTCTGAGCGGAAATTAATTGATAATTGAAACTTTGTTCTAAAAGTGAAAAAGCTCTTCATTCAAAATATCCTGAATTGTACAAATGTAATGATAATCTGCTAAGTCAAGTGATAAATTTAACACTATTTCCTAATTTAACTAATATTTTCTTATCAACTATTTTGGCTTTTAGAAGATACTGAATCATTTCTCTCCATGCTTTTGAAAGTGGAAACAAATACAAAAACGACGATTTTCTTAGATTTACCCAAGACACAAATCAGGATATCAAGATTTCAAGATATTTACTTAGGTTTCAGCAACGGGACACTCATTATTATGACTCTCACTCGTCATGGCCATCTTTTGTTCCTTGCAGGCCACTTTCTGCACCTTCGACTCACTCCTGAGACGGGTCAGAGGACGCTCAGGTCGCCCGTGTTCAGCACAACGCGCGAGAATTGCTTCCTGGAGATGTTCATCCACCAGAGCTCGATGACACTGAGCAGCATCCGCATCGTGATCGAGCCCGTGGGCACGCAAGAGTCCTCTTGGGTTATTTCCGAGATTGCCGGCAATGACCAGCGGCGCTGGGAGCTGAACCGCTTCCGCATCGACCGCGTGAGCAAGGATTTCCACATCGTGTTCGAGGTGGTGCCCAACGGCCTAGGCGGCCGCGCCCGCGGCCACGTATCCATAGATAATCTGCGAATGGTGAATTGCTTCGCGGAAAATCTGAATGGCGGCAATTGCAGCCTGAATCAAGTGAAGTGCAACAGCAACAAAGTGTCTGTGTGCATCGACTTCCAGCGCATCTGTGACATCTCGGCCGAGTGTGATGACAGCGAGGATGAGAATCTAAACTGCGGTGAGGCTATTGTTAACCATTTCCAGGGGTTGCTAAGGGCAATATGCGTGTATGTCACTCAAAGGCAATAGCAATCCCTCGCCATTTCCTCTCTAGCCGCCTTTGATGGACTTATATATGGGATGTTGTGTGGAAATTGCTGTGGTGCCTGCAAGGGAAATTGTCCAGCTGCGGTTGCATTCACTTTGTGGGTTTATTCTGCTGAAATAGGACAATTAAAGTCTCTTTGTACGCGTTTCGAAGGCTATTTTCCCAGCAATGCTTCCAATTACCACACGAAGTCTTGTGCTTAAATTTCTACCCCTCTCTCTGACCTCTGACCTTTAATTGTGCCTTTTTGTACACCTTCATTCAATTCTCCCTCTGGTGCCTCTATTAATGGAATATTCCACGCGCACTTTCAATGCTTCATTCAACTCAATTACATCTCATTTGCACGCGCGCACGGGTATGAAAATAGTTGAAACTTGATTTCACCCGCAGACAAAATCCCCTTTGGCGGGCGCTGTGACTTTGAGAGTGGCTGGTGTGGTTGGCAGAACTCTGGCAAGGCCATCCTGGTGTGGAGCCACCACACGGGCCCCACGCCCACCGACAAGACGGGCCCCGACTCGGACCACACGCACATGCACATGAACGTCACGGGTCACTACATGTACGTGAACATGAATCAGCACGTGAATGACGGCGAGAAGAAGAAGCTCGTGGGATTCGCCAGCAACGCCGTGATGAACAGCGTCGTGTTCAATCCGCCGCCGTCCGTGCACACGAACGCCAGCTCGCCGTACAGGAACACGTGCATGGTAAGGATCAGAATGTGGTTCAAGTGCTGACAACAATAAGCTATTAACGACCAAATCCGCATCTTTGTTTGCTCTCTATTCTGTGAACTTGAAAAGTTGTAAAAGCTCAGAACATTCTTCGTAGAGAAGCCGCACTTTTGTGCAGCAATCAAGAAGGATTTTCCAGAAAGTTGACAGACTTGAGGAAGAAAAAGAAAATAGCAAGAAAACCTGCATGCTGTGCTATATATTCTAGTAAGAGATTGAAAGCTTTTCAGATGCGAACGGTGTGTGAACATGAAAGCATCACTTTCTAACGTTGATGTTTCAAAGAAACTATTTAGGAGTAATTGATTTGTCCTTTCGATGACTTCCTCAAGTGCATTCAATCGAGAATTCAATTCATTTGAAGCTCTCAGAAGATGAAATAGACTGATTTACCTTCAAATTCGCCTTTCTGCTAAATTTCTATTAAGTAAGTTTCTCAAAATTACACTTCATCTTACTCAACTCCTTTATGTTTAGTAACTTCAACAACTAATCGAAATATTGTAATTAATATTTATACAAGTAAGAGAAAAGCAGTATAATGAAGTGTACAAAGCATCTATTAAGCTTTCGGTTAAACAATTAAGTGAAGAGCACAATCGTTTAATTGCAAGAAATGCAATTAATTAGGATAAAGTGAGAGGCATTCTATGGAAACATAACAGAATTACACTGAATCTGAATGCATAACATGGCAATTATATTCAAAATACACATTCCATTCGTCAAACTATATAGACAACAAGGTTTATTATCACAATGCGAGTAATTGTACATAATATGTATCAGGTAACCGCAGAATTGACACATTAATACAGGGTAGAATATTGGCATTAATGGGCTCAACACGTTCAACATCTTCTTTACGCCACTCAATCCCTCTCTCGCCATCCTGCAGATTCGCTTCTATGTCCATCAGTACGCGCTGAATCCGGGCAGCATCAATCTCTCAGTGGTGGAGATCAAGGACAAGGAGAACGTGACCACGACGCTGTGGTGGAGCTCGAAGAATCAGGGTCCGCGCTGGGTGCGCGTGGAGGCAACCATGCCCAATATCACCACGAAGTACTACTTGCAGTTCGAGGCACGCATGGGCATGCGAATCTTCTCGGACGTGGCCATCGACGACTTCAGCCTCAGTCCAGAGTGCTTCGGGCTGAACATTCCGCTGGACCACCTGCACGGCTACAACTACTGGGATCCCAGAGTGGGTCTGCCCAAGCAGCCACACCCGGACTTCGCGGACAGGTCGGCGCTGGAGCTGGGCACTTGTGGTGCCAAGGGCATCCTGGGCCCCAGCGCTGCCGACTGCCTCATGTCCTACAACACCACGGACGCCCTGGCGAGCGTGCGCGTGATTGAGTCCTCGCCGCACAAGGGCGTGCAGATCTGGCGCGTGCCCAGCGAGGGCTACTACACGATCGTGGCCAAGGGCGCCGGCGGGGGTCTGGGATCGGGTGGTGTGGGCTCGTCCAGGGGCGCCATGGCGGTGACGGTGATAGAGCTGCACAAGGACGAGGAGATCTTCATCCTGGTGGGCCAGAGTGGCGAGCACGCGTGCATCAAGTCCATGGGGTACCGCGATGAGAGCTGCGAGCCCATCTCGGACTCCAGAGACGACGACAGGTACACGTCGAAGACGCACAAGGTCAAGAATACCGTCATCGACGACGGCGCGGGCGGCGGCGGTGGAGGCACCTACGTCTTCCTGTTGAACGCTGCCGCGGCCGCTGTTCCTCTGGTCGTGGCCGGCGGCGGGGGTGGTCTGGGCATCGGCAGATATCTGGACGATGATCTGCAGCACGGGAAGAACATTGACTTCGAGCGAGCCGAGGTGTCAGGCCAGATTCATGGCGATGTGCACAAGGCGGCTGGTCCGGGTGGCGGATGGCGTGCGAAGGATGACTCGGCGCTCGATTCCCGCTTTGGCGCCTCATTGCTTGAGGGCGGTCGAGGGGGGCTGCCCTGCTATCCCACGCGAGGCCTTCACGGCCAGGGTGGCTTCGGAGGTGGTGGCGGAGGCTGTGCGACAGGTGGCGGAGGTGGAGGATTCTCCGGTGGCGATATCCTAAGCGACTCCACAAATGGTCAGGGCGGGACGAGCTTCATTGGGATGAGCAGGAGTGTTAATGACCTGTCCCAGGTTTATGTGGGCGCCAATAGCGGTCCCGGCGCCGTTGTCATCATTCCCGCCATTCAGGGCTGCGGCTGCGACTATCGCTGCGTGGCCCTGGACGAATTCCGCTCCCTGGTGGCCTGCATCTGTCCGGAAGGATGGCGACTGCGGCGGGACAATCTCACCACGTGTGAATGTAAGCAAATCGCACAAAACATCCCGAGAACCACAATTCAAGACTGCCTTACTCCTTCCAGTGATCAGTCCACGAGAGATTCCTCTGCAGTATCTGATTATCTTCTTCATTGTGGTATCTGTCCTCCTCCTGGCCGCGCTCACAGGTCTTATCTTTATGCTCTGTAAGTCCCCTCTTGTGGAGTCTCGTGGGCTATGGTAAATGACTTTCTCTCTTTCCCAGACAATCGCTATCAGCGGAAGAAGCAGGCAACTCTGCGCCACAAGATGCTCCTGGAGCAGGATTTGCAGCTGAGTCGTCTCCGTAACACGGCCGATGACTCAGCCCTAACAAATTTCAATCCCAATTACGGATGCGATGGCATTCTGAATGGGAATATCGATGTGAAGACTCTTCCGCAGGTCGCCCGGGAGAGTCTACGGCTGATGAAAGCCCTGGGCCAGGGCGCCTTCGGGGAAGTCTACCAGGGCTTCTACAAGCATCGCGATGGAGACGCCGTTGAGATGCCGGTGGCAGTGAAGACACTGCCGGAAATGTCCACTGGCCAGGCCGAGGCGGACTTCCTCATGGAGGCTGCCATCATGGCGAAGTTCAACCACCCCAACATTGTCCACCTGATTGGGGTGTGCTTCGACAGGCATCCCCGCTTTATTGTCCTGGAGTTGCTGGCCGGCGGGGATTTGAAGAATTTCCTGCGAGAGGGTAGAAATAAACCCGAGCGTCCGTCTCCTCTGACCATGAAAGATCTGGTCTTTTGCGCACTGGATGTGGCCAAGGGATGTCGCTACATGGAGAGCAAGCGCTTCATCCACAGAGACATTGCGGCCAGGAATTGCTTGCTGAGCAGCAAAGGGCCGGGAAGAGTGGTGAAGATAGCGGATTTCGGAATGGCCAGGGATATTTATAGGTCTGACTACTACAGGAAGGGTGGGAAGGCAATGCTGCCCATCAAATGGATGCCACCCGAAGCCTTCCTGGACGGCATCTTCACCTCCAAGACGGATGTGTGGTCCTTTGGCGTGCTCCTCTGGGAAGTGTTCAGCCTGGGCCTGATGCCATACACGGGACTGCCCAACAGAGATGTGATGCAACTGGTGACCGGAGGCGGAAGGCTTGACGCCCCTCCGGGGTGCCCTGTGCCCATTTACCGCATCATGGCGGACTGCTGGAGTCCGTCACCTGAGGAGAGGCCCTCCTTCTCGAATCTCCTGGAGAGATTGACCACCTGCACGCAGGATCCCGATGTGATGAATGCTCCTCTGCCCAGCTTCTTCAGGCCACCGTCTTCAGAGCGTGACCAGACGATAATGCGGCCGCCCAATGATGATTTCTGCATACAAATGCCCTCCTCGTCCGACTACCTGATCCCACTGCCGGGACCACGGGGAGCGGCCGAGAGGCTCTTGTCTGAGGCCACGGGGGTGACTCTGTCAGAGACTCCAGCCACCTACACTTCTCCCTGTACTACTTCTCCGGCTGTTCCTCGGATTCCGCCCGCTGATGGCTGCTGGGAGACGTCCTTCTCGTCTGCCCCGCCGCCGGTCGAGTGCACCGTGACGCCGCCAGAAGTCCCGCCGCCAGCTGGACCTCCAGTGAGTATCATTCTCATATGTGAATTGAAGGAAGATTGTTAACTTCAATGACCCTTTCTCTGACCTTCAGGTGGACAAACTGATCAGTTTGGACACTCCACAGCAGACGCCCACAACCACGTGCCCGCCAATGAGCTTCGGGCCGCCGCTGGCACACCCCATCAGCACGGACGGCGTCACGAAGCCTTCGGACATCATCCCGCCGCCCATCACTCTGGATCCCGCCACGCTGGCCATTCAGGGCACGTCCTATGCCAACGTGCGGGTGGCTGACGGCGCCGCGGGTGCCGCAACGGCGCCGGCGACCAAGGAAAAGGGCGCCCCGTTCACAATTCAGGGCTTCAGCGAGCGCTACAAGGAGAATCACTCCGAGATCAGCTGCTAAAAAGTGTGTACATAAAGGATTGCGTGAGAGATTGGTGTGTGACGGGAAGTGTTTCATTTTCATCGAGGAAACCCCCAAGTATTGGCAAAACGGGTTTAAGAATAAGTCTTGATAAAAATCTGTTGTGTCTGTTATCAGTATAAAAAAATCTATCTATTATTCGTATCAGAAGAGCGTCAGGGAGGCGGGAAAATGGTGTGTGAAAAGTGGCCAAAAAGGTAATTATGTGGAAATTGATATAAATCATAATTAATTGAAGTATTTCGTAACGAAAAACCTATGTAAAGTATAAGATTTGATAGTGAAACAGTTACAAAGTAAAAAAAAACAACCACTCACACACACATTGAAAAAAACGCTCACCTGAGATTTAGAGCAAGAAAAACATGTGCTCGAAACTAAAACTGAAAATCTTAAATTTCTTTACCCGAAACTCACTATTTCAATCAAATGAAAAAAAGAAGAAGAAAAAAACATGCAATGAGAAAAAAAGACAGAATTTTTAGTACATCATTTGCAATAAATTTTATGAGAAAATGATTGTCTCATTTTGGCAACGAAATTACTAGGCAAAAAGAAAACATGTAGGATTGATAGGGAGATTTGAGTCCATAATATATTTTTGATGAACAAAGATGGAGAAAGGGTAGAAAAGTATATATTTTAGCGAATTAATGATTAGTTGCTCAATTTTTGAGAAAAAAGCATCGTTATGTTGTTCACACGAAAAAATTAGCGATGATTAGCGCACGTTTTAATTTGTAGGTAAAATATAACAAAGATATTGTAGTGAGAAATTGACGAAAATAAGACTGTTGTATTGTGTTGTGGCTTTTCTTCACATGCTCTCTCTCTCTCTCTCTCTCTCTTTTTCTCTCTAATCAACTTCTATTTTAAGAGTTTTCACTTCCGTAGGCAATTTCTTATAGAAGAATCGCTTTATAGAATCCATCCAGGCATTTAAGTTGATTTCCCCTCAAATGCAATGAAGAAATGGATTAAAAGACAGTCACAGAGACGCAAATTCACAGTGAAACAGAAGCTCACAGTTGTTTGTATTAGGATATAATTGACGAAAGACAGAAAGGATATTTGAATACTCATTAGCGAATGATTAAAAGTACTAATAATAGAATTTGTATGACACATACATTGCAAATAGTGGTGAAGAAAATGAATCTAATTGTCACGAGTGAAAATCTATTTAAAAAAAAACCTACAAAAATAATCTCTGTAATTGTTTTGTTGTGAGATAAAAACATAATATGGAAAGAAACATAAAATGCTTTAACTATTAATAAAATATATTTATACATAAAATTATTATATATTTAAAGAAAAGAAGATGATGAGAGTCATACTATATACACTTTTATTGTAGTGATAAAAATTTAATAAATGTTGAATGAGATGTGCAGCGATGCTGAATATTGCATTGTAGGACGAGAAAAGAGTGGTTGAGAGTTGCAGAAATATGTTTTTCGAGGGGAAAATAGGTTAAAGCAGAGGATAGATATGTATAAAAATAAATTACACAGAAATATATACGTAATTGTCATAAAAAAAAATCCTCCCTTTTGAGATGGCATCAAAAATGCCCCGCTCAACGACTGACGCTTTCAAAAATGCTTTCCAGTGTTTTCGAACTTCCAGCGGCGCGCGGCTTTCCAGACTCACATAACCGCACATTATCGCCTCCTCTGACGTTGTTTTTGTTTGTTTTCCTCCCGGAAAAGAGTTGTTTTTACTGCAAATTCAGTGTTTTCTGGCTGGGCACACAACTTGAGGCCATGTCCAAGAGGGATTCTCACGTTTTGGACGATGGCGAGGGCACAGCAAAGCGGAAAAGTGTGAAAATCAGTGGCGTGAAGAAGCACACGCTGGACTCTGACGAGGAGGAGACTGACGATGAAGAGTGAGCCCTTTTGCTGGCTATTTCAGTCGCAATGCTAATGCTAGTTGCCTCCCAGGTTCAACGTCCTGGATGAGAATGACATCGAGGGCGAGGAGGAGGGCGTCGCCGGGATGGACGGCGAGACGAAGCTGACGCCCTTCAACATGAAGGAGGAGATGGAGGAGGGCCACTTTGACCGGGATGGCCACTATGTGTGGAACAAGAACAAGGAGATCACGGACAACTGGCTGGACAACATTGACTGGGTGAAGGTGCAGCAGTCCAAGGACGGCAGCGGCTCGTCTAAGGTCCGCACGCTGGGCGACGACTCAAGTGATTCCGAGGCTGAGGAGGGCAGTTCGGGGAAGTTCGACGTCATGGAGAGCTACAGAAAGATCCTGGAGCTGATGCAGCCGGGCGAGAGTGTGAAGAAGAGCCTGCAACGCCTCGGGAAGGGCAGCAAAATCTCGTCGGCCGAGCGCTGGCGCCGCAAGAAGGCGGGCATCAAGGATGAGGCAGCAGAAGTCGTCACGAAACTCACTCAGCTCACAAATGACATCCTCACGCGCACGGGAAACATGAACATCTACGAGGAGACGTACGAATTCATCCAGAACAAAGTGCGAAAGATCGCGAAACCCGCTGCAGAGACGGAAGACGATGCTTTGGACATGTACGCCGATGACTTTGACTCGAAGGAGAAGAGTAAACTCGGCGGAGCGGCGCCGGAAGCGGCCGAGGAGGCGCAGGAGGAGGACAACGCCGTAAAGTGGGAGTTCAAGTGGAAGCCAGACGACACAGAGATGCACGGGCCGTTCTCCACGGAGCAGATGCATAAGTGGAACGAGGAGGGCTACTTCAAGAGCGGCGTCCTGGTGAGGAAGGTGGGCGAGGACACCAAATTCTACACTTCCAACCGCATCGACTTCGATCTGTATTTGTAATTTTCTCAGGAAATGTGAGTGCATTCTGCATTTAGCGCTGTTCTTCAATAAATGTTCATTCAATTCAACTTTGATTGTGACTGTGAAAATTAACCCTTTAGAGTCGAATGGGGCAAATTTGTCCGACAAATGCATCAAATATTTGCATTCTGGCTCGTATGATATTTTTTAAAAATCTAGAATGACTTCAATACTGTAAAGAAATTCGATATTTTCGGTGTATTTAATCATTTTGCTCCTTCCGTTCAATCGAACCACTTTTCTGGGAAATTATACAGATCTGTGCCGGATGCGCACAATCGAATTTCCATTGCGCTTTTGATAAGAATGGGGGTAATCGGAGACGCAATCTTTCACCACGAGTGGCTCTAATTTTAGGAAGTTTTGATAAATTTCTCGATTTCGATTCATATTCTGGGAAAAAAGTATAGAATTGAAAATCCCAAGTGTCTCAACTCTTCAAATTGGTAGAAAGTTAATCTCTGAACACTTGCAAAGAGTTATCAATTCATGGAATTGCTATGCAATGTGTTCAATTCGTTCAATTCTAGTATACACATTCGAATCTAGATGTGGGATTAAATATCGTGACACATTTATTTATGGGCAGAAAGACATCAGCAGAGCGATTTAGTTATCGCTCGAGTCTGTCCATATAAATATCTCTCTCGCTTGCAATTATTTAAGTTTGTTCCTCGCTTTGTTACCTCATTCCAATGGCGCTAAATTTCCTCCTCAAGTTTCTCTTCCTCGCCTTCGTGCTACTTACGAACGCGGAGAAAATTTGCAAGCACAAGATTTGCATGGATATTTCTGAGCCAAGTCAGCCACCAGAGGAGCCGCCGCCGGAGGAGCAAGAGTTCCTTTGTCCCTCGGACGAAGCGCAGTTCCTGCAGCATCCGCACGACTGCTCCAAGTACATCCTCTGCTTCCACCGAGTGGCGCACGTTCGCCACTGCGCTTCTGGCCTGGAGTGGCACGGCGCCATCGAGCAGTGCAACACTCCCGACCAGGCGCAGTGCTCGCCGTCGCAGTGCCCCATTCCGGACAATCCCAACCAGCCCGTGTTTCTCTACAACGACAACCAGTGCGGCGCCTTCGCGCTGTGCGTCAACGGGATGCCGCAGTGGCGCTCCTGCGCGCCCGGATTCCACTGGGATCGCGTGAAAAACTTGTGCACGACACCGCAGAAAGCTGGTTGCGAGGATTTTGAAGAACCCATAGAGCTTGAGTGCTTCCCAGACTCTCCGCTGAGAAATCCTCATCCGACTGATTGTAATCTGTACTTTTTCTGCTTTGACGAAGAGCCTGTCCTGTCCAGTTGCGCCACAGGACTCTATTTTGACTACATCACGAGAAGCTGCATGTTGCCAGAGGATGCGCTCTGCTATGCGCATATCGGGAAGCTTGAAGAAATGAAATATAATTAATTGTCTATAAATGACTTAATGTATTAATATTGAGGTTTTACTTTTATCTGTGAACGGAAAATTCTAATTCAGTAAGTGAGAAGTAAATTGGCATTCAGAAAAAATGATCTGTTATGGACTAATTTATGTAAGCGCATTCTTGCGACATTTGACCATGCGATGCTTATAAAATTTATTGGTTATTCCATACATCAATTCATTGTCAATTCAGTCTATAATCGAGCAGTAATAAAGAACTTTCTAAAAATCATTTTGCTCCTTCCAAGCCACTTTTCTGGGAAATTACACAGATCTGTGCCGGATTCAAACAATCGAATTTCCATTGCGCTTTTGATAAGGATGTGAGTAATCACAGAAGCAATCTTTCATCACGAGTGGTTCGAATTCTAAGAAGTTTTGATAAATTTCTCGATTTCGATTAGCAGAACGATTAAGTTGTTGTGCTCGGGTCTGTCCATATAAATATCTCTCTCCCTTGCAATTATTTAAGTTGGTTCCTCGCTTTGTTCCCTCATTCCAATGGCGCTAAAATACCTCCTCAAGTTTCTCTTCCTCGCCTTCGTGCTGCTCACGAACGCTGAAGAAGATTGCAAGCACAAGATTTGCGTGGATATATTAATGTTCAGTTCAGTTTTTAATCTAGTGTTTGGTATTCAATCGTAAGGAACTCAAGGACTTATCCTGTTTCTAAAGGTCTTGATAAGCCAATTTTTAAGCTAGAAGCCACCTTGGGATTAGCAGTCTTGAGAATCCATAACCAATATAGACTCCAAAACAAGCATGTAACCATCTTCACGATATTAGAGCGACGCAGAAACAAAAGCCATTTGTTTTCTCAAAGAGAAACACAAACGAATCCAAGAATGATTCGCAAGATAACGAGTAATCTTAAAGCTTTTCCAGCAACCACTTTATTGTTCACGTAACCTACACGGCCTACAATTGCGCCTACAATCCGAAAATCTCACAAGTCTCGGGATCCCCGAATACACACTGGCCCTGGTCGTTGCTGATCTGGCCCTCGGGGCACGTCAGGGAGTTCACCAGTCTGCCGTTCTGGCAGACGAGTACTTCGCTGCAGTCGTCGGGATTGGGGATCTGCGCGTGTCCGGTGGTCTGAAGGCAGGGATCGCGCACGCACTGCGCGATCTCGGGCAGGTTGCAGTTGCGCTCGTGCACGTCGAAGATCATGGGGTAGGTGCACGAGGATACGTCAATGAGGTTGCCGTTGATGCAAATGAAGTAGCTCTCGCAGCGCAGTGGGTGAGGCTCGTAGGAGATGCCGGGCGTGTTGGGGCAGTTGATGCTTACGGGACAGTCAGCGTCCGCGGGGAGAGTGCAGAAGTGATTGTTCCTGTCCCAGTACAGACCAGAGGCACAGGTCATCGGCACCTTCTCGCCTCTGTAGCACAGCGAGAAGCGATTGCAGAAGTCCTCTTCGGTGTGGAAGATCAGGTTCTGCGGATCGTCGTATGGTGGGCAGGGATCGGTCTCTACGGTGCAGTTGGCCACGGACGCGGGCAGGCATTGCAGCGCGTTTTGGTCGAACTGGAAGCCCGGGCGGCAGGACTGCGGAACGGCCTGGCCGTGCATGCAGATGATGAATTGCGAGCAACTCGTCGCGTGTCGCAGAAGCTGAAGATTCTCGCCACAGGGATAGATCGTGGTGGCGAAGATGGGAGTCGCCGCCAAGAGAAGGCAAAGCACTGGAAGGAGCGCGGAAGACATGTTGCTGACACGAGAGCTGGACACAGACTAACTACCTCAACACTGTCCGGCGCTATCTTATATTTCGTCACTTTGGGAGATTAACGTGAGATTTGGTGGAGGTTTATTGGAGGCGGCGAGAAAGGAAATCAAATCTCTGCACTTATCGTTATCTTGGGCGGAGTGGGAAAAATTCCTACACCAACACCAAACAATGCGTTAATAGCGATTCATTTATTGAAGGATTCACTTGAGGTCGTGCGGCTGGCAAGTGTCCACGTCTCCGGGCACGCAGGCGTAGAGCTCCCTCACGAACACGTGACCATCGGCGCAGGGGAGCGGCCAGGCGCTTCCTGTGTCGAAGTCGCACACGATGAACTTCAGGCAGGTGTCCGGATGCTCCCTAATCGGACTTCCGCCGCCGTTCTCGCACAGATGATCGAATTCTCCTATTGGTGCCGGCGAAAAAGCAGGTTCAGCTCCAATATCTGCGTAGCAGAGTCCATCCTCTGGCAGCGTGCAGGTGCGCGTAAGGTAGTCAAAGATAAGATTTTCAGCGCAATTCCTCATGAAAGACTGCTGATCAATACAGAGGAAGTACAGATTGCACTCAGTCGGATGAGGATTCCTCAGCGGAGAGTCTTCCAGGCACTCAATCTCCTCCACTGGCGGCTCCTTGATCTCCTCACACTCGGCCTTCTCGGGTGTCGTGCACAAGTTATTCACGCGATCCCAGTGGAATCCGGGCGCGCAGGAGCGCCACTGCGGCATCCCGTTGACGCACAGCGCGAAGGCGCCGCACTGGTTGTCGTTGTAGAGAAACACGGGCTGGTTGGGATTGTCCGGAATGGGGCACTGCGACGGCGAGCACTGCGCCTGGTCGGGAGTGTTGCACTGCTCGATGGCGCCGTGCCACTCCAGGCCAGAAGCGCAGTGGCGAACGTGCGCCACTCGGTGGAAGCAGAGGATGTACTTGGAGCAGTCGTGCGGATGCTGCAGGAACTGCGCTTCGTCCGAGGGACAAAGGAACTCTTGCTCCTCCGGCGGCGGCTCCTCTGGTGGCTGACTTGGCTCCTCGTCGTCGATACACTCCAGTTCAAACTCTGGTATTGGCTGGCAAGGAACGTTCCAGAAATTATCGCACTTTTGATGTGGAGGATGGAAGAATTGTCCATCAGGGCAGTAACCACGGTGAGCTCTTCCCTGTCGACAGAAGAAGTAGCTGCTGCAGTTCAGAGGATTACTCAGAAAGTAATCCTCAGAAATATCCACGCAAATCTTGTGCTTGCAATCTTCCTCAGCGTTCGTGAGCAGCACGAAGGCGAGGAAGAGAAACTTGAGGAGGTATTTTAGCGCCATTGGACAGCTTTAGACTGAGGCACAAACTTGAATGACCAAGGCAGGATGGATTTTTCTGTGATCACGATCCCAAGATAAGAAAATCCCTCCATAGATTTCTTATCTCGAGACAATGAATTATTCTTCCAGTCATTTGATAAACAACTAGTGGTGCGACGAAGATACGAATCCAACAAATATTGTGATGCACCTTGTGTGCTGAATAATGCGATTTGCATTAAGCTTCTTCCTTACGATACAATATCCAGAAATTCAAAAGCTTTGATATTCATTTAATCTGAAAGCGAAAGACAAGAAATTCTTCTACCATTTTTACTTTAAATTGTTTTCTGAGGAACCTTGTCAATCGCAAAGAATTTTTTGCAGAACTTCGATCCCAGATTCCACCGTTACATTTCAATTCACCCTCCTTTTTTCGGTCTTCGAAAATGGCGCACACGCCACTCTCATTCCGGTGCTCGCCACAGTCGCCATGGTGGCGCACTTGCCGTGAATGTTTTCTTCTGCTGCGAATTTTTCTCACAGCATTTCCACGATTTTCCCCCTGTTTTACCCCGCGTGACCCGGTGGAAGTGCGTGAAAAGTGCACCGGAGACCGCCTTGAGGCAATAGCGAGTGCTTTCGTGGGCAGTTGGGCCGGAGTGAGTGGAAAACAGTGCTGAGAACTCTTCCAGTGACACTGCGTGGCTTTTCAATGTGAGTTTCCGCGCTGTTTGGGGCGCTCTGCTGTAGAATGTGTGCGCCAGCGGAGGCCGGCAGGAGGGCAGAGTGGGAGTTTGAGTGTGTCGGAAGAGATTGCGGGGATCGGAGTGTGTGTTTGGGGGGTGTTTGGGTGGATTGTCAGTGCCATGCTTGGGATGGGCTTTTCCGGGAAATCCCGGGCTATTGTGGGGGGTTTATCGTGGAATTACCCCAATAGGAGATGAGGGATGGTGCGGAAGGGGAGGTGGGGTTGGAGATTGGTGGGAAATTGAGTGATTTACGGACAGATTCGGTGGCTGATTGACAGAGCGCCAGTCAGCGCCATGTTTGCGATTCCGGACAGAGGCGAAGCCACTGACTCTCGGGCTGTTTCTTGCAGGAGCAGGTAACCATCGGTGAAGCGAAGATGACGGACATTGTGTATCCACAAGGCTGTAAACCCGTGACGGATGACCTGGGCCCAGATGAGCTTATACGGCGCCTCAAGGTGAGTTTTTTTGGCCTCTGGCGGAAGGAGTTTGTTGGCTAACGCGCTGTATTCCGAGCTTGCAGGCGCTCTCGCACACCCTCCAGACGATGGGCCAGGACGAGGGACTCTACCAGCAGTACATTCCGCTGGCGCTACACCTGGCGGACGAGGCGTTCCTCTGCCACAGCTCTCGCGACGTACAGCTGCTGATCGCCTGTTGCATCGCAGACGTGCTGCGCGTGTACGCGCCGGAGGCGCCCTACAAGGACCAGGAACAGGTGAAGGGCATCTTCCTGTTCCTCATACGCCAGCTGAATGGGCTGAAGGACCCCAAGGACCCCGCCTTCAAGAGATACTTCTACCTGCTCGAGAATCTCGCCTACGTCAAGTCCTTCAACATGTGCTTCGAGTTGGAGGACTCGCAGGAGATCTTCTGTGCCCTGTTCCAGCTCATGTTCAAGATTGTCAATGACGAGCACAGCGGCAAGGTGAAGTCCTTCATGCTGGACGTCCTGTGTCCTCTCATCACGGAGTCTGACAACGTGTCTAATCAATTGCTGGACATCATTCTGTCGAATATCGTGGAGCCGCAGAAGACGGCCAAGAAGAATGCGTACTACATTGCCAAAGAGCTGATTGTCAAGACGGCGGACACGCTGAAGCAGTACATCCAGGCGTTCTTCAACCAGGTGCTGGTGCTGGACAAGGTGGACAAGAGCTTCACCATCACGTCCAAAGTATACGACCTGATCTACGAGCTGAATATCATTGCACCGCCGTGTCTGCTGTCCGTGCTGCCGCAGCTGGAGTGCAAGCTGAAGTCCAGCAAGGAGAGTGAGCGCGTGAAGGCCGTGGCGCTGCTGGCCAGGATGTTCTCCGAGAAGGACTCCGGCCTGGCGAAGCAGTATACGCCGCTGTGGCGCACATTCCTCGGCCGCTTCTACGACATCGCCGTGCCGATACGGATCAAGTGTGTGCAGAGCACGATGCACTTCCTGCTCAATCATCCGCACCTGCGCAAGGATGTCATCGAGACGCTGAAAGTGCGCCAGCACGACTCCGACGAGACGGTGCGCTACGAGGTGGTGATGGCGATCGTGGAGACGGCCAAGAGGGACTTCCAGATTGTGTCCGAGTCGGAGGACTTGCTGGACTTCGTGAAGGAGCGCACGCTGGACAAGAAGTTCAAGATACGCAAGGAGGCGATGAACGGCCTGGCGATGATCTACAAGAAGTACTTAAGTGACAGCAACGTGCCGGACGCCACCAAGAAGGCGGTGAACTGGATTAAGGACAAGATTCTGCACGGTTACTACATGACGGGCATCGAGGACCGACTGCTGGTGGAGCGACTGCTCATCACGTGCCTGGTGCCGTACCAGCTGCCCGCCGATGACCGGATGCGCAAGCTGTACCAGCTGCTGGGCACGATTGATGACAACGCCACGAAGGCGTTCATTGAGCTGCAGAAGAACCAGCTGAAGGTGCGCAAGACGGTGTCGGAGTGGATCAAGCTGCACAGAGTGAAGGTGGTGACGCCGCAGGTGCAGAAGGAGATGAATGCCAAGTGCACGCACATCTCCAAACAGCTGCCGGACCCGGTGAAGGCACAGGAATTCCTCACCAAGTTTTCCGCACACATGCGGAGTGACGTGCAGCTGGTGCGCGAGATGGACACGATCCTGAAGCGCGATGTGTCATGCAAGGAGTGCGCCGACACCATGGCCACGGTGCTGAAGAAGCTGGGCCAGCCCATCATGACGAATCTGTACTACAACACCATCAAGATGCTGCTGGAGCGCATCGCGTCCGTGATGGTGGACAAGGCGAGCATTGAGGTGCTGGTGGGGCTGATTGAGGACTGCATGCATGGCGGCGAGGAGGTGTGCAAGGAGGTCGGCCTGCCGGCGGAGTCGGCCGGCGAACGCGGCCTGAAACTGCTCAGCGTGCTGGCGTACGTCTTCTCGGCGCACTTCCAGCACACCACAATTCTCACGCACATGATCTCGCTGCTCGGCTCAGAGCACGAGTACGCGGCGCCGTACATTCTCAAGGCCTTCACGTACTTGGGGCGCTACAAGCCGCTGGTGGACTCCCATCCCGCCATGCTGCACCGCATGACGCCCGTGTGCAAGGAGCTGGCCATCTCGGGCACGCCCAAGCAGGCCAAGCACGCCATCCGCTGCATGTACGTGAACATGACGCCCAGCGTGGCCGCGGAGGCACAGGGCGCCGACTCGGGTGACGTGTTCGCGGAGATTGTGGAGACGCTGAAGGTGAATCTGAGCCCGGAGCAGGCCAAGTACCGCACGGCGATCGTGTGTCTCGGACACATTGCGTACAACATCCCGGATCGCTTCCACGTGCCGATCAAGAACATCATCTCGCGGAAGATTGTGAAGGAGCTGCTGGTGAAGGATGTGCCGGAGGATAGGAAGGGCATCCCGGGCAGCGAGTGGTGTGCGGAGGAGGAGTTGCCCGAGGAGACGCGCTGCAAGGTGGAGGGCCTAAAGACGATGGCGCGCTGGCTGCTGGGCCTGAAGAAGGACGTGATGTCGGCGCAGAAGACGTTCCGCATGCTGCACGCGTTCATCAAGCAGAAGGGCGATCTGCTGGAGCAGGGCCGACTGTCGGCGGCGGAGATGTCGTGGCTGCGATTGAGCGCCGGCACGGCCATGCTCAAGATTTGCGAGCAGAAGGGCGTCGGTGACCAGTTCACGGCCGAGCAATTCTACAATCTGTCGCAGCTGATGGTGGATCCCGTGCCGGAGGTGCGCGAGGCGTTCACGCGGAAGCTGCACAAGGGGCTGAACAAGGGCATTCCGCACAAGTGTCTGCCACTGGACTTCATGGGCTACTACGTCCTGGGCGGCCGCGAGGCGGACAGAAGGTGAGTGGCAGACGCTTGATGATTCATTTGTCTGAAAATTTAATGATGATTTATTGCTTATCGCGCTTCCTTTACGTTCGCAGGCTGAGCCACCAGATCAAGACGAACATCGAGACGGACGTGAGTCGACGAAGAGAGTACGTGAAGTCCTTCGCGACGGTGGAGCGCGCAATGTCTCAGCTTCCGCACATCCTGCCCGACTACATGCTGGTGTTTGCCGTGCCCGTGCTCACGCACGACCCGAACTTCACGCAGTTCGATGATCCGGCGCAGCTGAAGCAGGTGGAGAAGTGTCTGTGGCTGATCCTGGAGCCGCTCATCACCAACAAGGAGTTCTTCTGCTTCGGCTTCTACAAGAACCTCGTGGACAGGATGAAGCAGCACAAGGATGCACTGAAGAAGGAGGACGATGAGACGAATTTCGTGAGTTTTATTGACCTTTATTGCCTCGCTGTTGTGAAGATCTTGGAAATTGTCTTGATTTATCCGTTCATCTTTTCTTGTGAATCCTAAAATGAGTCTCGTAAGACAAGATTTGATCGATTGTTTGCTGTCTTGCAGAAAATGTGGGCGATCTGTGACATTGCGATGCACCTGATCTACACCAAGTGCATCAATTACGACACGAGGGACTTTCCGCTGGAGGCCAGGATACCGTCGATGTACTTCCAGGCGCAGCCCGAGGACTTCAGGAACACGCGCATCTACCTTCCAGCCGATCTCTATCTGCCGCAGAGCGTCAACGCGCGCAAGCACATGCTGGTAAGGCGCGACTCGCGGAGGGAGGAGAAAGTAAGATGTTAATGATGTTGATTAATTGGCTCTCCTTTCCAGACTGACCGCAAAGTGACGGCGAACAACAAGGCGCACGACACCGCGGACGTGGAGAACGAGGCCGAGAACAACTGCGAGGAGCACCAGCTGTCGCTGGACATGAAGGAGCCGCCGGCGAAGCGGATGCTGCTCGGCGAGTGAGGCGCGCGCGCGTGACGAGATATCAAAGAGATAAATGACGTTAACTTTTTATTAATTTATGTAATAAGTAGGAAAGATATTTAATAAGTTGATATAATGAGATAAGAGTTAATTCGTAAGGTGAGAAAAGATGAAAATATTCAGTTTAAGTTTTTTTTTTTCTTTCTTCACGTGAAAAAAAATCCGTTAATTTCATGCGAATTCCTTTCTTTCATTTTGCTAGAACTTTAGTTTTTATTCGATTGGAGAATTCATTGAAGCGCGATGGAGAGGATTTAGTCGGAGAGTATAAGAAATAAATTTCATATTTGTCTTTATTCTTCATCCGGCGTTTGTTCGATACTCTCCTCTTCCTCAGTTGGCTATTTGCGTGAGGTCAAAAGGCACTTTTCAACGTGTGTGAAGAAATATATTTATTACACTAGATTCCAAAATGAGGGGCGCTCGTACAGTTTGATCAGCTGCAATGCGGAAGGAACACAACTGAGACACTCTTCTAAGACAGCGCGAAAGCTCTGCGGCCGCTACTCCAGGTCGTCGCTCAGCTCCTCGACGCCGCCGCCCTCCCTGGGCTGGCCCATCTTGCTGCTGTACTCCTTCATCTTGTGGATGAGCAGCGTGAACACCTGGGCGGGCATCGTCTGCTGCAGCACCTGCAGCAGCTGCGTGGGCTGGCCGCACACCACCACGGCGTTGGCCAGATGCTCCACGCCCTGCTCGATCTGCCCGTTGCTGATCAGCATCTCGCCCAGCTGGATCTCCTGCAGGAAGAACCTGTGGAGAGGCACGGACATGCGTGATGCTCCGCAGTTTCAAGGTTGCGTCGAGGAGAGTCGCCGAGGGGCGCCGCAGCGCGGAAACCGGCGTCCTTTTAAACTCAACGAGAGGCTCAATTGGACACACTGTGGAATATGCAGTGGACAATCCCAAGCAGTCGGATGGACATTCTTCCGACTCGCACAATTTTCAGATTTTCTTAGTTTTTCGACTTCAATTCATTGAAACTGTTTTAGAAAACTCACATTTTTTTTAGGATTTGTGACTATTCTCTTGAAATAATTAGAAATTAGAACATTAATCTCTTACTACAAAAATTGCATCATATTTGACTCATGAAAAATTTTCACGAATCTACATTATTAAAAGTACCCTGGAAATTCAATTTGCACGCCCAGATCCGTGAATCGAAGGGCTTTTGTTCCCTCTTCCCAAGTGTGTGTAAAAGACGCGAAAATTCCCTTCGGAACACGTGCGTTCGCGGCATTTCGCGATTGTTTCGTCAGAAGCGCGCATGTCCACACATTTTCCCCGCTGCGGAGCCCCTTCTGGTGAAAAATCAGCTCAAGGACTTTCCCTTGGTCAAGCGAAAGTACTCACTTCTGGACAGCCTCCTTGTCCATCAGATTCGGCATGTCCGGACGGTTCGCCGCCGCCGCCTTCTTCGCCTTGCGCCGCCCTGCAAAAGAGGACAACCTTTCAACAACCGCTCGGCGCACTCTTTTCGCTGAGAATCGATAACGCGCCGCCAGTGCTTCTCGTCCGGAGGACGCGCGCCTCCGCGCCCCGCGAGGGCTCTTACGTAACGACCGGCGAGAGGGCGGGAAATCGCGTGGAGAGATACTCACTCTCGCGGACCTTCCTCTTGTACTCCGGATCCGTGCGCCTCTTGTGGTCGAAGTAAATGCAGTAGCCGAGGAAGAGCGTGCCCGCCACGCCCGCCGCGATGCCCAGCGTCGTCTTGTTGATCTCCATGTGTGCGTGCGGGTGTGAAAACACGAGAATTTAGGGCTTCAAGAGAACACACCACGGAAATTGTCCAGTTCCTCACGCACTTCAATGACAGCTGCGTGACAATTTCGATCGAACACTTTTTTCGATCGTGTTTTCCCGAAGCAATCGTGGCGCTGTAGTCGCTGGAGGGAAGTTTTCAAATTGGAATCTGTTGAAAGTGCACTCAGAAAAATCAACTCAGACAAATGTAATAATTTTAGTGATTGATGAGTAAAACCAGAACTTTTGGAAGTGATTTACAGTAGAACCGTCTGAAAGTCTTTTTACTTGCGATACACATTGGGGGACAGGAAGAGATAAAAACTTGTGTGGGAATTAAAATTAAATTTTATTTGAAATCAATGGCAAAATGTACATTTTTAGCCTCCTTTGCAAGAGCCACACGCACAACAATTGATAGAAAAATAAATTCATTTACATCACGCTTGAATACAAAATAAATAAATATGATGACGAAGACAGAACAGCCATCGAGCCTGTTCACCGCAATCGGCGGATTTGGGGCTCTTTTCACAGTGTGTCAATGAATCCGGCAATTGCGGTGGCCTCGCGATGGCCAATTCCTTTTTGAGCCTTAAGGTCTAAACAGTGATTCTGTGGTTTATGTACAAACAACTCCTCCACAAGCTTAAGTGCCTTAAATGCTACTCCACACAATTTATTCTCGATATATTTCACACTGCTACAATTATTCACAGAATATCTCACAAGATTCCTATAGCCTAAGTGTGCCTCTCGCGACCCTGGCGGAGTGCTAATTTGGAGATTTTCATTAGAGTCCCTCGGAGGAAAGTCGATGGGAAATGTTGCGAGTGTCGCCGACGAGTCGTTTCACATTTCTCCCCTTCTTCATCACATCTTTCCGGCTGCGGCAGCTCTGGCTGATGATGAAGAGGCTCATCTGTATTTTTATCGTGAAAAATTTATTAAATCTCCGCTTCTGGGGTGCAAATCACAGAGGACACGCAAATGGCCAGCGAAATAATTCAGAGATTCATCTCAGAGATGCTCTGTTATTCCATCTTGCGGAGCAATTTCTCACGCGCCCCTCAAGAACACTCTCGAGGCTCAACTTGCTTGCCAATTCAACAGATTCGAGAGGTGAAAATTGCACAGCATATTTGGGAAATTTTAGTATAGGAAGAACTGAATTGATTAACCCTTCAGAGTGGAATTTGGCTAATTTATGCCGTGAAAAGAAAATGTACTCGAAAATCGAAAAAGTTAATAATGAACAAATGTTCAAAATATTCCGTCATAAAAGTTGCTCTGCACGACTGCATGTTGCAGTTTTTATGGAAAACATCTCAATTGACAATCAGTATTAGATTATCGCTAATCGGCTTTTAATAGCCAAACTTTTTGTCCGAACTTTTAATTTGTAGCATAATTTTACCATAAATTAGTGAATTTATCTAAAAATAATTTGTAAAGTTGCAAAATCCATTTCAACATGCAGAAAATCATCTTCAAAGCTCGCCACATTCAAATGAAGAGGAAGAATGAGAGTCATGAAAGGGAGTAATTGAATCACACAATAATGCAGTTGGAATGATAAAGCCGTTGATCTTCAAGAATTTCTCTCTAAGCCCTTTTCTTAACCCATTCTTGTTTGCTCAGCTGACTCCATTGTGTCCTGCGAGCCCATTTCCCTGTCATTCACACCCTCAATTGTGATTCGCCGAGCGTCCTCGGCTGTGAATACATCACGTGGATTAAATAAAATATTCAAAAGAAAGTGTGTGTGACTCGTTGCCATTGACAGGAAAGCCACTTTGTCGGTCTTTTTTTTGCATTTCTGCTGCGACAGCTCGAAGACGATGGTGTGACGATGTTGCCAGTGGAAAATCTAATTTTCAGCCAACCTGAGAGAGTCGGGAAATGTCAATTGTTGGATGAGCGCCAGAAGAGTGCCCTCAAATTGGCCCAGAAATGGTCGGAATCTGATAAGGAAGGAGATGTTCAATGATGAAGTCGCTCGTGACAATTGTGAATTATTGTTGAGGGCCAATTGAGCCCATAAAGTCTGCTCTGCGAAGCGGTCGTTGAGATTATCTGTGCTAATTTGCAAAAATGTAAAGTTATCACACGGAAGAAGAGGAAAAGGGGTCTTTGGCAATCTCGCACAATTTGGCGAACGCGTCGCCAATTCGATCGCAATTATTCCACAACGGTCGCCGAGAGTGAGAGATTATGCTGAATGGCATGCGGGAAATCCATCCCCCGAGGCGTCCCAAAGACATTCCATTTGACAGAACCCATAAAATACTCAGCAAGAGACACAATCAAATTTATTCCCATCAACTTCTTAATGAGATGCAATTTGTCTTCCATTGACTTTGGCAATTGACAGAACAAATGGCGAATGGGGAATATTGCCATGGGTAATGCAATTTTCCCAGGGATTTCCTCGCTCACTCTCTCTATCTCTCTCTCTCTCATTCCCTCGCCCGGCGAGATGAGGAAAAGTGACCTCCGCAGGAGAGATTGAATTTCGTCTGCAGCCAAATGAATAAATGTATGTCTCGGAGAAAATCCCTTCATTTGCTTTATCAATGCTTCATCCTTCTTTTCCGATCAATGCTTCGGCGTGAGTGTTTGCTCAAAGGGGCCCCAAGTGGACACAAAAGTCCTGTGCTGAGCATCAAATAAATGTTTTACTGCCTCCCTTTTTATTGTCTCTTGATCCCACGCCATCTCCGCCCTCCGTCCGCAAATCCCTGCGGCTTTCCGCCTCGGGCTTTCGCACTACACGGATGACGCTCTCAAAGGGCTCACCTTCAAAGCGAATGCACCACTCACGGCTCCAACAGCTCCACATCAGATCAAAGCCACAGTAATAATATATAATATCTCTATTGGATTTTCATACGACGTAATAAAATCATCGCTGAGCCAAATATATGGAAAACTCAAGGAGGTTTAAGGAGTATTTCCGCTAAGAAAGTCTATCTCGACATCTAAGAGACAATTTCAGAGACAGTCTTCCGCTTTCTAATGCAGTCAAGATCGCAAGAATCATTTCACAAGTGACAGGATTATTCTAAATTCAAAAACAATAATTTGAAAGCATTAGAAAAATGTCACGAAGCATGCAGAAAAAGCTCCCAACATTTCTCAATTGCATTTGTGGGTAAATTTTAAGTGACTGTGGAGTGTTCTTCTGCAATTTAGGTGAATATTTAAATTTATCTGTTGTTTTCCAGTAACTCTTCTTGAATACAAATTTTATTTCCTAATTTGAAAACAGACTTTTCGGCAGTTATTTTCCCCTCGACGAATAAAACAAATTGTTGCCAATTTATATCAATTTCCAGCAATTCATTAGGTACTAGCGACCGAAGTGGAGCTTTAAAATGTGTCACACAATATGCTTTGTAAAAGAGTAAAGCTTCGCCTTTGCCGTTGAGCAAAGTTCTGCGCAGCAGAAAGGCGATACTGGTGCTCTCGTTTTGGAGAGCTTCTTCAAAACTTCCACTGTGGTTTCAATTTCACGGGGCGAAACTGCGAGAGGCGCATAGTTGAATTTTCTCAATTAAAGCGAAATGCGGTGAAAATTGACACGAGGCCCGAATTGAAATGCGATACGCGAAGACTTCGCGGGGGAGATTCTGGCCGTGGGGCAGGTCGTGGCTAAACGGCCGCTAGGCACGATCACTGCGCGCGCGGGAAATGACCTGAAGCTCCTCACGGACTTCCTGGCAGTCGGCATAATTCACCATCATCGCGCCTCGGTTCAACAGTCGCAAGACGAGGGCGAGCAAGACAAATGGGTGTGTTATTAACATAGAAATGGCGCTTTAATGTGGTGGACGCTCAATGAAACGCCCATCTTCCGGAGCTCCTGTCCTGCATGTCGCCGCCACATAAATCCTCAGACTCTATTTACATTTCCATCAATTCTTTTGCACTCCTTCCCCCCTCGTGCACCCCTTCGCGGGGCGCTGTCGTCGCGCCATTCAAACTGCCAGGGCCGTTGAAAGCTCCCGGCTTGTGCCGATGGCTTCATGTCGCGAAATTGAGCAAATCCCTCCAAGGATGTTACAAGATTACGTCGCTAATTTGCATAATCATTCTCAGTGGTAAATTGCCTCCTCTGCGCTTATTATTTGCATTCACATGGGAAGTATCTAGATGCTGGGCCCGCCCGAGGCGCTCCTATTGAATTATCGCCACAAGACGGGGAAATGCCTCGCAATTCGCGAACCCAACAACTTGTATATGTTTGCCGCGGGTTTTCGGGGTGGAATATGTGTGTCGGAATGCTTAAACTGATTTACAATCAGTGACAATATCCGCCTGGAGAAGCATAGAAGAAGAAGGGATAAGGAAATTGGCAAAATGTGCGGGAAACAAAGCGTTTAGATTCAGGTTAAGTGTTCACCATATGCGCTTCGTCTTACTTAGAGAAGACTTATTTTTCCACTTGTTTTCTCGTAAATTACAAACTGAGTAAAACTCCTTATGTTGAACAAAAGCTTATCTACCAATATTTCCAATCAATTCTTTATCAATATTCAGTAATGACTAATGTTCCATGCGATACACATTAACCACGTTTGATCAGCTTAATTAGAGCCGTTTCTGGTTTCCATAAAAAGCTCGACGCTTGAATACTTTACTTTATTTCGAGTGACAATGATCTTTCTTAAGGTAGCAGTTCTATTTTTGATTTCCGTGACTTGCTTTCAAGTAAGCTTCGTTGGAAATGCATTGAAGCTCAGAAGAAACTTGTGGAATTTTTATAATTCATTTGAAGATTCTGATTCAAGTAGTGGCGAATCTTCAAATAAAGAACCAACAGAAGCACCTAAAAAGCTAAAAGAATTCAAAACAGGAACAGCTTCGCGTAACAAATCGATACATGAAAAGCCAATAGAACCGGATCCACCGAATAAAGTAGAAATATCGAGCGAAGAAAGTGCGTATATTTCATATAGTGATTCTAGTGAAGAATCCACCACTCTGAGACCAACAAAACCACCAAAAACAACAACAGCAAAACCGACAACAGAAAAAACAGAAGAACCAACCGAAAAACCAACTGAAAAACCAACCGAAAAACCAACTGAAAAAACAACTGAAAAACCAACTGAAAATCCAACTGAAGAACCAAGCGAAGAATCTATCGAAGAAACAAGCGAAGAATCAACCGAAGAAACAAGCGAAGCAACAACCAAAGAACCAAGCGAAGTTACCACGGAAAAACCAAGCGCAGGAACCTTCGAAGAATCATGTGAAGAAGAATCAAGCGAAGTAATAACTGAAGAAACAAGCGAAGCAACAATCGAAGAAACAAGCGGAGCAACCTTCGAAGAATCATGTGAAGAAGAATCAAACGAAATATCAACCGAAGAAGCTACTGACGGATCAACAGAAGAACCAACCGAAAAACCAGTCGAAGTAACGACCAAAAAACCAATCGAAGTAACGACCAAAAAACCAATAGAAGTTACGACCAAAAAACCAATCCAAGTAACGACCAAAAAACCAATCGAAGTAACGACCAAAAAACCAATCGAAGTAACGACTAAAAAACCAATCGAAATAATAACCGAAGAACCATCCGAAGAAGATCCAATCGAAATACCGGCCCAAAACCCAGGTGAGATAGTTAACCATTGGCCAAGAAACACCGTGTACTATCACATCAGTGATGAGTTCCATGCTTACGAGAGCATGATGATTGAGTATACTGTGAAACAGATCTACAAGTATTCTGCCCGCTGTCTTAAGTTTAAGAAAGTATTAGGAAATTCAGAAAAACATCATGTCAAGATCAAAGTAAGACCGACATATTGCTTCTTTCACGATTTCTCTAATTTCTGCTGTTCTTTCAGAGAAAGCTAGGTTATTGCACTTCCACTCTGGGGTACTCAAAAAAAAAGGAGATGTTCATTAACTTATCACCTAAATGGACATATCAAGACGCCAACGTCACGCTCTTTGAGAAAGGCGACGGCGTACTGCCGCCTCCGAGGAAAAGGTGCATCGAATTCGGCGTGATATTGCATTTGTTCTTGCACGTTGCTGGAATTCCTCAGATGCACAAGCACCCAAATAGGGATGGAAACGTTGTGATTCAGTGGAAAAACATTCCTCAAGGATACAAGAAGCATTTCCAAGTGGATACGACGAACAGGGAATTCCACGCCATGGAGTACAGCTCTAACAGTATCATGCACTATCACGAGATGGCGTTCTCCAACACTGGTCATCCATCGATTCTGCCCACGAGGAGAGGTGTTGGCATGAATACGATGAAAAGGATCGACAAGACAGATCGTAGGAATTTGCAGAAAATGTATTGCAAATAAAATCAAATGTTTTCAATAAATGACAAAGTATTCTTTATAAAGTGTGTTTATCTATTCATTTGGTTACTAATGTGGTTGCAAGCGTGGAAAATGATGGAAAATTTAATATACATTTTAATTCGTTACGCATTTTCTTGAATCATAAAATCAATCCCATAACCGTAAAGATTCTCGACGCGAAGGTATATAAGAACTTTTGCTATTAAGTTTGGAATCATTTTGAGTTTCAGTTTGTGATCATGATCTTGGTTCGCTTGGCCATTTTGTCTATTATCCTGTTTTCTGCGAGAAGCAGGTGTTCGGAAAATGACAAACGTGAGAATCAAATACGCCGAAAGGACTTCTTCGAAGGCGACATGATTCTTCCGAAGAGAAATCTTGCATCCCGAACTTTCCTGAAACCTATCAACACATGGCCCTTTAATGAAATGCACATCAGGATAAGTGAAGAATTTAGTCCATCTGAGATGAAAATAATTCTCAAGGCCTTTGATAACATCAATTCGGTACTTATTAGTAGTAGGAAATGCTTGACTATTGTGCAATGGAAGTGTTCTTCACCGGACTTTGTCGACATGACTGTGAGTATCTTCAAATATCTGGTGATAGTGAACTATCTACAGTTTTCTTCTCTGTAGAGGATTAGGGGTGCCGGATATTACGCCGATGTCGGCTTCAAAGGTGGACGACAAGAGTTAAATCTCGATCCGGACAAGTGCATAGAAGCAGCAGAAGTGACACATCTGATTCTTCATGCCGTCGGTATGCTGCACATGCACACATGGCCGTTTAGAGATAATTTCATCCGAATCTACTGGCACAACATACGAGAAAAGGATAAAAAATACTTCAAGAAGCAAAAGTTAGGATACTCCACCAATTTAGGCATTTCGTATGACTTTGAGAGCATCATGCATTTCACACGGGACGCCTTTTCAAGGAATGGCAATGACACCATTGTTCCTGTCGATCCTTCAATAACCATCCGCAAAAATCGCGTTTTAAGCCGTGGAGACATTTTTCAGATCAAAAGATTGTATTATTGCCCAAGGCATTAAGAATAAATGTATCTTATGCGTGAAAGAGCATGTTCCTGTTTTGTGGTGTTTTGCACACTTCACGCAAACTCTTCAAGCTACACTAATTGATAGAATTTTTTCCGTTTACCAAAAGAAATCTAATTGGTTCCACGTATGATTTAAAAAAGACCTTTAAAAGGCATATTTTCACCACTTGTCACTATTCAATGTTACGCAGTACAGAATGATTGTGAGCCGATTTGTTGTTTTGTGCGCAGTTTTGGTGTTTCTTTGTGTATCCACTGATCGGTACTTCGAAGGCGATATGTATCTGACTCATGAACAGCAAAGAGCGTTCGAGAAGAAACCTAATTCAAGTGAGCCTATTGAGTTGTGGCCCAGAGGGATTGTTTACTACAAATTCAACAAAAAATTCAAGCATCACAATCACGTTCTGGAAGCAATGAAAGCCATAGAAAATGTATCTTGTGTGCGATTCATCAAGAAAAGAGCTCAGAATATCGGACATGTCTATATAACTGTGAGTTGAATGTTTCAGTACTTAGAGTGGAGATGAAGATATCTTTGAATTTTCAGGAACGAAGGGATGGCGTCTGTGCCGCTAGTTTAGGCTACAAGAATCGCCGTCAGAAACTGAGAATAGTGGTGAAGAAGTGTGAGAAGAAGTTCATGGTTGTGCACCAGTTGATGCATATTCTTGGATTCGGCCACATGCACAATAGATTTGAGAGAAATCGCTTCATAAAAATTCAATGGAATAATCTCATAAACAGCACTTATTGGCTGTACTTCAAACGACATTTTCCGGGCCTCGAGAAGGATAAAACTGCTTATGACTATAAAAGTGTCACGCACTATGGAACTACGCAATATGCTAGGCAAGCTTTACCCGCCTTTCGCGTATTATCACGTGATATTATAAGGCCAGGAATGTTTGATGAATTCAGCGAAGGTGACATTGAAAGAATCAACAAGTTGTATTCATGCTCTAATCATTGAATAAATATGCGTTATTTTATTGACCACATTTTCTCAAGCGAATTAGTTCTATATTGATTAGAAAGAGGCATAGCAAAGTGATTTCTATAAATAACAACATGCATGCATTGATGTTGGCTTAGTCGTGCATTAAAATGCTCTTGATCAAGTTTATAGTTCTCTGTGTTCTTCCAATAAATGCTGGCAAAGATATAATTCTTGATGATGATATGATAGTTTCTCCTCAGCAGAAAATAGACCTTTACACTCCTGTGACATCATCACTAAGAAGTTGGCCTAACAAAACAATTCCGTATTACATCAATGTGCAGTTCTTTTCGGATAAACATCAGTTTCTCATACAGAAGGCAATGGAGGCCATTGAACTCATGACTTGTGTACGATTCACACCAAAAAAGAACGACGACAAAGCCTTTCTCAATATTGATGTAAATCTTAATTTGACTGACACGTAGACTACACTCTATCTACTGTTATTTTAATGTTCATTTCAGAATAGCAACTACGGATGCTCCTCTGCCTTGGGATACGCGCTCGGTCCACGAGATTTCAGATTGGACACGTTCTATTGTGGAACTCTTCCACAAATATTGCACAATCTCTTCCACATTCTGGGATTCGTGCACATGCACAATCATCCACATAGAGACGGTTATATAGAAATTATTTGGGCAAATATCGATCCAAGTAAGCGTGAAAATTTCAAGAAGGTCACCGAAGAACAATCGACGAGTTTTAACACTTCGTATGATTACTACAGTATCACGCACTGGCCTAAGAAAATGTTTACGATGAATGAGGGTAAAACCATAAACACAGGTTCGTCCAAGCTTGACAACACAATTGGAATGGTCCTGAAACCAAGCAAGTATGACTTCTTGAGGGTCAATAGAATGTATAATTGCTTATGAAGGAAGGGTTTAATAAATAAAAACACAAAGTTCAGAAACACAGAAACATAGTTCAGCCCTACAAAAAGCGGAAAAGGTATCAAAAGCATCAAGAAAACTTGGAAGAGAAAGAGAAGAAGTGGAACAAAAATACAACGATACCGATTTGTTCCACATAAACTGAAAATAGCGAATGGCGATTTTATAAAATGCGGAGTAGTTGCAAATACGTCAGTGAAAAACAATGATCTTTGTCAATTGTGCTCTTCTACTCGTGACTTCGGTGGCTGCTCATCGACTCACCATTCGAAAGGATGACATAGTTTTGTCCACTCAACAATTGAAAATCATCCAAACGCGTTCTGCAATTCCGGTGGTAAAACCCTGGCCAAATAAAACAATTCCCTATAGAATTAATGTGGGTTTCACTGAGTCAGAAAAAAGAAGAATAAGGACAGTTATGAAGCACATTGAGGAAATCTCATGTGTCCAATTTACGGAGAATCTAACGTACAAAGGATATCTCTCTATTATAGTAGGTTCTTCTCTTCTTCTTGTTATTAATCTTCTGAAGAATTAATGTTCTGATCTTTATCTCAGAAAAGTGACCATTCGTGTTTCTCAACGGTGGGTTATGAACCAAGTCCTTTGGCAATGAGAGTGGATCCTTATGATTGCGGAGATCGGAGTGACATTTTGCACTTATTCCTCCACGCCTTGGGATTCTTCCACATGACCAGCAGGCCAGATAGGGATGAATTCGTGGCGATTCAGTGGAAGAACATCGCTGATTATGCAGCCTTCATGAAGCTGTCCGAGGAAGAAATGCCGAGCTATGACACTCCTTATGACTACTTAAGCATCATGCATCCGCACAAGAAGGTTCTTTCTCAGAACTTTGGCACCACAGTTGAAACGACAGACGCAGAAGTGTCGGATAAAATTGGCACAGGAGAGACTCTCAGCGAAGGTGACGTTTTGCGGTTGAACGCAATGTATGAGTGTTAATTGCAGTGAATTGTATCAAATCACATTAGTCTCGGAATAGTTGGAGCGCATGTGTAACGAAATGTAATTCCTATAAAACCTGTAGTAATTCTATAGCTGAAATAGTTGTAACTCCACAATGATTCTGATCAAGTTAGTAATTTTGTCTCTGTTCCCAATTGTAATTGGCAAATACAGAATTATTGAAGGCGATATGATAATTTCCCCTCTGCAAATGAGAATTAGTAATTCCTCAATCAATTTACGTTCCGGTATTTTTGCACGTGCATCGTATTGGCCGAAAAAAATTGTTCCCTACGACATAAGAAGCTATAAATTCAATGAAACGTCAAGAAGTCTTATTGCTGAAGCAATGAAGCAAATTCAGAATGTGTCGTGTATAAAATTTAAGAAGAAAACGAAGGAAACAAACTACTTATTAATAAAGGTAAGTTGGCTTTTGAACACTGAATCTACTTGGCTTGTTCCAAATTGCGCGTATTGCAGAGAGGTTTCGATGGTTGCAAGACTTCTTTGGGCTATGCGAAAGGAGTTCAATCGATGTACATCGATATGTACGACTGTTCGTCCATTGGGTTGCTGTTGCACCAATTCCTGCATGTCCTCGGGTTCGTGCACACGCACACGAGGTTTGATAGGAATGGACACATTGCAGTCCGGTGGCGGAACATCGCGAAGAGCGACTGGGATAAGTTCCAGATGTTGAGCGACGAGTTTGTGTCCACTTACGGCACAGTGTATGACTACAAGAGTGTCATGCACTGGCCCGCGAAGGCCTACACTAAGAACAGGGGCATCACTCTGTATCCCTTCAACTTGACCTACTTGTATGCATTGGGACACGCAACCGAACTCAGCGAAGGCGACACTCTGCGGCTCAACAGAATGTACAATTGCAAGAGGAAGCGAGGAATGTAATTAAATAAACACTTCTTCGTCTCAAAGCGATGGCAGATTGTGGTCTCTTGGTGTCATAAATATTGCTGTCAACTCATAAATTCACGAACAAGTGTTGTCTCTTATCCCATCTGCAGACACGCACAGTGCGTGCGCCTTCTTTTATAACTTCCAGGCAGTGATTCCCAAACATATGTCGTGCTTGCCAGGCTTTCCCAACTCCATCTGTGCACGATTCTGAGATGCGCATGCAGAGAAACACCCAAGAGAAGACTTCTTCTATTAATTCTCTTCTAGCAAAGCTGCATTTAAAGCTGACTTTTGCAGCAAAATCGAGCGACACAAGCACAAAGTAGAGACAAAAGAGTCTTTTGAGAGGAAGAATCACCTGAAAACCATATTGCGGGGCACGCAAAATCGTATCGAGAAGCCCCGCAGCGCCCCAAGAGACCCTCATAATCGAGAGGGCGACCGGAGACGGTGGGTGGAAATGTGAGTGCCAGAATGTCGTCATTAAATTTTGGATATTATTTGAGGCATAAAGTATTACATCTCAAGCCAAAAGGGTGGAAGAAAACGTCCCGATTCGCCAAGATTAAGAAGCTCCCCGTTCAAAAATAGATCAGCCCCCACAGAAAAAGTGTTTATATTGCATTTCTCGTAGTGTAACACCCCATAAAACATCCGCTTTATGGCGTCAACAGACTCACCAGGAAGTCACTTTGAATATTTTGTCACTTTTTCATCAGGCCGTCGTTTAGCGCGATGGGGTTGAGGATGTTTACGGCGCGTGCAGAGTGGGGGGAAGGGCTGAATTTTACGCGCCAAATATTTCAACCGGGAGCCGCACTTACACGAGGATTCCTCATTTTGACAACATACTTTTTATGCTCTCCCGGGGATGGAGCTCATTTGGGGCGGGCGACGCCTCGATGGAGAATATTGCAGAACGTGAAGGGAATTGGCAAGGAAAAGCCTGGCAATTGAGCCAATTTCCTTTTCGGCAGATGTTCAGTAAAACGGAAAATTGCTGAGCATTGCATCATGTTTTTTTTTTCTCTTCATTCCAGCCATTTTTTCTGACTTTATGCTGATCTCCTGACCAATGGCAAAGTGAGATATTGTGTGTAAATATTGCGAAAAGCTTGTACTTTTGACAAGGATCTAAGCAGAAATTGAATGCAAACAACATTATAAAGTGAGAGTTCTCATGAGAATATGTGGGGAGTGTTTATACCTTTGCAAAGAGAAGCTATTGTTATGGCACAGCGAGAAAATCTCTTGAGGGAATAACTTGAAATTTAGTGCCGCGAATATTGCACGATTGTTGAAAACACTGCATAATTTATTTGTTCAAATACAACCCAGCATTCAATTTTGGAACTTTAACACGGAAAAATAACTCTGATGAAAGTGAATCTGATTTAAAAACAAGATTTGTGCGATAATTCTGACTTTGAAAACTAATTCGAATAGAGAAAGACTAAATATTAAGCTTGATTCATCATTCTGAAGACTTGTGGTATTTGGCAAGAGGCAGATATTTTGAATAATTGATGTACAGCTTCTGCGGAAGTGTTGGGAATTGAAAGTCCTAAAATATTTACATTGCAAAAGCTTCTCTTTCAACAAATTGAAGAATTTCTAAATTATTTCTCACAACATTTAGAAGTGTCTGAAGTGTTAAAGATTCCACATAGAAGCTTAGAAGCATCGGGAAGGGGCGTACAGATTAAAGGAGTATTATCTCCTCCTTGATATTTTTTAAGAGCTTTCCAAACGAGTTTAAAATCATTAAAATTGGATAATGAAATCTCAAGATTGATATCAAAAGTTATGAAATATACGAAAACCCGAGGAATTTGATATGCCGTGATATTCAAAGTTCTCAGCAAATTGCATACAAAGTGAGTCAGTGAAACATCCGATTTCAATTTAAATTGATTTGATTTCAATGATATATCAAACTGCATTAACTTTTCCGGTTAATCACAGAGAGAATCCGTAAAGCGAAATTCCAACTTTGCAGGACTGAAATATGTTGTTAGGAGTTCTCAATCAGTCTGAGTGCGTTGGAAGAAGACACGGTGGCATTCATCAAGTTATGGTGTTTTCGCCCAAGACTGTGCATAATTGAGAAGCATTAAACATTCAGGCACTCATGGTGAGATTCCAGAGTAAATATGATGTGAACGATGCGAAGCGCTAAGGAAGTGTGGCGAATGCAGGATTCACCTACACAGCATGGGTGTGGAAAAAGGATCCTCAACTACAGTAAGTGCTCAGGACGTGGAAATTGCTTATGTGAAACGTAATAAGAAGTCTCAGCGCTGACGTGTGACGAAATATTTTCATAACAGCTCGTGGGATTGTGCAAGTTTCAACCCTTTTTTCCATTTCACCCATCAATTCAATTTCGTGTGCCATGGCATATTTTTCCCGCTTGGCAATAGAGAGAGAGAGAGAGAAAGAGGGAAGGATGAAAACCCTTGCTTTTTTTACGCGGAGGAGGAAAAATTGGTAAATAGGGTGGAAATTTTGAATTACATTTCAGGACCATGAACATGTAATTTCCTCATATTTAAATCAACTCTCGAGTTCTGTGGGCTCAAGTGATCCTTCAAGATGTTTCGGTAGAAAGATTATCTCATAAAAAAAAACTCTTCCTCGGCATGGCAATTCATTGGGGATCAATCAAATGGAAACTTCGCTCTTGGCCGAAATTTATTATCAAGAAAGGGAGAGAGAGAGAGAGAGAGAGCGAAAACTTTGCAATACAGAATTGGAGTTGAAATGATTCAAGTTTTGCTTTCTCACACTCTCTAGCATAAGTAAACTTTAGCGCCATAGCCGAAATTTTTTTTCTATTCAATTGGAATTGAATTTGAGGGATTGAATGCGGAATTTCGGTTGATTCAATTCGTTTTCCAATATAAAATTTTTTCGCTTTACAGAAATATTGGACGCACTCAGTGAAATTCTGGGCATTTGCGTGACCTGAAATCATCAGATTTGTGTACAATTGACTCACCGTCCGTTGGCTCGCTGTGCGTCCGAAGCGCGCCACTAGAGAACCGTCTCGTTCGTGCACGTTCGCGGGCCATTCACAATGGAGTACTTGGACGAGTTGTCCTTCTTGGCTGCTCCAATGGGCCTCTTGATGAAGATCTCCTTGAACGTCTCCCTGAACTGCCTGGACATGCCGCAGTAGATGGCGAAGTTGATCGGATAGCTGACGATGAGGCTGAAGTTGGCGAACAGCACGAACAGATTCGCCACGCGATAGTCCAGGAACTCAATGACGGCCGACGATATGATGTGCAGCGCCGTGATGACGGCCAGCGGGATCTCAACCACCAGGAACACGGACACCACGACGATCAGCATGAGTGTGGTGCAGTTGGCGTCGCGCAGCTTCTTGCACTCCTTCTTGCGATTCTCCCGGAACAGCTTCTCACGCTTCTCCTGCGCCGACTTCATCGCCTTGAACAGCAGCACGTTGAGCGCCACGAGCGCGGCGCAGGGCAGCAGGTGCACGAAGAGGATCCGGAAGAGATAGTAGGACGTGAAGTAGATGTCCTCGCCGATGTAGTCGCGCACCCAAACCGCCGTTTCTAGGCGGCAAACGCTCGTCGTCTGGTTGTCCCACACGATGTTGCTCAAGTGGAAATCCCTGAGAAGCGCGAGATTGATTGAATTTCCGCGACCTTCACACGCATTTCAGACAAATTTCTCCGCACAAAAACGATAAATTGATGCAAATATAGCAATAATTTTAAGTAGAAATTGTGAGAAATATTTCTCTTACATTTTCAGTGGAAAATTGTGATTGGAATAGCATAGAAAAATTCATTTTAGTCCATTTTACCTTAAGATTCACGAACAATTTGACTCAAATAATCAAAATAATATGAGAAAGGTGTTTCTAAGAACATCACATGAACGTTTGTTAAACTATCGTTCATTCTTTGTCACTTCAATTTAATTATCTCATATTTCGCCCTAGCAATTTTTGCCAATGAGACAAGAAAGCTTTGAGTGTTGGAATAAAATTGAAACATCATCGAGATAACATAATTCTTGCGCACGAAAATATGACAAGAACACAGAATTCCTTCTCTCGTGGCGTGGCGAAGAAAGCTTTCTGACACTATCAATGCTCAACGCTCGGCAATAAGTGCAGAGAAAGCGAAAGCTCATTACATGATACGTGATGAACTTCTCATTCCTGCCAGCTCATTTCTCATTTCAGCACCGAAAATGTGATGCAATTAATCATGGCGGTAAGTGTGGGGATTAAAAGTTTTTAATTGAATGTCTCGGCTTGGCACAAAGTTCAACGCATTACGGCTCATTTTCACTCGTACGCAATTTGATAAAAAAAAAGAGAGAGAGACGAGAGTGTGTGATCCAATCTGCAAACTTTGCTGCTTCTCGTCTTCTTTTTTTATTTTGATAAAGCGCCCGAAGAGGCGCGAGGATGAGTGGATGTGGAGAGAATGACAAGAATATCGTGTTGTTCTGTAATTTTGGGGTGGTTGGGCGAAGGGATTACGATAATCCCGGACCCTCTCCTCGCTTTGGGAGTTGCGCGAGATCGATTTCAGGAGCTCTCATGCGAGATGGAAAAAAATCTGCCTCACATCTGTTATTTTGCCGGTGCGGACCGTAAATTTTAAGTGCACGCGACAGTGCGTAATTAGGTGATTACCTGTCCAGGAAGCGGGTGCTCTGGTGGAGCATTGCGGCCACGAAGATGTAGAAGATGACTGAAATGAAGATGGGTAATTTGCGTTAGTCGTGAAAAATGGCACACATTATCGACATTATGTGCCATCAAGAGTCCTCCCGCTCCACCTGAGCTTAATGCAATTAACAACTTGCCTTTCTTCACGCGCGGCATCGTGCACCAAGTGCGCGCCACTGGAGCATGACACACGTAGATGTACCTGGTGAGGAAGAATGGATGTGATGCAATTAACAACACACGCCCGGGAAGACAGAGACAGAGGCTCCCTGTTTAGCTCTTAATAAGCACAGCTTCTTCGCGCCAGAGACTCATGAAAGTCACCCTCGAGGTGTGTTTTCGCGAGACTTTGGCGAAATTGTGTGTGAAGAGCCGAATTAATTGGCTGAATGTTCCCAATTGCCTTCCAGGCATACATTTTTAGTACATTATTTAGCACACACGCGCGCTTCGTTGAATTTGGGTAAATCAATTTCAAGGCACCTTGAAAAAAATGTTTCACATCATCAATTAATCTTCTCCAATTTACTTTTCCATACCCATTCATCCACTGTTTGACATTCTTTTTTCTATTCCCCAAAAATCGAGGAGAAAAATGAAAAATGATGCAAAGTGCTACACTTCGACACCCACCAAAAAAATCCTTCATCCTGTCGCACAAAATGCCTCTCAATCGCCAAAAAGTGTTCTCAAACAGAAAGCATGGAAAACTATATTGTGAGCAAAGGAAATTCGATTTGTAGACATTGTGTATATGGGGAAAAATGACCGTGAAATTCCATTCTCTTTGGAGAATTACAACAATGGAATTTCATTAGATCATGCCTGAAGAGACACTTTTCTCTCAATGGTGGAAAATTGTGGTATTTCTAGTGTGAAAGAATTCCGGCACGAAGAATTCAATTAGGAAAGTCACAAGGAGAAACAATTTAATTCTTCGTCGAGTGACTCCTGTGCTGAATAATTAAGTGTGGTTCTTGTTACCTTTGCACCGCCAACGCTAGCGTCAACCAAATGGAGGCGGTGTGAAACATGGCGGGAATCACCTGGAAACAAATGAGCTTAGATTAGTTTAGGAAATATAGAACCAAAATATACTTTGAATTAGATTCCTGACTACTTTATGCATAGTTTTGTGGGAAAAATTTATTCAAAATGAGTTATCTGTCGGTTGTGTGTCTGTAAGACTTACAATATGGCATACGACATGCCAACATACATGAAATAGTGGAAAATTCAGGCGGTTCACCCTAAACTAGCCTCACTCACCTCATTGAGAGCGTTCCAGGCGTAGCACGCAAGCGTTGGCGCCAGTGGCTTGTAATGATTGCCGAGGGTAAACATGTAGATGAGTCCCGGCGCGGGAAAAAGAAGCGTAAACATATCACAAAGGGCCATAGCTGTGGAGAAGACAAAAGTCAGCCCTGGGATTAACTCTGCAATCTATAGTCGATATTCCCAACCCAGTGGATGATAAATTTCTTAGGGGAACATAAGAGCTCTGCTCCAGACACTCCCACCTGTTTTGCATATAAATGCGCTTTTATGGAATTCTCCACTTCATAATCTTCACATGCTCCTCAGCATTTTTCCCACCGAGGGCAGTTTTTTTCTGTTCTGATGCTTCTGGTGGGAAATTGGGAAAAATAAAATTGTACCTCATCAAAAGGAAGAAAAAGGAAGAAGACGAGAGCACCTCATTCGCCATGCAAATCGATTTATTATAAATGACTTCCTGAGCAATATTGCAGATGGCACATGAAGTGTCTTCGCGTGGTTTCCATGCAAATCATTATAAGCTCAGTAGCGTAGCGCCATCTGCCATTCAAATTCACATCCCAACGGCTGTGCCAACAGAAAGCACATCAGCGAGCTAATATTTTTGCAATGGCTGTGATAAATGAAGGAGAAATGCTAATATTTGTGCTTTTCTCTTTTTCTCCAAAAACATACAACATACACTCATTGCGCGTCTTGGCGCAATTTGAAATGTGGTTGGCGCGGATTAAAAAGCAATTAAGAGCGTCTTGGGAGTTCACAAGAGCGCAAATAGAGCGCCGAGATGAGTGAAATTCTGCAGATGTACATCATTAAAAGTTGCCACAATTGATAATTACGCTGGGATTTATTCTAATTGGCGCCCCAAATTTTCCCAATTGCCCACACTCACCCATGAGCACCGAGTTGGTCGGCGTGGCCATGCTTCTGCGGCTCAGCACGATGACTATGAGCAGGTTGGCGGTCATCGTGATGAAGAGCAGGAAGGGCGTGCAGTAGCCGTACAGCGGAATGCCGTAGTCCAGCACGATTTCACACGAGATGTTGAGGTACGTGATGTTCTCGTACTGATTGATGCAGTAGTCGTCGCTGAGGGTGCAGTAGTAGGGCTGCGATTCGTTGGCCTGCACGCAGTGCCAGCCTTCAATGCCGAACACCTCGTCCGGATGGACGGACGCGTTCACAATCACGGACATTCTGGGCCGCGCTATCGCGATTTCATCCCTCACGCATTCTCACCTGCAGCAAAATGGATAGAATGCCATTTAATTGCGATCTTGAGTTGTATGTTTTTGCGTTTTTTTGTGTCTCAATTAAGTACTTAAACTTGCATTTCAATTCTATATCAAAGTATAATATTCAAAGTAATAGAGTTTCTTGAAGTTTCTCCTCTTCAGTGAAGCATAAGGCTCACTTACTGTGTAGTTTGTATAGTGACTTTTTGAGAGAAACTCCAAGTTATTGACTTACTTAAGAATCCTTGTTGCTGTGCTCAAACCAAAATAGAGCAGCCGCAATACATAAAACTTCTTAATGCCAAATTCTCACATATGCTTCAACCGCACACACAAGGAAATCGTCAAGACCACAATAATCCATAAAGTCAGAGTTGTTTCGTGGGGCGTTTGAGGTGCAATTCAATTAAAGTCTATGCAAATTCCTCACTGGGCATTCAAATGGGGGGTTGATGAAACCTTTATGATTTTTATGGGCCATCGCAACGCACCTCCCCTGACCGCAAATGCCTGAGAAAGCGCCTAAAGGGCAGCGATAAAAATTTATTACCATTCCTCGCCTAATGTTTCACCCACAATCTCAGCATCGACCATTAAGCGCGTCCCTTCTTCCCCTTGTGCTTTTATCTTCGCCCCCAAGGAAGGCATCTTTGTGGGCCCATGAGTTGCTCATACATGTCATTAACCTGCTATCGCGACGCTGGATCGGAAATTGAATGTCGGCTGAGACTTTTGTCGACCCCGGAAAGTTGTCTGCATTTCAATTTTTTCCGCACTCGCTCTGGGTGTATTTGACCAGGGGCAAAAGCTCATTTCCCACCGCAATCAATACCGAATGGGCTTTTGAATATGCTGCATGCGTACGACTGAAGTGTGGCGACCCTTGAGCAAATAACACTGCGATTTATATCGCGCCCGAAGGGTGGGAAGGGAAGGCGAGTCATTAAGCCATGAGAACAAATGACCACCCTTCTCAAGTGGAGGACAAATGGTGAATTATGTATAATTGAAAATGTTCTTGCGCGCTTATAATACTGTGCGGAGTGAGCTTTGTAATTTCTGCCAAGTGAATCTCATAAGAAATTGATGTCGTGATTAAAGATTATTGTCAATTTTTCAGAGGAATTAATTAAGCAGCAATTTGCAGATTTATCAAGAGGCAATTAGTCTGCAGATCAAAAGCTCTCACCGCTGACGTCACTGGGGAAAATGTATCTCGATGGAATGTGACAGACACTTAAGCCAGCATAAAATGTGTGCGGAGAGCTTTTTTTCGGTGCACTCTGCGGAGCTTCCAATTCAATAGCACTGCGTGTCTGGCCAATCAATCATGATTGGCATTTCACGCTGGACTGCCAAATCTGCAATTTACCCGCAGGTCAGTGCACTGGACATTTATTTTAGCCTCAACATCGCACATATTAAAGCGCCAAAGCACTCCAAAGCGACCCTATTATGTCAGCGCGAATTTCCAGCTAATTAAAACGCCTCGCATTTCCCTGTATTGTTTCCACAAAGCTCCGCACAATTTCCCGGGTTCTTTTTTGTCATTTCAGCCCAAGTGATCCGAGGACAAAGACCAGGACTTTTTGTCCCTTTGTCGCGCCCATTCGAGTTGTGTTGAAATTAAAATTCTGCCTTTGATAGGTGTGCGTCCGTCAGGCTCGGACTGAAACATTTGTATGTCTTGATTAAGTTGGTTGTTGCCTTTCTCTATTTTGTGTCACTTTCAATTGAGCTCTTGTGAACAATATAGTCAACAAGCAGCTTTATGTGCGCTGATCCTTGAAACAACTCTCACGACGAGTGCGAATGCATGAGGTTTTTAGCAGGTGTTAAGAGCTGAAGCATCAGCAATTGCACTCCTTTGTCTTGCAAGCGTGCCTTAAGCTTTGCACAGGTGAGCAGCTTCGTCAAAGAGTGGATAAAGGAGCGATAGAAGCGCTGGTGCAACAAAAACCACCACAGCGCGTGTAACTTGCTTGAGAGAGTCAGCTGAAAAGGTGTTTTTCCGCCCCATTAGCGGCGAGAAAAATATGACGGGAACTTTGAAGCTCTCCATTACATCTATTGAATGATTGAAAAGTCCACCTTTCGTCGTCGGCACCCATTTACTGCGCTCCTGTCCATGACAAATAGCGAACTGATGAAAAGCAAATAAATATGATGTGTTTTGCAGAACGGACAGAACTTTTATGTGCTTGGATAAATATCGGGTTGGTATATTTTTTTTCATTTTGTCACAAAGAATGGCAAGAAGAGGTGCTCATCGTGGTAATTCCATCCACTCTTGATGGATGGTGAAAAAGGGTTGGAAAAAAGTATTTACCTTCTGATGGACGCTGAGCTTCGAATAGAGATAAACAGACTTTTTATCCAAGAGGATTTATATACAGATTTACCAATGTAATTTCCTCCTCGGAAAATACACGTTCATGTCTCGCTGAGATCCTAATTAAACATGCGGCACAATTTATGAAGAAGGCCTTTTATATGACGCTGTTGTTTGCGCTCATTAAAAGCTGTCAATCGCTGAGGCAAGAATCGAAACATATTTTTGCTCAGACGAGAAACTTTCCATCTGGAGACAATAGTTAAGTGGGTGGCGAAGCGCCCACAGGCGGAAACATCAGAGAGGGAAAAATAGAATTTCCATTATTGGTGTCTTCCGGTGGTGGTGGGAAAATCTCCGTTGTGAAATTCGATAATCTACCCAAGCCAAAGTGTGTGTGCGTGTATTTCCCATTTTATTCCATCTCTCTATCTCAAATGGATGGATTCTGGGTGTAGGAAATAAACCAATTTCATAGATTTATAAGCTGTTCACAATTGTGCGTGGATTCAGGGATCAAGTCAGGGTGAAATGGGTGGGAATAAATTACGCGTAGAGGAGAAATTGGAAGTCATCTCGATTCCCTACGTCAAGAATCACTCTCTCAAAGCACAACTTTGTCATCATCATTCTCATTGTGTCGAGCCGCGACTCACACACACACACACGCACTTTTCAGCCAAGGCAGCATCAAAAAGTTGAATTGACTCATAAGTTTCACCATGGATTACACTCGAGAGACGCCCGGAAAATTAGTTTCGAGGAGGTTTTTCTCTATCCTTTTAATGCAAAAGTTTAGTTTTAAGTTTTTGACCTTTTGCCAGAAATCGTTTTTACTTTCACTAGAGATGAGCTCAATTGAGGAGCAAACTTTTAAATTGGGTTATTCCATTTCCTATTGAATGCTTTTATATACCGAAAATGATGGGCAATTTTAACCGTGGATGTTTCTTTTGTGAATGTACAAAGAAGAGATTGAGGAAATCAGTCGCCGAAAGACTCATTTTCTATTCTCTGCCAGAGACACAGTTTTCATGTGATTTTGATACTATCTAGCATTCTGGAAAAGACTTTGAATCCTCTCAAAACACTTCCGTGGGATAACAAGATTGCAGAACGTCTGCAAGTTGCACCTAAACTAGTTATTTAAGAAGATTATTAAGGACATAGTTAATAATTCTGCTGGAAAATCGTAGAAAAGCAAAGTTTTGCGATAATTGTTACAAATTAAACATTAAATTCTTATTTATTGGCAGAATTAAGTATTTCCATACAATAAAAATCGAGATTTTGATTTTTGGCTAATAAAAAAAAGTTCAACTTATACGAAAGTAAAATTTAACCACAAAAATGTAGTTAAATTAGGGCACAGAATTTTCAATTAAAACAATTGTTTAATGCCTTTGAATGTTGAGTATTGGGTTATGTTCGGAAAAATCAATTGCGAACTTATTAAATTTCTTACTCAAAGTTCTCGTAAGACGATGAAGAACTGTTTTTATATTCTAGAGGAGTTTAAGAAGTGTTGGATGTGTCAGGAAGTGGTGTACAGATTTTAGCCATATTATTCCACCTTGATGTAAATAAATTGAGACTAGCAGTGCCGAAATGTAGCTTTATACGTACTAAAACTATACGTGCTTTATAAATTTATTGCAACCCATTATCAGTCCAATTAATCGCTCTATTTGTCCGCACTTCGCATTGCACTCAACGCGCGCCACGAAATCCTGTGAATTTGCAATCTGGACAGGTGGCCGGTCATGGATTGGGGCTGAAGCCATTTGGAAGCTCATGAATTAATGCGCACGGCCATAATGAGTGTGTACATGGGTTATCGCGACATAATTTACATGCCAACATAAATGTCGAATTACGGGATGTCGCAAGCCTTAATTAAAAATTGGGCGACACGACAGACTGTCGATGCACTTCTTTCCCTCGACTGTTTTATAATTAAATCTAATCACGACTTGTGCGGGGTTTCGGCAATTTTGGGGCACACAAGAGCGCCGAAATTGGGGCGTATCGCAGAAAATGAGCTCCTCTGTCGCATGGCTTATCTGAGCTGTGGCATCTCTTGTCGCATAAGTGATCATGATAGCACGTCGTAAATTATTTATGCAATGTGGGCGGTTTTGGAGGGAGAATTTCCACTCCACGCGGGGACAATTTGACATGGGAGGCGCACGGAGTTTTCAGCTAGATTAAAGTGACGGGAGTGAGGCATATTTCTTTTCTCTTTAGGTGCACCTGAAATGGCCTGATTGAGAGCAGAAAACCGAAAAGAGAAACATCATAAAAGTCCTCCTTGAATATTCATGCGATTGCTCAGTGGGCTGAATGAGAAAACTTCGGCTCAAGGAGAAGCCATAGATAAGATGCCTCAAAGCATAGGAAATTTACGACTATATACACATAGATATATTTTTCTTCATCGTAAATCGCACGAGCGCGCTTGGAACATTTATCACGACAATATGGTAAACATTTGCAGTGAATTAATTGCCACACAATGTGCCTACCAAATTGAATATTAGTGGCTCAAGTGGGAATAGTGGGAAGGGTGCTAATTTAATTTCCAAAACCATTGGATTCCTCGGCCGCAGGCACTTGCCTGCTTATCATAGCGCTTTCTCCGCACATTATAGACACTTGTGCCCGCG